AAAAAAAACTTTATTAAAAAAAACTTTGCACACCAAAAAATGCATCTGACTGAAAAAATTGCGACAAGTCCAATTCCAATAAGACATAACTTTGAATGTTCCTGAAGAAAAAAGATTGAGGTTAGCAACAAATTAAAATTTGATAATATTGAAAATTATTGTTAAAAGAGAAAGCTGGAAAGTGCATAACAAGTCTGCTGAATATCTAATTCCCACAGTACAGTCTTATGTCTAAGTATATTTACCCATTTAGTATCGCTGTATTACTATTATCCTTTTCATCTATTCCACTACCTTCTCTTAAATGATATCAATATCATTATTATTGATTTGTTGTTTTGCATGTACACTGAGAGCTTATGCACTAGAGACAAATTCCTTGTGTGTCTAATCACACTTGGCCAAATAAAGTATTCTATTCCCATTCCCATTCCCAATTCCCATTCCCAATTCCATTCCATTCCATTCTATTCCTAGCATTATTTTAGTATTCTGTTTTGAGGATTAATAGACTTTTTTAAAAAAAATGTGCATGTAGTTTTCTTAGCAAATGTCAACACCTTGCTAATGTAGGCTGGATTGCACCTGAATTATATTTTGGAGATTATCAGGAAATCCCAGGATTATAGACTAGATTAGAAAATTGAGCAAAAGATCTTAGAAAGGCAACGAGGAATTTTCATCCTTTTTACACATCCATAGAGTTTCTAGGGATCAAACTCAAGGTAGATTTTAAATTCTTTTATACCTTCAGAAAAAATACCTTTTGACCGTGACAATGGTGAACTTGTAAAAAAAAGTATGTTCTGGTATCTAAAAACCAATGTGAGTGCATTTTCATTATGCAACAAGTGCTATCTCCTATTTTTTTTTAAATGATAGAAATGTCCCTCAAAATTCCAATGAAGTATGTTGTGCAATTTGTCAAAAAGAATGACATCTTCTCTGCTTCAATTGCTCTGCTTTGTATTTGTAACATAACCTACTATTTGAATTACTCAGGGATGTGCAATACACATGTTAGGATTGGAGTGATTTCTTCATATATTCCTTCAGCATCTACCCACTTAATCTTGGCATGCTTTAGTACTCAACAAATAAGTAATGCATAGCAGCTCTTTTTCTTCCTACAATGGTGCTGATGCAGAGGGTGAAAAAGCAGTGCAAGGATGAGATAGGCTACTGGAATAATTCCTACATATTTTGCATTCAGCCTTCGACACCCTACATTTAGCAGCATAGGAAAAGTGAGTCTGTGATGGTACATCTGAGAACAGGGCTTGCAATCCCTTTTTGTAGTTTTAATTTCATCATTTTAGGGCCAAATAAGGATAAAGCTTTTTTTTTTTCAGAGGTGGCTAGTTTTCAATCAGTCCATGAAATTCCTATACTGTAGGTGAGCGATGAGTGAGCAAACCTGTGCATGTTGGAATCTACATTGCGTGCTCCTTCACCTCCAGTCCGTGGAAAAATGGTCTTCCATGAAATTGGTCCGTGGTGCCAAAAAAGTTGGGGATCAAGGCTATAAGGCAGTGAAATCCTATTAAAAGCTGCTAATACTGTATTTGGAGCATGATTGCTAGCACTACAGGTTCCTAGAGTAAGAGTAGCCTTATACAGCAGAATAAGTGAGCAAAGAGAAAATGAATAGAACTGGACTTAATTTGAAACAGGACATTTTTATTAGAAACTAACATTTAGCTGGAAAACCTGTTTTATTCCAATCTCCCTTTCTTTGTAGATTATAACATAATGCATCTTTTCTTGCAGCCAGCTTGCTCTTTTGAAAATGGCATCTAATGGCATTATGTTTGCAGCTCTTAAATTATAAATACATACACAGAAAATTTCTAAACCTTAAATTGTGAAGGAGGCACTAGAGCTCTCTGAGCTCCAAAGCCAAACTCAGATTCCTTTCACACCCAAAAGTGAGACATGCCACGTAGCAGACCTTCTGAGGATCTAGCAATTAAAAATAGCTAGGAAAAGGGTAGAGGAGAATCATGTACTTCTTCCTACTACTACAGTAACAGCTGGCCTTAATTCTGTGAGAGTCCTGTAGTCGCCCAAAGGATCCATATTCTCCTCCTGCTTGACCACCAGTATCTATTTTCCTTCCTCCAACTAGATTGCTTCATAGGTATCCCATACTTGGAGGATATCATTTTGCTGCCATTTAGTGATGTTTTGCAACCAAATCTGGTACCCCTAGTCTCCCCACCCACATTCCTTCACAAGGCAGAAAAGAGAGAGATGTGCTTCCCCATAATAATACTGCTTCCAACTGAGGTGAAGGCAGAGGAAAGGCTCCTCATTGCTCCTTGGATTAACTTCTATAGCCATTTCAGTTTTGATTGGGGCTTTGAGCTGGTTCTACCATATCTCCTTTATAAAAATCCAGACGGGCAGTAAAACGATTTAGAAAAACCTACTGTAATTCTTGGCTGACATTTAGTACAATGTAATTTTGCAGCTCAGAAATGGTAGCCTTCCATATCAACTGGGTGTGCTTAAGCTGGAGGGCAAGGACTAAGCAGCAAGGGGAAACCCAATAATTCCTTGTCCCTGGCTCCCAATGTTACTTCTACTGGAATTGGAGGTGTAGAAATATGAAATCAGAGAAGGATGAGCAAAAACCACTGAGCAATGTAGCAGATGTAAATTATACAAAAAGGAGGATAGCAACATTTTCCTGTTTTATATATATCAACCTTGTGTTTCTCAACCTTGGTAAGTTTAAGATAGATAAATTTCAGACTTAGAATTCTCCAGCCAGCAAGAACGTATATTTGGTAGCAATAGCACTTAGATTTATACACCATTTCATAGTGCTTTACAGCCCTCTATAAGCGGTTTATAGAGTCAGCATATTGCCCCAAACAATCTGGGTCCTCATTTTACTGACCTCGGAAGGCTGAAATTAACTTTGAGCCTGTCAGAATTGAAGAAATCAGACTCCTGGCAGTAAGCAGAGTCAGCCTGTAATACTGCATTCTAACCACTGTATTGCCACAGCTCTTAATACTATATACTGTACTATACTAACGATGCATACCTAGACCTGATTACATTGTTCTTCAATATAATATATTTTTCTTTATAATGTTTTCAAAGGATTGATAAATTATAATATTTCTCTACATTAGCAGTTCTCCAAGTTTGATCTGGGGATCAACAAGTTTGTCCTGTAGGGATCAACAAGATCCAGGTGATGTGCAAAGTCAAACATTTTAAAATTTCTCAGATATAAACCAAAACTCTTTAAGCTCCACAATCTTTTTAGGAATTCAAAGCCTTTTGTGGTTGAATTGCTGCTCTATCTCCTCCTTGTTTTAAGTTAGTGATTTTTCCTAAAAGTCACTTAGCTATTCTGTTTCTCTTTCTCTAATTTCAGGGGTACTGTTCTATTCTGATTATAAAAATATTTTATCAGAGAAATTAACAGTCCCTAGTATAAGTGTCAATTTGTCCTTCAGAATTGCATCATAACTTGGATAAACTCACTCTTCATTTTATACGGATATTTCTGGAATGAAATTTAAATATATATCCAAATATTGAATGCTTTCTATTTATATCTTCTGTTTTGTTAAATCACATATAATAAATGGAATGACGTGCCCTAATTATGCTGTCAATAACACACTGTATTTTCAAATATGATATCCAGCCATAGTTAGTTTCTTGTCGGATATAATTGCATTGTTACAATAGCTTTTCTCCTTATCAAAAATGGATCTGTCTTCTTATTGACATCATTACTTCTCTTTTTTGATTCCTGCTCCTGCCCTTTAACTTTGAAATATGAAATATGAAATATGGAGCATAGATGCTCCATGTCTTCTTCAATATTTCTCCAGTCTGCTCCATTCTTTTTGCTATGGTCTTGTTTAATTAGCATACTGTATTATGCCAGCCATTGAAGTTGTAAAACAGGCTGTACATGCTTTATAGCAAAGTGATGGATATGAAAAAGTTCACACAGGCAACCACAAAAGTATGTCAGATTAGGGAAATATTTGTGCACGATTAGATTCATAGGGCAGTTGATTTAGAGAGGGGAGTTCCTTCTGGGACAGAAATGTGTGTTCCAGCTATTTTGAAACATGCACAGGATGAAGTAGAGCTGTTTTGTTATAGATATGGACTGAAAGGGTCCATATCTATAACAAACCAAACATTAACAGTCCTGGCAGTTGAGAAAGAGAAGGATAGAAAAATTATGGGAAATCAGGATGGATAGAGGATAGTAGAACATGCCAGTTTGGGAGTCCAAACTCCCAAACATTGTGATGTAGAGAACATTGTGATATAAGACCCATTGCTGTGAGAACTAAGAATGAAATGATAGGTAGATAAGTGAATGAGAAAATCAACTATTGGACTGTGTCATGCTGCTTTTTTGGCAGTGATGGCAGAATTGGCTGAGAAGAGACAGGGAAAGAAAAGTGCTGGGAAGGTTGAGGGGAGCACAGCATATTTGCTCAGCCTTGCCATACTTACTTAGTGAAATCCCTCCCACTGGGTTTTAATTAAAACATGGAATAATAAAAAGGTTGAGAGTTTAAAACAAATCACATTTCTCCTTCATGCACTCCCTTGAAGAACCTATGAATACATTATTAGTTTTGCACATTGAATGAAGCCATAATACAATTAACTTTTTTCTATTTTTTATTTTCAGAACTAGCTAAATGCCTTCATGCAATGTGCAAACTTTGTTTCTCTTCTAAAGACTGCATTTTACCTCCCGATGGAACTCATTCCTAGAAAAACAGGGTGATTGAGAGTTGCTTTAAGTTAATGGTTAAGGTTTGAAAAAGAAAGAAAAGAAAAAAAATTGTCAGGAGAATAGAATGTCTTTAAATGTGGATGATAAAGAATTGCTACCCCCAAATCGCTTGATTTTCAAATTTGAATACTTTTCTTCTGTTTTACTGTCCTTGTGCCTGTTAGTGGCACTCAGTAACAATAGAATACAAAGATGACAAGAGAGATAGTTTGCCTCTTGAAGCTTAATTTTTCATTGTATTAGCCAGGGTACAAAGTTGAAACCTTGCACTATGTCTCATAGAAAGTGTGACCTGCATACCAGCCTGAGATTGATCGAGGGAATGCATTCACATAAAAGGAGGAGCACTGGTTGCAACATCTGGTGTTACTTCTGACTTCTTTTTGATTTCCCACTAGTACCGATTAGTTTATCTATAGGAGTGGCTGGCCGGAGAACACGTTGGTACTGTTTTTTATCATATTCCTGAAGTTCTCGGGGTGACACCAGGTCCTGCAAAACATTCCATGACCAGGTGTACGTGGAGAAGATCTGGTAGAAACTGGGGTTGTTGGTCTCCAGTCCAATCTCTCCACCACGTAGTCTCTTCCACAGCTTCAGCATTTTGTTGCGTTCACGGAGAGCCATTGCTTTCCGATAGGAGCCTGTCACTTTCTTGACCTGAATAGGAAAGCCAGAGAATATGGATGGGAGATAAATCATCAGAGTAACCATGCAAAAACTTTAAAAATGATTAATTGGGAATTGGGTAGCATATAAGTGTGATTAATTAGTAAAGGTATGACTCCCAGAATCAAATCAGGACATTAGCTGGTGTTATGAAAAGAAGCTTTGAAGAGTTTGAAGTTGGCAAATTTCCTCCCACAGCCCTTTGTTCTTTGTTTTTTATTCATATAATTAATATCTGATGCTTTAAGAAAGATATGTATTCACAGAATTCCAAACAAAGTAAGATATGGTAAAAAATGGACATACAAAATAATATAGAAAGGTCTTTTCAATAGTCAGTCAAAGTTAAAAATGCCTACACTAGCAGTTCTTAAAAGCCTGGAAAATAAAATAGCTGAAAAGGGACTACTTTCCATAAGTATCAAACTCTTTGATTATACAGAAGTTATACAGAAAAAGAAATTAGATGATTACCCCAATGGATAGGCCTACTGCTGGAATTTTTTCCCATTCAGCCCCATTTATTTTTTTCACCCATATTCCATTAGCAGTTCAACTGCAGGATTGTATTCTACATCAGTGTTTCTTTTTTTTTTAACAATTTTTTTTATTATTTTTAAAATTCAAACAAATCAAACAAATCACTTATCTAATTAAACATTTGTGCAACCCCTCCTTCCCTCCCCACTCCCCCAACTTCCCAGAAGAAAAACAGGGTATAGGTTTTACCAAACATATGCTAAAATATGCTAAATTAATGCAAGATATTAAAACTCCCTAGACCCCTTAACTCCCCTTCTACAGATTATTCATCAACCTCCCTTTAAACACAAAATAACATATAATCCTTTAGCCCTAAGAATTTTTTTTAAAAAAAACCAATAACAAACACTAGTAGATAATACATACTTAATCATTTGGCTATTCCTCCTGCTTTTGTTCTCAATATTCAAATATTTTTAACAATAACTAAACCTTAATTAATCATTAATTGAACTTTCAATTCATTTAGTTAATCATTGTAGTTAATCATTAATACATCAATAATTAGGCCAGAAAAAATTAATCTTCCTTTCTTCCTTTCTTTCTGTATTTTTTCCAATCTCTCTTCCTCCCTCTTTCTTTTATTTTGAGAAGGTTTTGAATTTTAACTGGGGGTTGATGTATCTTTAAGACTTGTCCCTTTCTCAAAACCATTTCCTCTGGTTTAGAGCCCCCATATCGACTCTTCTTGCTTGTATAGACAGTCAGTTCATAGAACAAGGATTAACTCGATCAGTTTGCAAAGAAAAATCCAGTTGCTGCATTTCAATTAATTGTGTGAAAGCCTCTGCCAAATCCTCCGAAACCTCGTAGAGCTGATCAGTTTCTTCTTCTTTCTGCTCCAAATTATATTTTTGAAAATTTCTGTCAATTAATTCCAAAAGGGCAGGAAGAAGGTTTGAAGATTCTTGAGGGTCAGCCAGTTCCAGCTTCTCTGTCTTGATCAAAATGTCTCCTACATTGTCATTATGCTTTCCTTCAAAAACATCCTCAGTTGCTTTTTTATCCTCCACCAGTTCTGTAAATTTTTGTTCCATGATTGCTGAAAAGTTATTAATAATTTCAATTTGGTTATTCATGGCTTCCTTTATAAATTCTGCAAGGTCTCTAAAAAAAGCCTCCTGGCTCTGTGTTTCAGTTCTCTGTGTCATTTCTAACACCATTAAAGAGCCTCCACTTTCAGAAACTCCTTCCTTGGAAGCCATATTATTTTAAAAGAATTTTTCTTTTCACAGCCATAAAGTCTCTCAAACAGCTTTCTCAGATTTATTTGTAGTTTATCAAGCAAGATAGTCTTTTCTAGACCCAGCTCTCAAATCCAGCAGTTTAAATCCAGTCTCTGAGCACAAGTCTATTAACAAGCACTTTCATTTCCTACTTTCACTTTCACACCCACAACAAAGACTCCATTTCCAGCTCCAGCTCAGCAAAATCAAATAGAAACAATGTATCCCAGGAGTTAAGCATATACTTGCAAAAGCTTGTTCTCCTGCTTCCGTTCTGTCTGCTTTTTGAAATCAGTTAATCTTCTTCTTGGCAGCAGAGTTGGTCGCCGGCGTCTGGCTCCGTTTAAATGGAGTCGCCACGGGTCCAGAGCTTCAGTGGGCTGAACGGGGAGCTCTCACCCTCCAAGGCCCTGGAATTACTCCAGGGGCTCCCGGGGAGCTCTACCCTTGCCCACCGGCTCTCCTCTCCTTCTTCTCCCGAAGGAGAGGTTTTTAAGCTGCCTGACAGCTGATTAGCACTGTCAGAACGGCTCAAACGGAATCGCGGGACTGGCGGTCCAAGAAGACCATCCGCGACGCCAGGCGGTGCCAACTGGAAGCCTACATCAGTGTTTCTCAATGTTGAGGTTTTAAGATGGATGGATCAACTTTCAGGATTCCCCAGCCAGCATGAGCTAGTTTCTGAACTTCCCGTAAAGATAGTATTATACTGCACACATACATTATAGTAATTTAATTTAGAAGTTTCCAGGTTACTCTAGGCAGTTTACCATAATAAAATGGAAGAAAATGAAAGGAGTGCAAATAGAACAGAAGTAAAATAATAAAACAATAAAAGAAACAATGAAAAGAAACAAGATTATTATATCAACATAATAACCAGAAAGATAGATGGGTGGAGAGAAAAGAGCAAGCAATGGTTAAGTGTGTCAGGTTCCGGATTTCCGCGATGAAATAAGACTCCCAACCAGAAGTTATCTGTGTTTTAGCAATCTTTATCCTCGGCTCTGGCACGAACCAACAAACACCCGTGGAGAATAGTTTATTGTCAGCGCTACCACGCAGTGCTTCCCATCACCTTTAAAGCTACCCGCTAATCCCATGACTCCACCCCATACTCCCCCCCAATGCTAGTTATATTTCATCATCATGGGTATGATACACAAAGCTCCGCCCCTCCACAATGTCACCTTGCTGTGCCCAGGGGTAGGGCATTCTCTGTGGGTGCTCCCACCCTCTGGAATGAATTACCTACTGAGCTCCGGACGGCTCCTGATCTCTGTTCCTTCTGCCAGGACTTGAAGACTTGGCTTTTCAAACAAATAAGCTGACTCTGATTTTATTTTCAGGTTTTATTATTTACTATTAATTAATTATTTGGATTAAATTATGATTTTATTGTACTTGTTTCTTAACTTGTGTTCGCCGCCCTGAGTCCTTCGGGAGAATGGTGGCATATAAATACATGTAATAAATAATAATAAATAAATAAACACTAAGGAATAGTCTTTAATATTAGAAGCTGCGTAGTTACTTCTGGGTTCACCTCTCAGTGGAAATGGCGAGCAGGGTGGAATCAGCAACGATACACACTTGACATGACAACTGGTAAGCGGGGTTTTCCCTCCCCCTGCCCACTTGAATGATAACCACAACACGTTGAGGTTGACAAAGTGAACTATGCTATATGTGAGTTTGATATACAAGAGCAGCACAGATGGATGTGAAACTCAAAAAGAAAAACTCATACTATATTCCCATTCATATTGTCATTACAGAGAGCAATTATCCATTCCTTAATTCAAATTTTGCTAACTGGTTTTAATTATAAAATAAGTCCAACTAATTTAATTTAATCCAGCCCAATAAATAGCACCTGCCTCAAAGATCTTACCTCTTGTCGGATTTCACTCACGTCGTTCATAGTCAAACGCTTCTGACTTAGCTCTGGAGAGAGAGAGAGGGCTGGTTTGGAAACCTTGGCAGCTTTGGGCTATGTATAAAGGAAAACAACAAAACAAAATGTATAACGAAGGTTTGTCAAATCTGAGCAGATCAGTATCATATAAACAAACATACGGAAAGGCTACGGGAAGGATTTAATCATTAGATGAAAATAGGCAGAATGGAACTGTATACTCACTATCTGCTTTATCCACCTCTTTTTATGGAGGAAATGGTCTTCAAAGGAGGAGAGGGGCACCATTTTCCTTTGCACATCCAGCTTCTGGACATCCTTCATTGGCTTCCCTTTCACCAAGACATCCCGGTTAGGGATCAAGGGAAAGATAGGCACTTGATTATAGGGACTCTCTGAAGGGTTAACTTTTTCTAGGTAAAGCAAAACAGAGTCAAATGTCAGGATGCTCTTAGCTGTAGATCATCAGTACTCATCAATATCCAAACCCAAACCAAAGTGAAAAGCAAAGAGAAATTTAAGCAGAACACAGCAAAGCACAAGAGAAGCAGATAGTCATTACAAAAGGCCTGGAAGGAAGCAGGACAGCAAATTAGCCTTCCTCACCCACCCTGGCTAATTAGAAATGAAGGCATTTCTTTTTCTTTTGCTGTGCACACAAAATGGTAATGATATAATATAGAATGGATGTTGGGGTTTTTAAATGCTTTTCTTCTATACCATGGCTCTGATTGAAATCTGACCCAACTCTTGCTATCTATTGGAGGAAAAGCTTTGTAAACACAAGCACAGTCATCCAGTATGAATTATGATAATGCAAAAATGACAAAATGTGCATTTCACAATGCAAACTCAACTTTTATATTTGCGCCCAACATTGCACACAAGAAGGTAAATTATTTCTGCAGATATTCTTAATTATTTTCTTTTACTAGATAGCTGAACTCCTAGGAATTTGGAAAAACCATAGCAAATGCCCCTCCAACCAGCAATGGGTGGTGGGAGTACTATCATTTATATTTGAAACAACAGAGAAGATGGCATGTGTCATATTTAATCTGGGAATGTATCTTCGGTAAATAATAAATTAACTGGTATAATAAATTTACTGATACAAATTAGTGCAAAAGAATAAATAAATTAAATATATTTCCCACCTCCTTACTCTATCATTTCACTATAGTTATTTACAAAAGTAGGAATTCTTTTTGGCACTGAAATAACTTTTAAGAGGCGTGCCTAAAACCTTATCCAATATCAGAATGGTTATTTTCCACTGGAATTAATTCCTTTTGTGGAAGCAGAAAATAAAAGCACAGACTTCTTCCTAATCAAATGCTATGTACTTTCCCCATCCCCATTCCTAATCCAGAAAAAAATCTTCTCAGGGAATGTGGTCACCAATTGTAATATTCTGGGCAGCAAAGCATTGTTTGCTTCATTGCCACCTTATGAGCAAAAATCCAACAAATGGATCTTTTGCTGCTTTCCTGCTTCTGTTACACAAATGCTCACCCATTCAGAGAGAAAAGGAGAGACAGAAAAACTCAGTGTTGGATTAATGCAATGCAAAATCTGTATTTAGCACAGACTGTGCTCTAAAAAGAGTCTTGAAAAGGAAAAGTTACTTCCTTGCAATGCTATTCATATGATGCCCAATGTGCCTAGAACTACTTACCAAAACAGCTTCATAATATCATTTTCTGCATCTACTTTTAAAAAAATCTCCCCCATTCCTCAGTCATCACCTTTTTCTAGAGTGCTTTTGCACTAATACATCAATTCTTATATACTATTGTAATTAAGCTTAAATACACGTAACTGAATGGGACATATATGCTGTTTTTTTCATTTATCTCCTTATAAATTATAGTTCTTTCAAAGCATGTCTTTTGTGCTGTTATATGTAGAAAAGTAGTACAAATACAGATTATGCTATGTTAATCAGTAACAGGAATCAAACAAACCACCAACTGTGTCTAGGTGTTTCAAAGTAGGAATATGGTGAGGTACAGAATATGATACCTGCCAAAGTATTTTGCTCCTTGAAGTTTCACTAAATTACTCAACCTCTTGCCTGCCTATTTGGGCTTGGGTTTCAACTAAGGCAGAATGGTTGATCAAATCTTAATTATGATAATAGACCAGCAAGGCATGTTTTTGTGCAAAACTCAGAGATCACTAGGTATGTTTAATGTATTTTCTCAATTCCATTACAAGGTAAAACCAGGGAAATTCCATGGTTTAGCTTAGAGATTTAAGGTTATCAGTTCCATTTTTCCTGTGTATGATCTATCAGATTCTTAACAGATATCGTTCAGTTCTAAAGTTTGCTGCAGTGTGAGTGCTTACTTTGGAGATTTGCTACGTATGATTCCAGTTCCTTTTCGTTCATGATGCAGATGCGAGCAGCACCAGCAAAGGCAGTAATAGGGGAAGATTGGGTTCTGGGTAACTTTTCTTTATCAGAAGGTTTTGCTGTCTTGCTATCAGGTTGCATTCTCTTGCCCGTACAGTCCAGGAACTTTTGGCGATAATAGCTAGAAAACAAGACAAAGAAAAATTAAAGTGAGCATTAAATAAAACTGAGGAAGACATGTAAGTAAGATGATTAAACCATTTGCTTTTTTCCTTTTGGCTTTATAATCACTCAGAGTTTTCCCTGTCTTTTTAAATCTTAGCCCATCCCTCATTTTCTTTAAGGATATTCTGTGCAATTAACTTTTTCTCTCTATGTACATTATACAATATTTTTCTCTCATCGTCATCTTTTGCAGCATTTTTAAAAAATCCAATCTCTTCATCCTGCACCCATCATTTTCATATATCCAATCTTCATTATTGCATGCATTTTACAGATAGTCCACAACTGAGACCAGAATTTCCATTGTTAATCAAGGCAATTGTTAAATGAGTTACATCTAATTTTATGACCTTTTTGCCATAGTTGTTTTAAGCATATCACTTGCAGTTATTAATAGCATGATTGTTAAGCGAATCTGGCTTCCCCCCCATTGACTGCTTGTCCGTGGCCATCTGGAAAGGCTGCAAATCATGATCATGCGATCCTGGATCACAGCAACTATTGTAAATATACATTGTGTATGTGAATTTTGATTTGACCATGAAGATGTTGTAAGTGAAAATACCAATTGTACATCACTTTTTCCAGTACCATTGTAACTTCAAATGGTCACTAAATGAATGGTTGTAAGTCAAGGGCTGCCTGAATAACAATGCTGTTCATCAGATTCATTGCTACTGTAGCATAATTTTCTTTACTTGTAAGACAAATGTTTTTCCTTGTGCTGTCTTGTTAAGCTGTGGTTTTAACTTATTTTATTTCATGATTGGGAAATTTCCTTCAATAGCTATGTTTTGTACTGCTGTCACAGAAATAAAGCAGAAGATGGTACAGAAATAACTTTATTGTGTTTTTTTTTGCCTTCAATTTCATTGTATTAAAGTTTGTAGATTATAATTATATTGTTAAAATACAACCCAAAGCATGGTCACTAAAACCTGAGAGTCCCTGGACTCTTGCTACTGCTGCTGCTCAATACTAGGTTGGCCTGTAATAAAGCTCACCTCATCTAGGGTCAGATGGTGGATGATAAGACTGACCTGGTATAGATTACCAAGACCTGGATTGGCACGGGATGAGGGTAGTCCCTCTCTCAGAAATAAGCCTCCCTCAGGGTGTTGACTGTGACAGCAGTCAATATGGAGTAGGAGTGGTGGTGTGGCTGCTGTTATTCAAAAGTCTCTAGTGGCCTAATATGTACATACGTAGCTGGATATAAAGCTCTTTATGAAATAGGATCTTAAGATCAGTTGAGCTTGCTGCTTATCTACTTTCCTCCCTGTGGGACAGCTAGGCCCTGCCTGAGCTCCTGAGTTTGTGGAGTTAATGGTGATATTCCCCAGACTGGTGCTTCAAACAGTCTTCTGGGCCCAGAAACAGAGGTGGCCTGGAAATTCATGGCTGTCATGGTGGCCCTGGATCTGGTCCAACTTATTGACAGTCCAACTCATACAGGGTGCAACACATTGGATCTGGTATTTGTTGCAGGCCAATGGCAAGGTGCCCAGAATCCTGCATTGGGATGGGGGCATGGCAAATGATTCCTTGTATAGTCTTGTGAGAACTATTCTAGGCATCTGTTAGATCAGATTTGAGCACTTTATGTTCCAGGGCCACATCCAGCCTGTGGGTTTTTGCAGTCTGGCCCACAGCATTGGTGGTGGGATGATGGAGCATTGGGATAGTAATTGCAAGGGCAGAACATCAGTGTGGTGTCAGTGGTGGGGCCAGGAAGGCATCAATAGAGGTAGGGAATCAGTGGCAGGAGATGGGGTGGTTTCAGTGGGGGCAGGACAGTGGCAGCATCTTCCACAACAATCACAGTTTCTCAAGTGGCCCCTGGGGAAAATTAGAGTATGTTAAATAGAGTTGCTCAACTTCAGGTCCAGTGGAAGTGATTAAGGCATATTCTAGCTTGATTATTTCAAGGTGTTTGAGCCAGTCAATTATGGGGAAGTGGACAGGGTCGTTATTTCTGTATGCTTGGCCATCTGTAATCTGGACTTATGCTCCTCCTAGTTAATTAAGGTCTGGGAAGTTGTATTTGATTAGATCTAAGTGCTGGGTAAACGCCTCTTTTTGGGAAGGTGGTGTTTCTGCTAGCCTTGAAAGAGGTGGTATTTCATTTCCTCCTGAAGAGGCCATCTCCATGGACCTTACAGTCTTGGAGAACTTTTTCCTGGTATCTAACCTTCCTTTTTAAAGCAAACTTATTTAGTGGATGGTGAGAGGCCTGATGAAGTAGATTATCTATACCTTTTGCAGTCAGAATTCAGGCCAGGGTATAGTATTGAGACATCTTCTGGTTGCTCTATATCAGTGATGGCTAACCTTTTCTGGACCAAGTATGTGTGTGTGCATGTGCGCTAATGCGCACGCACCTGAACTTCCAAAATTCAATGCACGTGCGGCCCCCTACAGGTGCCCCACCCCCATGCATGCGTGTGTGTCTCCCCACATGTGCCGCACCCCCATACATGCACACGCGCCCCTGCATGCCCCCTGCACATGTGCACGTTTCCCTCCGCACACGCTCTGTCCCCACACATGCGCGGTAGAGACCTGATGACCAGCTGGCCAGTGGAAGACACGCATATATGCACGGCAGAGCTGAACTAGGGCAATGGCTCGCGTGCCCACAGAGAGGGCACTGCGTGCCACCTTGGCACCCAAACCATAGGTTCGCCATCATGGCTCTATATGAAATGTTAATATATATACTGCTCAAAAAAATAAAGGGAACACAAGCAGAAGACAACTGAGATCTGAATGAATGAAATAGCCTTATTAAATACTTTGTTCGTAACATACAGTAGTTTATACACTGCTCAAACAACTAAAGGGAACACAAAACTACTGTATGTTACGAACAAAGTATTTAATAAGGCTATTTCATTCATTCAGATCTCGGATGTCTTCTGCTTGTGTTCCCTTTATTTTTTTGAGCAGTGTATATTGCTAGTTCATATATGATATATCATGGGCTAACTAACCACTGGTTGCCTTGTAGATGACCTTGGGGGGCTTGGTATAGGGTGATGTGTTTATCTTGGTTCTTCTTGACCTCTTGGCACTTTTAATATCATTGACCATTGAGTATTACTGGAGAGATTTGGGAGTGGGTGGCACTGTTTCTCCTTTCTCCATTGCTAGAAACAGGTAGTGATGGTGGGGAGAGGAGAGATTCAGCAATAGGCCCATTATGTGCAAAGCTGTTTGTTACTTCCTCATTGCAGCCAGCAGACCGCACAGCTCCAAAGCCTTTAATCATCGCTGGGCATGAGCATTATGAACTTAAAAGAATATTGGATTCTAGAATTTACAGGGGGCAATTACAATATTTAATTCATTGGAAGGAATACCCTATTTCGGAAGCCGCCTGGATAAAAAGCTGGAAAGTCAATGCTGATCGACCCGTTCAGAAGTTCCATGAAAAGTATCCACACAAACCCAAAAGGGATCTTACGGGTGGCAGGGGAGGTTAGTTTTATATGTAACCTAGTCGCATTTAATGTATTCAGTGTCATTACAGGATTTTCTTTTCAATTGGGGGGGGGAGCCTGCCAAACTCAAAAATTGACATATGTGTAGCTATTTTAGTTAGCTCTATATTATACTCATTTATTCCTTTTCTGTCTCTGCATATGTAAGGGTTTTTTCCAGGCTTGCCACATTCTTAAGATTGGGAGGGGGGAATAGATAGTGAGGATTGTTTCGGCTAGGTAACGTTCTTTCCCGTGGGAGTAGAGGCTGTCCTTGCTAAGAGCTGGAGGTGGAGTTTGAAGACACCGAGCAATGTTGATTTTGCTTTTATTGGGGAATGTGACTTTTGTGGGATGTTTCTAATTTACAATATTATGTGGTGTAATTCCAGTTTGTGTCTTTTGCCAATTTGATGTCTACCTAAATAAAAGAAATTTGTTTTGGAAGATGGACTTTGCATATTTCTTTTTTGAATGGGTTTCATTACTTGGGAACCTGACATTTATTTTTCTTTCATTTTGTTAGTTAATTCATGATGCTTTCCATTTACTCCTCTTACATTCCAACTTGCATTCTTTCATATATAATGGCTGGCCCCATCAAATTATCTCTGCCACCCATCAAACTTTGATCAGCTGAGTGTTTCACATACACAGCAGTAAGTGGAAAGGGAGGAATCTTTAGAAGGGCAAAGAATAATTTGGAAAATGCAAGTGACATTTCAATAAAGAACATGAATGAAATAGAAATTCATAATAAATGTCTGATGGAAAGTATGCATTGTCTTTTTTTTCAACTAAATTTGTAACATTTAATAAATAGATTAACTTTGATAACCAATCCTTTTAAGAACAAAAAATAAATCCTCCTAAATTCTTTTTTTGTTTTTACAGTTATTCATTAAACCTCTTCTAATAAAAAGAATGCTTGATAATTTACATTATCTTAATTGTTAAAAAAAAAAAGATTCCCATTGAAACAGTTTTGTATAATCGAGAAGATTTCTAAATGACTGTATGAATAAAATGTGAACCAGATTTAAAACTTTTTTCTATTTATTGACATTTGGGAGAACTCCCAGTCAAAATTGTTGTTAGTAAAGATGTTAATGATCAAAGGATTACTCCATGCCCTTAAAATTAACAAATTTCTTTTATAACCCTTTTGTAAGAAGAAATGAGTCTCTGGGTTCATACAAACATGCAAGGAACAATATATGAATCAGTCTATGTTTTTGTGCACATGCAGTATGCTTAGGATCTCCTCTTTCTCACCTGACAATAGTCGTAGTAGTATGTCTTGGCAGTTTAGATGATTCCACCAGCTTTGACAAGAGCTCAAAGAACAAGATTCCTCGGGCATCAACAGTCTCTTTGTCATCTTTCTTAGGGGCTGATGGGAAATAGAAGATTTATGTCAAGAAATTGCCAGCGTGGAAAAAGAGAATGCTAACAACATTGCAGAAGGGCTGGTAGCATAAGAATACTCTCATCTTGGAACACAAATCTGTCTCTTTTCTTCAGAGAAGCAATGAAAGTCCTAATCCCTGAGTCAATTCACAGTTCTCTCTAAAAGCATAAAGGGAATCTTTTTTGCATTCATCCCAGGATAATTACTGGGCATAAAATTCAACTATGAAGCAGTTTCTATTCAGTTAGTTCTTTTAATAGATTTTTTGAGTATATTTTTATTTTATTTTTAAATATTCATCAGCATCAATACATGAACAGTGTGGAATCTGGGTAATGTTCATTTTGATACAAATAAAAATAATAATATTTATTACATTAGTCAAACTTTTGTAATCTTTTAATACACATGTTTGTATTAAACTATAATCCTTCATTATTTAGTTGTTCAGAATTTTAATGTGCCATTCTAATGCCAATCACAATATTATTTCAGCATACATAGTAATACCATCTTTCAGCCTCTAATCTTTCCATCTGGTTATTGCTTTTATTCTATTATATAAAAATCTATATACTAATATTCCCCCTATTTCCTATTTCTACCTCTATTCAAACTTCTAGTCAGGCCACCATTACTAGTCCTAGTGTTGATACATATTTATATTGAAATATAGTCCTTCATTGTTTAGTTGTTCAATATTTCAATATGCCACTCTAATGCCAGTCACTATATTATTTAAAAATATATAATAATACCATCTTTCGACCTCTAATCTTTCTGTCTAGTTATTGCTTTTATTTTATTATATAAAAATGTGTATTCTTATTTCTACCTCTATTCTAGCTTCTAGTCAAGCCACCATTACATTAAAAAGCCTTTCCTTTTTATCCATCATCTCTTGCCGTTTTAATACTTCAATTCTTATTTGATTTTTGGCTTGCATCCCATATTCCTCTCTCGGATCTTTGTCTCTATCTACATCTACCTCTTTACTATTTAGTCTGAATATTTTCCCCATCTCTACCATCTTATGCTGCCAAGCCTCCAGAGTGTCTGCCCAAACCCCTATCTTCCTTTCGAAAGTATTTTCCTGTTTTTCCAATTCCATTTTTAAATCTCTTAAAATACTTTTTCCTTGATTTGTTTCATCAGTCATTATTGTCATTATTGTCTTCTCCTTCTTGTCTTCTTGCTTTATTTGTTGATTTGTCTGTTCTGTCTTTTCCTCCGTTCTTTCTGTTGTCTCCTCCCTTTCCTGGACATTTTGATCTTTATTCATTGTTCCTTATAGAATATTATCCATTTCCCCATCTATGCAATGCATTAGATTCTTTATCTCCCTGTAGTTTTTTGTCACAGTGTCATTGATACTTTGGAACATCAACACAATTTCTTTTAAAATTCCACTCATTTCCCCTTGATGGAGCATCTCGTCTTATTTTAGTAAGCCTCATTCTTGCTCAATAGTCCAAAAACCATATATTCAGGCCTAACGTTGCTCCTCAAGAGAGTACAATAATCATAGTTTTTTATATCCCAGGATTATTCAATCTGTTCCATTTAGATAGTCCAGGAAGCTTTCCAAATAACTTCTTACATCCACTCTATAGGTTTAGTCATATATCTTAGCAACAGAGAACTTGGCATGGGAGCACGGAGACCCACCCCTCATGTCTGATCTCGCCACGACGTCAGCAGGAAGTCCCATTAGTTCTTTTAGTAGCTATTGAAGAGTCTGTTTCCCTAGTCTGAAGTTTAATAACCATGTTTTTAACAACTGTAAGTGATTTGCTTAACAACCGTGGCAAAAAGTCATAAAATTGGGTCTAACTTATATTTTTGTTATTATGCAAGGCAGTTATTAACTGAGTTAGACCCAATTTTATGACTTTTTGCCATGGTTGTTAAGCAAATCACTTACAGTTGTTAAAAACATGGTTATTAAGCAAATCTGGCTTCCCTCTATTAACTTAGCTATCTAGAAAGGTCGCAAACGGTGATCACATGAACTCCGGGACACTGTAATTGTCATAAATATATGCCAATTGCCAACTGCATAATTTTTAATCATGTGACAGTTGTAAATGAAAGAACCAAATGTAGGTCACTTTTTCCAGAGCAGTTGTAACTTTGAATGGTCACTAAATGAATGGTTGTAAGTTGACTATCTGTATTGACTCTCTGCCCTCTCTTTGGCTTATTGCAATTCAGAGAGAAGACTATGCATTCCAGGTAATGGTGACTCTCAGTGGCATGGGAAAGGGTCAAAGGCGGTGCAGGGAATGCAGGGTGAGAAATGGAAAATTTGGAGTGGCCAAGTGTCAGAACAAAAATGCTTCCCTATCAGTCAGTGATGTGCAGCTGTCTACTAATGTTGTGGTCTGCCAGCAGCCTGCGGAGCTGGCAGCGGAATCAAACAGTGAGGAGGCTGAGGAAGAACATGGGCCAGTCCTGGAGGCTGGGGAAAGCCTGGATGAGGGCTCTGTGTCAGAGGCAGAAATAGGGCCAGGGCCATCTGGGAGTGATGTGCAGATTAAGAAGCCTCCAGAGGCTGACAGCAGAGAAGCAGAGGAACAGAAGGAGCCTGTTCCTAGTGGACACATGAGAAGAGCTGCCAGAAGGCAAGAGCAGCTAAAGCAAAAAGGACGACTCAGGCCAAGAGATGATTGGCCCCTCCCATAAGGCTTAAAAGACCAGCAACGGTTCTTGGGCTCTTTGTCGGAAAATAATGTTCATAGATTTGTTTGTCTTGCTGCATTTATTTCTTGTTGGCATCTTCTGCTTCTGAACTTTTGCCAAGAAAAGCCTTTGGCAGTTTGCCACAGTAGACCAAGGTTGGTGATAAGGTTGAAGAATTGTATTATGAAGAATTTGTTTTGAATTAGTTTGGACTATGCTGAGAATGAGTTAATTCTCAGTTGTTCTAATAAAGTCTGTTTATTTAGAACTGATTGCATCTGATAATACCTACTTGGGCCTGGATCACAACAACTACTCTAACTGCAGAGCTTAGATATGTGTTGATTCCTTAAGAAAGCTGTTGCTCAGTTCCTTGCTCATGTTTGTGTTGGAAGCACCAAGGTGCTTCCGGATTGAAAGGATTAGCTGGTGACATCACTGTTGCCCAAGTGACACTTCCTTGGGCTCTTTTCATGTTCCTGTGCTTAGTCCCTGAAAGGGCCTGACAATGATGAAACATGGATTTCATCATTGCTAAAAGATGGAGAACTGGAAGATCAGATATTCTGATGCTTCATGGAGCGAAGCTAGACATGATATTCTCAGGTACAAAAAATCAGAACGTCTTATTAAATTCTACTTAAGATTTATTGCTCACACCTATATGCAAGAATCTAGTCAACTAACTGTCAGCACCAAATTGGAACTATATAAGAATCAACAGAATTCAAGAGGGGCTGGACTTGGGTTTCTTGTGGAAAGTAATGAGTCCAGTCTGATTTCTTTCTTAATTCTGTCCCTAGAGTTTGTCTCTTCTCCTACAGATTAAAACCAAGCCAGTTTGTGATTGTGTGTTAAATGGAGATTGTGAGTTTTAATCCTAATTTAGATATGAAAGCCAGCTAGTTAACTTTGGCCAGTTATTCTTTTTCATCCCAGCCTACCTCACAGGGTTGTTGTGGGAAAAATAGGAGGAGGAAAGTGTATTATGTATGTTTTCTGCTTTCAGTTATTTATAAAAACAAAGGTGGGGTAAAAATCTAATAAATAAATAAATAATATTAAGTGCAAATATTTCTTCTGTTATTTTAATTAAAAATGTGCATGTTGCTTTTGGTTGCTTAGGTAACTTCTATATTATATTATCTACTTAATTATTTAATCTATTATCTTTTTAATTATCTTCTGTCCTAATACAAATTACTATTCTTTGGTTAAACTAGTAATCAAATTAAAGCTCTCCATATTTTCTAACTGTTTGTCATGGAATTAAAATTTAGACTTTTTCTTTTGTAAAGGAAATATTGATTTGGTAGTCAGCAGGGAAAGTAATATTATTTTTCAATTATGCTATTCATTTGTTTTAAGATGTATTACATTTTTTTAAAAAAAAAACTGTTCCAATTTTTTTTCACCCCTTTACATTTTCATCAATACAGACAAATATATAAATTTTGCATCTGTTTTTATTTTTGCTAACTCAAATTTAAATATTCCAATTTATGCAAATTTGTGTGGTTGCTACTGAGTTTTTAATCTGTATTTTTTAAAAAATCAGAATTACACATAAAATTACACTGAAGCCTTGTTCATTACATGTATTTTTAGAGCTATTCACTTCGTTATTCATTATATGATCAATGAATATATTAACTGGATTGAACACTATTATTGATACATATCAGGACCACTAAAGCTTAGTTCCTGGAATACATGCTAATGAGAGGGAGGGAGAAAGAGACAGAGAGAGAGAAAGAGATGGTAAGCTTGTCTTACCATTGCTTAGCAATGTTATCCCATTGTATTAAATACTACAGGCAATTTCTCATGGAAAACCCAAGATGCAGAATCTATATGGGAAATAGGGGATCTGTCCTACTGAAAAGAAGGTTCTCTTTATTCTCACCTACGGCCTGCATGAATCGCTTGGTATCTGTGATGATGTTGAGGAAATCTGTGAAATTTACTTTTCCATCTCCTGAAAAACAGTTCCCACAAAAAGAAAAAAAATCAATAACAATCAGTTAATAAGCTAGATTGAAAGGAGCTACTTCCAGTTATGCCTTATTCTTACTTCTGATGGCAACTCAACAATCTTGCCTGAACTGTAAAGGTAGTCTTTGACTTGCGACCATCCATGCCTTGATTATTCAAAGTTACAATGGCATTGAAAATGATGATGATTGTTGCAGTGTCCTTGAGGCCACATGATTGCTATCTATACACTGGACAAACCAGCTCACGCTTACGATGGTTGCAGCATCCTAGGGACACCATGCGATCATCATATGAGACCTTCCCAGCTGGCTTTTGACAAGCAAGGTCAATAGGGAAGCCAACAGGGATTGCAAGTCATGATCACCTGATGTCTTGCTTAGTGATTCATTTCATGACCATGGCAAAACTGGTCACAAAATTGGGTATTGTCACATGATGCCTTGCTTGCTTGCGTACTACTTAATGACAAATTTTCCAGGCCCCTTTGTGGTTATAAACCTAGGACTATCTGTACACTTCAGTTCATTCATTATTCCTGTGTATACCGGAATAAGAGTTCTGATTGTAATCCGATGATGTGCTGGGGCTGGCTCATACTAGCTTGCAAGAGCTGATGTTTTCTGGAATTTTGCATGCTGATTGAGAGCAGAACTCATGTGTGTCAGTCAACTGTTTGGCAGCTAGTGGTACAACATAGCTGTGAGCAATGAAGAGATTGATTTTTTTTTTGATTGGGGAGAAAGAATCAATTGTGATATTTATCATTATGCCACTCTTCTAAACAGTTTTATCCACCAGAATATGAAGAGACTGAAAGTGCATTTTATCTAATGCCTTACTTCTAATTATAGCCAGCCTACATACAACCTATAAGGGCAAACAGCTTCATTTGTTGTTTGTGTCCAGCATATACATGAAATGGGAGAGGGGGGAGGGTGGAAGTAACTTAATAGTTGTAAAACAGAACAAAAAACCAGGCAGGTTTCTGCAAGGAATATAGGGGATGATCTGACTGCATCAGCTCTAAAATGTAGATTGGATTAGGAAATTGGCTCCATAGGAAGAAGTATAGAATTTATAAAATCTTGAAATAGGAAAAACTATAGAACTATAGGGATCAACTACAGAGACAGAATCTTATAAGTCTGCTTGTGTTTCTCCTCTCCAACCTCAAAAAGTTTTCTTCCTAATACTCTCTTCCTTCCCAGGACTTCAAGGCCATCTTCCTGATTCTCTATAAATAGTGAGCCTAAGGATGGGTAGAGTGGGAATATGCTTCTCAAAACCAAGATGTAAAACTACAATAGTTGTCGAATTATGAGAATTGAGCCCAAAATTTCTGTTGCTAAGTGAGAAATTTGTTAAGTGAGTTTTGCCCCATTTTACAACTTTTCTTATCATTGCTGTTAAGTGAATCACTGCCATTCTTAATTTAGTCACATGGTTGTTAAGTGAATCTGGCTTCCACATTGACTTTGCTTGACAGAAGGTTGCAAAAGGTGATCACATGACCCAGTGGCATTGTGACCATCATACGTATGAATCAGTTGCCAAGATCTGAATTTTGATTACGTGATGCTGCAATGGTCATAAGTGTGAAAAATGTTCATAAGTCACTTTTTTCAGAGCCATTGTAACTTCGAATGGTTGCTAAATGAACTGTTGTAAGTCAAGGACTATCTGTATATCCAAGGTATCTGAATTTTAGCTTTGTACAAATTTGCAATTCTTACTGAGAACTGGTGTTTCTCCCCAACTCATTGGCATCCGTTGTATATAAGACATTATGCACATAAGAAAAATGGAATTGTTAATCTTTGTTTACTGACTGCCTCATTCACTTACTGTTTAGTTACAATAATGCTGAAAAATGAATTTCACAACCAATGTCAGCATTTAAGATCTTTGTAGCATCCATCAATCACACAATTGCTGTTATAGTCAATCTGTTTTATCCTGTGCCTATTTTTTTCCCCTATGCAGAGCAAAAAGTTGGAGAGAGAGAGTAAGCAGGCAGATAGAGAATACATTGGGCTGTTTGCATAGTGCAGGGGTATCAAACTCAATTTCATTGAGGGCCGCATCAGGGTTGTGTTTAACCTTGGGGGGTGGGTGGGTGGAGTGGGCGTGGCTAGCTTGATGTCACTCATGTCGGAGGCACATGTGGTGGCCTGAGTGCTCTGGCAGAGAAAACAGGCTCCTGAGCTCCATTTTTGGCTGCCCCTCTGCCAGCAAAAATGGAACTCGGGAGGGCTGCCCATAGCCCTTCTGAGGTCTGTTTTAGCTGGCAGAGGCACCGTGGGTCAGTCCTTCGCTGTTTCCAGGGCAGCCCTGCGGGCCAAATCTAAGCACCGGGCAGGCCGGATCCGAAACCCGGGCCTTGAGTTTGACACCCCTAGCATAGTGTGCTTATTGTTGCTGGCACCACTTTTCATGCATGTTCCATGCATCTCCAATGAATTTAAATACAAACATTAATTTATTCCAGTGCCTAAAATTTCAAAGAGGAGGGGAAAACCCACACATCAAAGTTGTGGAACTGATTAATTAGTTTAGTTTAGTTTAGTTTAGTTTAGTTTAGTTTAGTTTAGTTTACTTGTCATTGCACCTCATACAACAAAACTAAATGCCATCTTCAGTGTACCTTATAACTATAAAAATAAAACACAAACACACATCCTTCACATTCTATACAACTGAAAACCCCTGATATTGCATTAATATTGCACTATACAGTAGATTTACTCTATATAGTAAATTTTGTTAGTTTCAAGCCAGAAAACAGTTATGGTGGTATAATTTTCTACTTACTAATTGCTTTGCTAAGCAATGGCGTTATTGGTCCTAATTATCACTACTAAATTTTTTGGGTTTTTTAGCTAATTTTGGCCTTAAATCTAATACTTTTAAGAATTTTTAAATTTAAATTGTGATATTTGTACTGTGTTTTACCTGGCTGTACACTGCCCCGAGTCCCTCGGGAGAGGGGCAGTATAGAAATAAAATTATCCTTATCCTTAAATAAGACCTATCGCCATGTACTTACCATCCATGTCAGCACATTCTAGTTCGTCAAGAACTTCCTCCTCTGTTAAGTTGATTCCTAAACTATGGGCTGTGGTCCCTAGGGCTGCCTGATCAATTATCCCATCAAGGTCCTTTCTGAATGCATCATAAGCTGTCCGGAAGGCTATGCAGAGATACAGAGTGAGAGAGAGGAAAAGTAGGAGGTGAGACTCAGGAAAAGTGGAAGCAAGAAATACCTGCTCACCAGCCTTTTGCTATGAATGTACCCTGTCCTTGCATCTGATTCCTAGTAAATCCCATTATTGTCTTATAGTCTGGGAATTAATTAAAAGAAAGAACTGGCCAGCCCAATGTGTCCCCTTCCAACACGCTGGACCAGTTGTCATAATTATCAGCCATAATTGACTATGCTTTCTGGGAAGGTTGGAAATAATGATTAATGCATTTGGAGGAACTGAGATAGCACCAGATGATTTAAAATAAACATGCTTCCCTGTTTTCCACAGAATTTTAAATGTAATTATTTTCTATATTTTGTACTTCATACAACCAAATTGCATATCCTCCAACTCCAGTCCCAAATTCTGGAAACTGTTTTAGGAGAAACTTGGCAATTTCTTCTCTAAAGCTACTACCCAATCTGATGCTTGCAACATTGTGGTCATATGACTGGATGGGCTTGGCCAATTTTTTTCATTTTAAATCGTTTAAAACATTTTTAACTAGTAAAAAATGCTTTAAAAAGTAAAAAAAAAAAAAGGTTCCAATGATCAGCACCTGACCTGCCTTACTCCCCTCGCCAAGCCAGATCCAACGGCTCCTAGTCCCAAAGATTGCCCACCTTTCTACAGCCACCCAGTCTGGGAGATGATTGGGGGGGGGGAGAGAAAAACAAAGCGCTCAGCTGCTCCCCTCTTTCCCTCACCTCGAGCTTTCTGCTGCAGATTTTCACGCCTTGCTTCACGTGTCCGGGATCGTCGCCCTCGTCTTTCTTCCTCCTCCTCTTCATCTTCCAAATGGAAAAACACCAGGAGCAAGTGCAAAAAGAAATGTGCACTTGGACTTCCGGTTGGCTCCGCAAGCTTTGAAGGCGCTCTTTTACGAGCGCCCGATCCCCGGTTCCGTAAAAGCCCCAGAACAGCCGAAAAACAGCTGTCTGGAGGCTTGGAACCCTCTCCCCGGGCAAAGGGGAGAGAGAAGAGTCGACAGGCAGAGGTAGAGCCCCCCAAGTGCGCTAAGAGAAATCCTGGGGCGCAAAGGGTGTGGGCTCTCTATTGAAGCCTGTCAAGCTGCTCCGGACCAGGGACGACTCCACCAAAGCGGAGCTAGAAGCTGCGACCAAAATCTGCTGAAAATCAATGGGGGGACTTTTAACATCTTTACTTTGATCACAGACAGAGCAAATCAGGAGAAAACAAAAAGGAAAACTTGCAAGTAAAACTTTAACTCCGTTTTAAAATACAGAAAATGGCGCCTGAGGGCGGGAGGAGGAAACTACCAGGGAAAGTGCTTGTTAAGGCTTGTTAACATTTGCAACAGTGATACAGCTACTGGATTGCACCCTAAGAGAAAGTTTTAAAGTGGAAGCGGCCAGGGAAAGAATTTGGTATTGAGGAAAAGAATTTGGTACTGACTTTAACTAAAATCTGGTTTTTATACTGTGTGAAAAAGAGTTGAATTGTTGTTCTGATAGCTGGATGAATACAAAGTGGCTGAAATATGGCTGACAACAAGGCTGGTGAATCAGCAAATTCCCAAGCCGTGACTGCTCAGGCTTTTCAAGAACTTCTAGACTCTTTTACTTCTGCCCTGTTGGATACAATTGAAAGGGCTTTTTCAAAAAACAGCTTGGGAAAATATAAGCAGTTGTTAGAGGGACAGCAGGAAAGTATTCAGAGGAATTTGTTTTTGGAAAATCAAGAGATGGACACGATTAAGAGACAGGCTGGCACAGTTGAAACAAAGGATTTGGTGGACGTTTCCATTCAAATGACAGAAAAGCAACAAATAGTTTCTTTATTGCAAGCTGACAATCTTTATGGCAACAAATTTTGATTATATGGACAAAGAAATGGACTGAATGATTATACAAGCAAGAAGAGATGAACTGGGGATTTCAAGTTAGAAAACGCGACCTCAAGAAGAGAGCGAGTATTTCAGAAACATCAACCTCAAATCACCATTTTAAAAGTTTCAAAAATAAAATTGGGGGGACTGTTGAAAGAATTTATAAAAAAAAAGGATTGGAAAAAATATAGAAAGAAGAGAAGAACAGAAGATTAAGAAAGATATCTTCCTGTGGATTTTGAAATTGGCATCGGGCAAATATGTGTTTTAATGGTATTAAGAGATTTTTAAAATGTTTAACATAAGGTTATATTATTTTAAAAGATATATGAGATAAATTGTATAAGCTTTTAAGATGCCTAACCCTTTGAAGCGAAGAGGATTAATGTTAAATTCAGAATTTTATTGCAAAATGATAATTAGTTTGGATAGTAAAAGTTAGAGGTATTAAGACGGTTAATTGAAAATTTGAAAGCCATCCTCCTGTAGATTTTGAAATTTATATTTGGTAGATAAGTGTTTCAAAGGTATTAAGAGATTTTTAAAAGGTTTAACATAAGACTACATTATTTTAAAAGATATATGAGATAAAATGTGTAAGATTTTAAAATGAAAATTTTTTCTTTTTTTTTTTCTTTCTCTTTGAAGAAAAGAGGATTATGTTAAACTCAGAATTTCACTAGGGAGTAATGTTCAAAAAGAATGATGTTCGAGGGTATAGAAATGGAATTTATTCATGATTTTTACTGTTTGTAAGACTGCTAAAGTATTGGATTATACATCAAGAAAAAGTTGTTTTTTTATATATATAAGTAGGAAGAATGAATTTAATTTGATTGGTTTTGAGAATTTATAAAAGGGAGGTTGATGAATTGGAGCAAAGGGAGTTAAAGAACATGTGGGAGTTTTGAACTTTATAATTTGTTAGTTTATTTTAGCATATGTTTGTTAGATGCTATACCCTGTTTTTGCTCTGGGAAGTCAGGGGGTGAGTGGGGAGGGTGGGATAAGGGATGGTGGGGGGGAAGTGGTGAATAGTGAAATGTTTTAGCAGAAGAAAGTATCCATGAGTAGAATACAGGAGTTGCTCAGACACTAAAGGAGGAAAATATTTCACAGCAAAGAAGTTAGAAAGGAGAGAGGAGGAAGGGGTAGGAAGAGAAGAGGGAGGGTGAGGAATGGAAGAAAGGAGAGGAGGAAGGGAAGGGAAGGGGACAGGAGTAGGAGTGAAGGTGAGAGGGGGGAAAAGAAGAGAGAAGTGGGGGAAAGGGAAAGGAAGTAGGATGAGGTGGGAGAGGAGGCAGGAGAAAGTAGGAGAGAAGAGGAGGGAGGGAAGGGAAAGAAAGGAGGAGAAGAAGAAGGTTTGTTGTGGAATGAGGGAAGAAAGAGAAGAAGAGCAACTCCGAATGTAATTAAAATGTCTTATTTTAATGCTTTCTTTAAGGGAAACATGTATATGTAGAATTTCTTATGTATAAGAAAATGTACAATTTCTATTATGTGGGGAAGGGGAAAGGGTGGGGGGGGGGAGAAAATTGTTTGTATTTCTTATAAAACTTTTCAATAAAAAAACAAAAGAAATGTGCACTTGCTCATGGTGTTTTTCCATTTGTAGAAAGCTTTCGTACCTGTCAAGGCAAGTCTGGCTTCCTGCGCTGCTTGCTAAAAATCTCACCAGTACCGCTGTGCATGTGGGTTGTCTGTGTATATGTGCTTTTGCTCCTGGTCTTTCGCAGCAGCCCATGCCCGACGTCCCGTCCCCAGCTGGCTGAACCGGAGTTGGGGAATTCACCTGTTCTGGCCTTGCCCAGGCTGGGCTGGCTGAAGCCGCCCCCAGATCGCGCTCCTTGGGCGGTGGGTCTGCTCGAGGGAGATGCCTTGGGGGTCATGCGGTGGGACAGATGATTTCCGCTGTTCTTAAAGGCCCCAGAGTGGATCCGGGCGCTGCCATTCTGAGCCTGCCAGGGGCAACCACTGTCTCACCTGTTGCACTGCCCAGACAGGCCAGCTGGGGGTCTCCAGGGTGGCCGGAGCAGCCGAGGTGTCCCTTCCCAGGCCGGTGGGTGTAGGGTGCCTTTAAGATGAGCACCCAGGGACAAGACTTTGGGCATGGGCTGCTGCGAAAGACCAGGAGCAAAGACACACACACACACACACAGAGGCTCAGAATGGCAGCGCCTGGATCCGCTCCGGGACCTTTAAGAGCAGTGGAAATTGGCTGTCATGGGACCCCCAAGGCAACTCCCCTGAGGGGACCCACTGCCCAAGGAGCATAATCTGGGGGCGGCTTTGGCCAGCCCAGCCTGGGCAAATTTCAGCCAGCCAGGGATGGAACGTCGGGCATGGGCTACTGCGAAAGACCAGTTGCAAAGACACACACACACACACACACACACACACACACACACACAATCCGCACGTACAGCAGTACTGGTGAGATTTTTAGCGAGCAGCGCAGGAAGCCAGACTTGCCTTCACAGATACGAAAGCTTCCTACAAATGGAAAAATGCCAGGAGCAAGCGCACACTTCTTTTTGCACTTGCTCCTGACATTTTTCCATTTGGAAGACAGAGAGGAGGAGGAAGAAGAAGATGAGGGCGATAATCCCAAGGCGTGAAGCAAGGCGTGAAAATCCGCAGCAGGAAGCTTGTGGTGAGTGAAAAGGGGGAGCAGCCGAGCGTTTTGTTTCTCCGGAACCGGTAGTAAAAAAATGCTTAAAAAAAAAAAGTTCCAACGATCGTGCGTCACTCAGCATTTTTTACTACTAGTTCGGGTGAACCGGCTTGAACTGGTAGCATTTCACCCCTGACCCCCCCTTAAAATACCTTTTGTGGCTCTGGAGCCATGGCCATGGACTCCCAAGACTTAACTCAACATTTAAATTATACATCTGTTTTTCAAGACACTCCCTGTGAGAACATTGTAGCCCTCCAAGGGTCGGTGGACCACAGATTGAGAACCCTGAATCAGAATATTAATTAATTAATTAAGTAATTACGTAATCAATCAGATTTATATTGCTGCCCATCTCATGGAGACTCTGGGCAGGGTACAACAATCCAATAAAATAGTAAAATAAATAAAACAATCATAATTTAAATTATTATATGATTATTAGAAAAACAATAAAAACAAAAAAAGTAAAAACAAATTTTTTGTAAAGAAGTTGTAATATTATAGAAGGTTACTGAAGGTGCTTTAGGGATCAAAGCACTTTAAAAAGTGCATGGCCAGAAAAAAGAAAGCAAAAGATTTGTAACAACATACCATGAAAGCACAATATCACTTTATTTATATATTTTCTTTTTTGGAAGCTGATTTCTTACAGTAGACATTAAAGTATCATCATGCATTTTTCTGAGGACTATGAAGATTGTGCATGATATAATTGCAATACAAGTTAACCACCAAATCTTTGATAAAATCTATGATAAACAGCAGTATTATTTTTAAAAGCTTAAATGTTTCTATTTTAAGCTTGGAATCTCTAAATAAAAACTCTTCCCCACAAAACAATTCTCATGAAGAAGGCAGATTTAAATTAAGTGTGTAAATTAACAGGACAGGACTAATGATAAAATTATTACATCTTTCAGACACATTCTTCACAAACTATATACAGGGCAGGGGTGAAATTCAAAAATTTTCCCTACCGGTTCTGTAGGTGTGGCTTGGTGGGCGTGGCAGGAGAAGGATACTGTAAAATCGCCATTTCCACCCCACTCCAGGGGAAGGATACTGCAAAATTCCCATTCCCTCCCCACTCCTGGAGGAAGGATATTGCAAAATCTCCATTCCCACTGCACCTTGGGGCCATCCAAAGGTGGTATTTGCCAGTTCTGTAAACTACTCAAAATTTCCACTACAGGTTCTTCAGAACTACTCAGAACCTGCTGAATTTCACCCCTGATACAGGGCCTTGAGAAGATTCAAGTTATATGATTTCTACGCAGGAGAAATACCTTCTAGCTGTGGCTTACTCAGGTTCTTTACTGCTTTGGATTTGGCCTCTTCGTTGAAAGTTACAGAAGGGAAAACCCTGTCCAAATTAAAAAACAAACGATACTGATTAATTTCCAAGAACTTTACTGTTTTTTTGAAAAAGGGGAAATACTGGATGCAAAATGCAGATGTTTCTCGAAAAACTGTTGAGTACAGCCATTGTGAATAATCAGCAATGTAAGAAAAGCAATTGCTCAGTAATTTACTATTACAATTATTAAAGGGAGACTGATTCCTTGAAAGTTTTATTATGAAATATTAATATGTCATCTGGATACTGATTTGCATATTTCAAAATAGTATGGGAGACAAATAATATGTTTAAGCAACAAATGCCTTTTAAAATTCACTCCAGCCCTGAAAACCCACTACTTAATCACCAAAGCTTCAGTGGGACAATAAAAATCAGATGTATAAATCTTACTCTACCTGTTTGGTGTTTGGAGAAATGACTTCTCCACCATCCTGGGCAACTTGAACATCTTTGCATCTGGCATTTTATTTGGATATGTTTCTATGAAGAAAAGAGAATACATCTACTGTCAAGACCAACAATTCTGTTCCTGTTATTGAATCATTGCTCATTTCTTTGGGCAGAGCCAGTTTTTTCTACCACAATGATTTATGTTGTCATCTTTATAGATTTATTACAATTAGATGATTTTTAAAGCAGAAAAGGCAAGAATACCAGATAAAGCATATGAATTCATGTTTGAGTGGTAGAGTCTTTCTCTAGGAGGCAGAGAATTAAGATTTTGAGAATGCATCCTTTGTCAGTTTACTATATTCACTATAACAGCGAATTACTACAGAGCCTGTAGTACAGTGGACTAAAGCACTGTTATTAACAACTGCTGCTTGCAATTACTGCAAGTTCAAATCTCACCAGGCTCAAGGTTGACTCAGCCTTCCATCCTTTCAAAGGTAGGTGAAATGAGGACCCAGATTGTGGGGGCAATAAGCTGACTTTGTATAAATATACAAAAGTATGAAGGCTATTGCTTAACGCATTGTAAGCCGCCCTGAGTCTCCGGAGAAGGGCAGCATATAAATTAAAGCTAAAATAAAATAAAATAAAATAAAATAAAATAAAATAAAATAAAATACTAACAGTGTATGTAAAGGAAGAAAAGCATATAGAATCTTCAAATCCAGCATTAATACAGCTATGCTAAAAATAACTATGCTCTCATCTCCTACTTAAGACTATCCAGTCAACTTCATACTAAGTGCTGATCTTCATTAGTCCAGGATCATCATAAGACTAGTTGGCAGCAGAATCATCTTAGCAGAATGCTGCTCAATTTCATATTTGCTCTACATACACTTGTATGCACAAATATAGACTGAAATTTTCCCCATATTTCTATCAGTGCTAGAACAAAGAAATAGCCACCAGATGTAACTTCTACATGTTTTGTATGGACAGTAACTGAGAGTTTTGTTCCCTTTTTATGGGAATCAGCAGTGAACCCAAAAACACCAAGAGCTTCTTGCTTCCTTCATGAAAAGCACCAGAAAACAGTTCCCGCCCCCAACAATTTGGTTTCTAAAATATAATGACATATCATTATCCTTAATGATCTTATATTAATCATATATGAACCAGTTAAATTTCAAGCAGTCTTGCTTAGAAATGCATATTTCATTCCTGTTTAAGTTTCTCTTATGCAAAAGTGTGATGGACTGCCTTCTGTTCACGTAACCATAGAAGTCAAACAATGTTGAATGGGGTGTGACTAATTTTGGAGGTTATCTCATTCTGATATCATTAATCTCATATCCTATGAGCTTCCTGTTCTGTCCTTTCTGACTTCCCTCCTAGAAGAACAACACATCCTTTAAATTTCAGATTGCCCTCTGCAGTCTTCTCCAACTTGGTTACCTCCAGAATTTTTTAAGTAAAACCCATCATACCAGTCAGCACAGTAAATGATTTCTGATTAAGGATGATGGTCTCTGTATTCTAACACATCCAGACCATATCAGATTGAAGGAGAGTGTTCTGGAGGAGGCACATGACATAACTCCTAAAACATTCACTTTTCATATAACTTCTTACCATGGGGCAGTTGTCCTTCAACTTTATAGAGTTAAAAGTTGAAAACTTGCTTGTGGTCAGGACATTATGACCTATAGCTGTCTTTCATGTACCCTGGACAACCAATAGCCCTTAGTAATATTGAGGATCTTCAAAGCATAAACTCACTAGTTATACAGAGCCTATGGACATCCAGGAGGGAGTCTGGATTGATTGGCTTGTGAAAGGATAGCCATGATCAAGTGAGCAGATTTATGTCAATCCATAATCAAAGTTACTGACAATGAGAATAATCTTCATTTATTCCCAAGGATACTGGAGGCCATGAGCAATTAAACACACATCTTTTGGAATTTGGAGATAAGAGCTAAGAGAACCTTCATATTTTCCTTGGCCAAGATTATCCTTGCTACTCACTCCTTGGATAAAGAATGGAGAATCTTAAAGAATTGGCACTGCATATTCTGTTGCCTCATCATCAGTTTGTAAACTTTTGATCTGATTAATTTCTTTATCTTTATGGATGAGTTAAGCATGGAATTTATATGGTACAGAATGCAGTGGCAACCCCCAGGGTGCCACATATGATACTGCTGTTGTACAAGCTACACTGATTACCAATTTGTTTCCAGGCCCAATTCAAGGTGTTAGTTATTACCTTCAAAGCTCTATATAGCAAAGCAATAAGTAATCTTTTATTTGCTTTGGAGTTAGGAAATACTTTTGTTTTTGCCACATGGAAGCTGACGGTGTAAAGACTTTCTCTTTGGTAGTGAAAGTAATCTGATTTTATTTACATCTACACAGGACTATTGCAAGGACTTTGTATTTTACTAGTTTTTAAAAGAGCTTTGCTGCTTTGTTTTTGTATTTATTTTTGGTCTCTTTTTTTTCTAAAGAGATAGGAATTCTTTTTTTCTGTTTATTCTCTATCATGGGAAATATTATCTTAATTTTTCCTGCAGACATTTTGTTACACAACATCTACTACTTCTTTTGTCCTTGAAAGGAATTGTGTACATTTTGTTGTGAAAGTCCAGCTATAAAAGAATTTTGGACTACATTAAAAATGGAAACAACAATAAATGATTTAATGCAAAGGTTGACTTGAACTTGGGTCTTCCAATTTCTAGACCAATACTAACTATTATACACTTTCTATGAATGTATCCTGTTGAATTCTTCCATACTAACTTATGCTAGCAATGAATTCAGGGATGTGTTTAGGGATCAGCATCTCTGGGTATTTGTTAAGGCCCATCTTAATTTTGGCCTGCTAGGCTGCATCAGAGGAAATATAATTTTGAATGCTCCTCCAGATTCATAAAAGCAACTCAAAAAAATACCGATTTTCTGATTGCTAAAGATTCTTGTACTTGAGGAAGGTCATTCACCATATATCTTTCACGCACTCCTTCCTATTACCTCAACAGGCAAAGCAAATTAAATACCCATTTTTGGGGGAGAGGTATTCTCACAATTAATCTTGCTGAAAAAGAAAAGGACAATTTCACAAAGAAACATCACTGAAGAGCCATAACATGACAACATAATTAATACAGAAGAAGAAGAAATTAAAGAATAAAGGTCAATTCAAGAATGCTCAATTTTCTTGTCACAGAAGCTCATTATGCCACATGGCAAAAAAACCCCAACAGCTAGAAAAATACCTTCCATCAAAAGAAGGCGATAGGAAGTTTTAATACTAAGACAATTCATTTCCTTTGGATGCTGAAAGATAGAATATTAAAATATATGAGGGAAAAAAAATCAGTGATAATATACTCTGATGTTGCTTCATGACTCTTGTTTTCCACTAGGCTGGGCATTAGATTAATTGATTAACTAACTCCTAAATACTAAGGAGTTTTCAATTAAATTCAGTTTAATTACTAGCAGTGTTGGAAGGAAATTCAAAAGGGAAATAAGGACTTGTACACTAATAGGTTCAGGGAAGTAGGGATGATGACTAATTCTTTATCATTTTACTGAACTGTGAACTTTATAGAAATCTAAAAGTGCAAGACATTCAAGAAAATATTTCATTCTTTTGAGATATTTTTGTTAAGGGTTTGAGATACTTTTGTAATAGAAGATAGAGCTACATTTGTGTGCATGTTAAATTATTACCCCACCACCCCCATATAGGCAATATATGTTGTTTTCCTGATTATTAGTAGAATTTGGTGGTAATGCTTAGCTCACCTGATTAGTAGTAGCAACACAGTTGGGTGGAAAATTGTGCTAAGAACCTCCACTTCAACTGTTCTGCCCTATCATCCAAAGAAAAACTTACCGAGAGAAGATGAGTTAGAGAAGGTGTGACTGTCACCAGAAATGTTTGTAAAGTCTGTTGAACTTACAGTTTCATCTTCTGGAAAATAAAAAGGGCAAGTAAGAAAAACAAGAATATTCAAATACCTATTGCAGAGAAACAAAATAAAGCTAACTTCTAGATGAAACCCAAATAATGGCTAATAGTCCCTCATGAGAAGACTCTCATAGTAGTTTGTTCACCAATATTTGTTTTTAATTTACAGGTATGTTTCCTCAAGAAACATCATAGTAATAAACTGCAATTAAAAGAAATAAATACCAGAGTATCTAAAATTCAAGTTAAAACTATAGTTTAAGTCTGACTAGCTTTAGAGTGGATTCTGGGGTAAAGCAGCCTTTGCCAAAGGATGGAAAGAGAGAATATGATGATGTTTGATCATTTGGATCTCTCACTGGCTTTGAATACCATTGATCAAGGAAGTCTTCTAGATCACCTGAGGAGTTTAGGGATAGAGAGTACTTGAATTGCAGTGGTTGACTCCAAAGTCTTAAAAACTAGTTTCTGTGTTTGGTTAACTGTTTCTCAGAGATTTGTTCTGTCACCAGCATTTTCTGTGATTGAGATGAAACTGCTGGATGAGATCATCAGGAAATTTGAGATTTATGTAAATTACCACAACTTAATAATGATTATTATCAAGGCACTTTTTTTTTGTTTGTTCTAAGTTTTTATTTTGTTTTATAACATACAAAAATTCCAATTTCAATTGAACAGTGTGTTGTCTGGGTACAAATCATTTTAGGAAATAATAATCAAAATGTTTACAACAATATTCCTTGCATTAATATCAATTATATTCATCATCATCATCATCATCATCATCATCATCATCATCATCATCATCATATTTGTGTAGCCAAGTTAACATATGTTCCTTATATCACTGATACTTCCATATATTTCCCTTTTTCTAGCTCCTGTTTTTGTCAGCTAGCCAGTGATAAAATAAGTCCCAAGTCAAAAAATATTCAGTTTTTCTTTTCCTTAATTGTAAGTGTTAGCTTATCCATTTCTGCACATTCTAATATTTTTCTAATCACATTCTCATCTATTGGGATCTCTTCACTTTTCCATTGTTGTGTAAATAGTATTCTCTCTGTAATCAATACTCTTGTCTGGTAAAATGCCCAACAAAAATGTCTCTGGTTTCAAATCTATATGTTGTTTTATCATTTTTTCCAGCCATGTATATATTTTTGTCCAATATTTTTTCACTTTTTGACATGTCCACCACATATTATAGTATGAACCAGGTGTCTGATGACATTTCCAACATTTTGCAGATTTATCCATAAACATCTTTGCTAATCTTGAGGGTGGAAAATGCCATCTATAAAACATTTTATAAAGATTTTCTTTGTATACAGTCATTCATTGGCAACCTTCAGTCTCAAAAGACTATGGTATCATGCTCTGGATAGAGGTCCTAAAACAGCATGTGGTGTGACTAAAAAGGCCAATTCGAGAATGGCAATCCCTTTCACACTGAGGGCAGATATATTCTGTCCCCTGCCCAGCCCCCAGATTTCGCTGGTTCCGGGACTGCCTCTTTGCCTCAGCCTGCCGAACAAGTGTTTCTTCAAATTGGAGAAGGTCATGCTACGTCTTTAGCTTCCAAGCTGAAGATCAGAGACCAAAGTTTCCTAGTCATTAATGTCCATTCCCAAGGCCTTTAGACCCCTCTTGCACATATCCTTATATCGCAGCTGTAGTCTCTCACTTTCCCTGCACTAGTTCTCCATATGCATACAGTAGACATTGTTAATTTATAATTTCTATCCCATAATTTCTGCCATTTATCTAACTCAATCGAATAGCTAAAATTTTTAGCCCATGCTATCATTGTCTCTTTTACTTGTTCATCTTCCATCTTAATACTTAACAAATAGCTATATGTTTTCTTTATTAATTTTTCATCTGTCCCTGTTAATATCTGATCTACCATACTTTTCGGAGTATAAGGCACACTTTTCCCACTCTAAAGGAGGGTGGAAATGTAGGTGCGTCTTATAGATTGAAAACGGCCATTTTTGGCCTCCCGAAACCTCGCCCCGCTCATCCCATTTTTGCCAAACACGGGCCCATTTTTCACAAAAACAGGACACATAGAGGGGTTGGGAAGCCTGCAGAGCAGGGGTGAAATGCTCCTGGTTCGGACCGGATCGCCTGATCCAGTAGCGATGGAGGCGGGTGGTTTGGGGAACCGGTAGCAAAAATCCCTGTCCCTCCCCCCATATCCAGCTGAGCCGCACAATCATCAGAGGCTTTTTTTTACTTTTAAAAGCATTTTTTCTACAACCTCTTTGGCTGAAAAAATGCTTTTAAAAGTTTTAAAAAAAGCCTCCGATGATCGCGCGGCTCAGCTGGGATCCTCAAAGGCTTTTAAAAGCATTTTTTCTACAACCTCTTCAGAGGTTGTAGAAAAAATGCTTTTAAAAACCTCTGAGGATCCCAGCTGAGTTGCCTAATCGGCAGAGGCTTTTTTTCTTTTAAATGCCTCTAATGATCCCAGCTGAGTTGCCTGATCAGTAGAGGCTTTTTTTCTTTTAAATGCCTCTGACGATCCAAGCTGAGTTGCCTAATCATCAGAGGCATTTAAAAGAAAAAAAGCCTCTGCCAATCAGGCAACTCAGCTGGGATCGTCAGAGCCTTTTGCAAGCATTTTTTTACATCCTCTTCGCTGAAGAGGTTGTAGAAAAAATGGTTTTAAAAGTAAAAAAAAAATGGCCATGCCCACCCAGTCACATTACCCCCCCCCAACCAAGCCATGCCCACAGAACTGGTAGTAACAAATTTTAGATTTCACCACTGCTGCAGAGTGCTCCTAGGGGCTGGGGAGAACAAAATCCAGATGCACGGACACAAATTTTTTTTTTATATTTTCCTCTTCGAAATCCTGGTGAGTCTTTTACTCCGAAAAATATGGTAATTCTGTTAATTCTTTATATAAACCATACATTTTAACATCCTTCTCGTATCTAGATTGTACCTGCACATATGACCACCATGTTATCTAAATCCCTTGCTCACTCAATTCCTGTTTAGTTTTAAGCTCCCCCTTTTCATTTAAAATATATTTATATCTTTTGTTGTGCTAATGAGGAGTATAATTTCCCAATTTTAGGATATTCCAATAATTTATTGTGTTGTTTTTGGTTTGTGAACTTCTTGAAGACAAATAAAATCTAATTTAACTTTCCTAATTTTTAAAAGTACTTTTCTTTTTCGTAGGAGAATTTAGTCCATTTCTATTAATCAAAAGTAGTTTTATTTCATCTTCCATAGTTTTACTTGTAGATAAGTCTTATTATTCTGGTCATTCTTATTTGTTCTTTTGTCTTTGCACTTTCTTGTTCTGCTGTCCTTTAATTCTGTTTCATCTTTTTGTTGTGCATTTCTTCCTCCTGATGCTTCTTCTTGTTCCTTGTCATCTATCTCATCTTTCTTTTTTCCTCATATGATCCAAATTGCTCATCGTAAAATTGCTCTGCTTTCTCTATAGTATCCAGTCTATGCTTTTGATCTGTCAAGGTCACCAGGATTCCCTCAGGTATCAGCCATCTGAAATTTACTTCATGCTTAATTAATTGTCTTGTCAGAAATTGGCATTGTTTTCTCGTGTCTCTTACTCTTCTAGGGATTTGTTTCAGAACTATTATTTCTCTTCCTTTATATTTCAATATGTTATCTCTTGCTTTTTGAAGTATCTCTGTTCTTAGTGACTTCTTAGTAAATCTCACATGTACCTCTCTAGGTAGTTTATTTCTTGATGCATATCTTGTGTATACTCTAAATATTTCATCCATTCCAGCAAGCATCTCTTGCTTGTCCCCCTTCAAGACATCCGCCAACAATTCTGCCATTATCTCTGCAAGGTTTTCCTCTTTTTCTTCCTCTATATTCTGGAATCTCAAAAGTATTCAGCTTTATCCATCTCCAACATAATTACTGTTCTCTCAAGATTTTTGTCTGCCTGTGTAAATCTATCATCCATCTCAAGTTTCTTCTCTGTTTGTTCTGATTGCTCTTCTATTTTCTGCATCCTTTGTTCATTTTTAGTTATTGTTTGTTGAATGTTCTCCATTTTATCATCCATCTTTTCCATTCTTTCCTTCATGTCTTCAAAATGTTTTGTTGTGGCTTCTTGAAATGTTTGGAGCATTAATTTCAATTCTGCTTGCATCGTATTCATCGTGTTCATTTTTTCCTGCTGCAACATGCTATCCAAAGATCTGTGACTTGCTGGATTAGATGCAGCTGCTGATGCTGCTGATGAGGGCGCTGATGTATTTTTTTTCCCCTACTTTGCTTAAGTTTGAAGTACTAGTCATTTTGAGATTGTCAAAATCTTGAGATTGTCAAAAAATTTAAAAAGAATAATCAGCATTGACACAAATAATATTCTAATATTTCATCAATCCCCCACCAATTTCCACTTAAAAAGTATTTTTACAAATCAAGCCACCACCAAAATCTGCAAATAGTTACAAACTTGCTCTTATATACTCCAAAAGAGAGGAAAATAGGGAAAAAATAAAGTTCCATGTTAATCTTCAGGTTCTTCAAACCATAATCCTTTCTTCTCTTGATAGATTTAGTAAATTTGATAAATTTGTAATCCACGTAGGCCCACCAAGCCCCAAAATTCAACCACTCAGGTTCATAAATCACCCAAAAGAAAAAAAAAGTTCAAACAGGAAGGAAAAAAGAAAGTTCTTTGCTATTTCCCAGCTTCTATTTACTTTCTCTGTTTAGTTTTAATCTAAGTTAAAAGAGCTACACTGTTTAAAAAGTTACAGTATTTCACTCTCTGTCTCTGCTGTCTCATATAAACAATTTGCTAGAGTAGGTGTTATTGTAACAAACAAGAATACTTTCATTACTTTTGCTTCTCTACAGTTTTCTCCAGTAGATGTTGCTGTTGCTTTATTTCTCTCTCATTCTCTTTTGTTAGCTTAAATTGTATCATCTGCTCCAAAGCTTTTAAAAAATCCCAGGGGTCCAAATTTCATATTCCAAAAAGTTTTCAAGTTAATCTGTCTTGTATTTTAAATCCCCAGTCAAACTTCCTAGCTTATAAATTTCTTCTTTTTTAAAAAAATTCTCTTTTCTCTACTTCCAGTTCTATAAATAGCTTGCAAGTTTGCTCACCGCTATTCTTGGGGTTGGAAAGCAAACAATTCCACCTCCTCTTCTTTGAGTCCCACTTTCTCCCAGATTTATTTTAAGGGGATAAATTCTACAACAGGAGTTGGAAAAATCTCACCCAGATCGATCACACAGTTCCTCACATTCTATGCTTGCTGCATCGGTCGGCTGTCAAAGCTCCGGTCAGGCATGCAATGGCCGTTTTTCTCAAACAAGGAGTATACAGTTTATTTTATTTATTTATTTAATTTGTATACCGCCCTTCTCCCAGAAGGGACTCAGGGCGGTGAACAGCCAAAATTAAAAAACTACAAATACAAAAGTTAAGATTATTAAAAAGAATTAAATCATTAGCTTCCCTATTTAATTTTAAACAGTCTCCTTGTGATCAGCAAAATCACATGCAGAATATCCTCTCTGTCTTCATCACCCCTCCAGGGTGATTTGGGTCCTTCAGAACCTCCTGGCAGGTCAAATTTGGTGCGATCCCATGGAGCCCCGTGGAGATGCATCATATCACAGCGATATCAGCCCTGCTTCTCCTCAAGGTACATTCTTAAAGACTTACACTGATGAAATTAATATTAATTTCTGGAAGCTCACCAACTGTTCCATAAAACTTACACTGATGAAATTAATATTAATTTCTGGAAGCTCACTAACTGTTCCATAAAGCTTCCTGAAGATGTTTTGAAAATGAGAGTGATACTGACTAGAACTTACAATATTCTGCTCTGCTCAAGGTACCATATTGGACCATAGATGGAATCTGAGAATGACTTTGTCTTTCAATTCCATTAGAATGGTAAACAAATATGGCATAAAAGAAAAAGCTATGAATGATTAAACATTTAGACTTTCTATGCAACATATAAATATAACATTTTTTGGGGAGATGAATTTTTTAAAAATTGCAATTACATTGTCTAATGAGTTCATAACAACAAGATACTTTTACCATTAAACTTAGTCATCTTCAACATACCCTGCTCTTCTTCTGGGGTTAAGAAGATGTCTGAACTTCCCAAGGTATCATCCGAGCTGCTAATATCCTCTTGTTCTTCTTTAGTTAAAAACAGTAATTAGTATTGATTTTTTTCAAAAATAATCTATTACTTCAGAAATTTCCACTTTCCTATTACTTCAGAAATAATCCCAGTAGCTGTTCATTTTATCATAGCAATAATTATTATCCCAACTTTGCAGATGGAGAACTGATGTAACAACAATGCAGAAAACTGGGTAGTAAAGTTATATTGAACTAAAATTTTGATCAAGGCCTCTCTTTGCCTAGCTATAACTAGCCAAACCTGGTAAGTCACAAAAAAGAAACGTGGTCTGATGTCATTAGAGACAATAAGAAAAATCAAGGGAAATATAAATTATTACCAAGGAAAAAAAAAGGCAAACCACTTCTGTAGTTTTGCCCCAAACCCTGCATGGAAGCGTTCATGAAGATTCATTCAAGGGAATCTTTTTTTTCCTTTCCTTTTTCTTTACTATCAACAGTAAATCTTATATCTGCTAAGTCAGCAGCTTAGTAGGTTTGTCCCTAGCATATCTGCATTAATCTTTTTTGCTTTTTTTTTGTCTGACTCACTTTTGGCTATTTTAAGATGCCTGCAGTCCCCATGAAGTTGGTTTTTTCATGTCCTTTTCTATAGTTGGCTCTTCTATCATAATCAAACAGGCTTTAGCCCTGAAGCATCTGTTTGACTTACAAGAACTCCAAACTTCATTCCAATATTTATCTGTTGCCTTCCCATTATTTCCTTAAAGACTTAAAACTCACCTTGACTACTGAGGATGTCATCAACAGCCCATATGAAGTCCTTCAAATTCACAGTCATATCATCTACAAGGTTTTTTTTTTAAAAAAATAGACATTATAAATGCTCCCATGAAGATGCTTTTACCTTAATAATTGATAATCATTTCAAAATTAATCTCAATTTGTTTACAGCTCCTTTCTTCTCTGGAAACTTTCATTGCTCTCTATCAATATGTCAGCAGCATAAAAATACTAGGGACACTACCTTTCAGTATAGATAGTTGAGCAGGAATAAGAGTGTCAGCAGGGTTTGGTAAAATAACTCAAGATGGCAGCTACAATGTTCTAATAGAAATTCCACCTGTTTTTTTAAATGGGCATTGATTCCCTGAGCTGAGTGCTGTTGAGTGAAGCTTTTTGCCAGTTTGATTAATAGAAATAACTCAGAAAAATTCTAGAGACCTGGTATAGAAATACAGCATTAAGGTTCAAATTATATATCAAATAAAACCCACCATTTTCCCCCATGTATTTAGAATATCTCAGAATAACCCTGACTACATAGTGCATCAGAGATATGAAAACAGTAGGTTAGGAGTTGATTAACTTTCCCCTTTTTGTGGCTTTCTTAAAGGTTCAAGATAATTATTTGCATGCTGCTTTTCTACAGAGGAGAAAAGATAGGATGATTCTCTGGAAGCCTAGATAAGAGATAAGACATTGGCTTCTCTATATATCCGGCACTCACCGTTCAAGGTTATCCTTTTTAGAGCCTCCTTAATCTCTTCCTCTGTTAGGTAAAGGCCCATATCGGCTAGGATGTAGTCCAATGTATTGACATCTACTCGTTCGTCTATTAAAAGATAAATATTTAGTGGACATGGATTGAATCCCAAATTATGTCATTCATTTAATCAAACATGTTCCCATAAATTTTGCTATTGATTCATATGCCATTTCAATGCAATTTCCTATCATCTGTCTGTCTGTCTGTCTGTCTGTCTGTCTGTCTGTCTGTCTGTCTATCTATCTATCTATCTATCTATCTATCTATCTATCTATCTATCTATCCATCCATCTAATTCAATTTAATGCCTCCCAACTCCAAATCAGCTCTGGGCAGCTCTTAATATAGCAAACAAAATAATACAGGATAAACAATAAGGACAAACAATAGAAACAGACAAGAGGAGATCTAGCCCCTCAGTATAGAAACATAAACAAAAAAGCAGATCCAAGAGATTCCATTCACTCTACTCCAAGATCTCTGACAAGATCTGGGAGAACAGCCAGGTCTTCAAGGCTTTCCTGAATGTCAATAGGATAGAAGCCACATCAATCTCATTCTAGAGAGCAGATACCACAACAGAGAAAGCAGGTTTTCTGGGTCCTGATAGATGGCACTTTTTAATCAACAGGATACAGATCATATCAATTCTCCCAGTTTGTACTGGGGCAGAAACCATGAAAGACAGATAATCTCTCAAATAACTTTGTCCTGTGCCATGTAATGCTGTATAGATCAGAGGTGGTATTCAGCAGGTTCTGACCAGTTCTGGAGAACTGGTAGCAGAAATTTTGAGTAGTTCGGAAAACCAGTAAATACCACTTCTGACTGTCCCCATCTATTCTCTGCCTCCTGAGTCCCAGCTGATTGGGAGGAAATGGAGATTTGCAGTAACCTTCCCCTGGAGGGAGGAGGGAATGGAGATTTTACAATATTCTTCCCCTGCCACGCCCACCAAGTAATGCCATGCCCACCAAGTCATGCCCACAGAACCGGTAGTAAAAAATTTGGAATCCCATCACTGGTATAGATAATGTTATGCCCCAGGACTCAGGTTCTGACAAAGCTGCTCCAGCTGAACCAATGGAAGGTCAATTTCAAAAGACCCACATGCCAGAAATCAGGCTGATCAACTACCATTGCTGGAGCAGTCCTTTGTTATGTATAGTCTCCAAGCCCTTGGACTCAGTGAACTGAGCACAGAGCAGAGCAAAGATACTCAAGAGGATTCCTTGCCAAGCAAAGAAATAGTTCCCTTAATTTAAGAGGGAGCCCTGATCTGTGCTTCTCTGTTGGAAACAACTGTCTGATCTCTTGCTCTGGTATGTCATTCCTGTGCATTCTGCTCATGAATCTTGAAATGCAAACCTTTGGACTGGCTGACAAATCTGATTTGGCTCTCTGAACTTTGGATTAGATTTTGACTTCTTTTCCACATATTCCTGTTGAAAGCAAAACTACCCAGGCAAGCTGCCATTCCCAGAGACTCTGTTTTGATTTATGTTCCTTTCCTAGTCTGCCAGTGATCTACTCAGCCTTGAGTAAATTCTATTCTGACTTAGCAACTGTTTGTATATGAATTTGAAACCTGAAACAGGACAGGTAATAACCAGCACCTTGAATCACATGTGGAAGTCTGCTGATCAATAGAGGCTGCCATTACCCACGCCCATACATTCTGGTTTAGTTGAAGCTTTCTAGTGGCTTTAAAGGGTAGAACACATTGCAATAGTGGAACTGTGTAGTGACAAAGGCACCCAGTTTATGGGGGCAATAAGCTGACTTTGTATAAATATACAAAAGTATGAAGGCTATTGCTTAACACATTGTAAGCCGCCCTGAGTCTCCAGAGAAGGGCAGCATATAAATCAAATTAAAAAAAAAAACAATTCAGTCAAATCTTTGGCTTTCTGGATTGGATTGAATTGAATTGCATGCCTCCAAATTGATCTGGGTAATTTTGATGCTTCTTTGTACGTAAAGAAATGACTTCCTAATTGATTTACAAACACAAATCAAACTGACTTATTTTAAAAAGTGAGCTTGACTGCCCAAATTGGATCAGACTTATTTTCTAAATTAGATCTGGACTGTTTTTCTCAATCAAATCAACTACTGAAATTAATTTTGCATTATTTGCCCAGGTTTAGTTTGATCCTCACAGGAGTAATTGGCCCATATTCTTTCTCCTCTAGGAAAAGCATCAAGAATTTCCTTTTTATCTGAGCCATTTCAATTAGCTGCAATTGCAACAAGATAGACACTGAAGAGATTATGATAAAGGATAAGAAGAACCTGTGTTTGGTGTTTTCTAGCTCCTTCCCCAAAAATTCCACTAGTATGGTGGAGGCAACCTTTTATTTTTTGACATGGAGAGTTATACATTCTAAAAAACATACTTTGATTTAGGGGACTCGTTTGGGGTGTAATTTAGGCAGCATAGATGGATTTCTGCAATGTATTTTTCACAGAACTGCCTTTGGAAAAGATCCAGAAGCCATCACTGGTACAAAGCAAAGGGACTAGAGTACTGCTGAATTGGCGGCATCAATGTGCTAACATTCATTTTACATTGGTTACCAGCAGACTCTTGAGACCAGTTCAAGTTGCTGATCTTTAGTTTTACATATATAGCACCAGGTTATTTCAGACAATGGCATGCCAGAATAGAATCTGGCCACCTGATTCAGTGAACGCAAGAGATCTGCTGTGAGTCTAGGCATTCCACTTGATAAATCTCTGCCCCACAGAGGTAAATGCAGTTCCATCTTCCTGGCTTTTCACAAGCAGATTAGAACACTTTGAAGACTTTTGCTTATCTGGACTGAGGGCACCATGATAGGCTTTAAAAGAAAGTTGCAGTTTGTCCTAAGTATTGGTTTGCTTGCAATGTTCTTTGCCCAGAGTTGTCTGGGAGAGGGCTGACTTAGAAATGTTAATGAACACTTTTTATCTTCTCATTTATCTCCATATCTTTTTTTCCTTTTTCTCCTCCAACCATTTATACATTTATAAATTGTGGATAGGAAATTAAGTACCAATTTACGTACATAATAAATTAAATATGTAGATTAGGAGAACTCATATAGATGATATATTAAGAATATATGTATAATATAGCCTTGGTACTACAGTGGTTTAAAGCACCCTGTTATTAACACAGCTGCCTGCAATTTACTGCTGGTTCGAATCTCTCCAAGGCTCAAGGTTGACTCAGCCTTCCATCCTTTCTAAGGTAGGTTAAATGAGGACCCAGTTTGTGGGGGCAATAAGCTGACTTTGTATAAATATACAAAAGTATGAAGGCTATTGCTGAATGCACTGAAAGAGAAAATGTATAAATGTGAATATAGACTACCCATGCGACATGTTGAAAAGAAGATGTAAAGATAGATCTTTGTTTATGTGTTTGCATGTTTCATTGTTGTTTGTTTGTTTATATTAAAAAAAGTTTTTAAAAAATGTTAACAAACACAGTATTTCTATATAGTCAATGCCAACAACTTAAAGCACCTTTGTTGTGGGTTTTGCAGAGTTTATGGGCAAAATCTGTTGCCTTTATTGCTTCTCTGAAGCACAAAACAATAATGAAACGAAAAGTTAGCTATTTTGCCAGGGGCATCATGATTTGAATATTTGGAGAGTTACAAAATGCAGCCTGGGAGGGTTCTCTGATTCATGCCAATTTCAATTTGCCTATAGTACTGAAATATTCATAGTACACAAAGTAAACCAGAGTGGGAACAAAACTACTCCCCCCCCCATCCTTTTGATTCTAACTTCAAATTCACATGGGTTCTTTAAAGTGCCCGCACGGGGAAAAGGGAAATAACAGCTTTGTGGAAAATTAGAAAGTAAAATATAGTTTGGGGGTAACATTTCCTGTTTTGAGTCTTCAGCATGGTCCCTGAAATTTTAGACCCATGTTATCATATTATATACATTATATATTATAATATAATATTATAATTTATAATTTATTATAACATAATAAAATACATAATTTGTTTTAACTGAAATAGTCACACAAATGTGAACAGTTTCAACAAATAATCTTAATATATCTGTCCCATTATGATTAATGCTTCAGCTTACCTTTTTGCTGGTTGCTCAAAATGGCATTTACACTTGTCATAAATGCTTTCTTGTCCACCATCCCATCATCTGCAAGAAGGAAACCAAAAGAAGGGATAAAACGAAACAATCCTAGATTGAATTCTAAGATCAAAGCATCAACAGGCAAGACAAGAAACAATGGTTGGAAAGTAACCAAGGAGAGAAGCAACCTAGAATTAAGGAAAACTTTCCTAAAGGTGAGAGGAATTAACTAATAGAATAAATTGCCTTCAAAAGTCGTGGGTGTTTCATCACTGAAGGCTTTCAAAAGGAGATTGGACAACCATTTGACTGAAATGATATAAGATCTCCTGCTTGAGCAGGGGATGGGACTAGAACCATAATGGCAAACCTATGGCACACATGCCCAAAGTGGCACATGGAGCCATGTCACCTAGCACAATGGCTGTGCCTGTTCCTCTTCTGCACGTATGTGTACACGATGATCAGCTGGTCTGTTTTCATGAGGCAGTGCTGGAATCTAGAAGAGCTGGTCTTCCATTTTCCTGTGTGAACATGCGCGCCAGCCAGCTGATTGTTGCATGCGCACGTGTGCCAGAAACGCAGAAGAGTAGCTGGCTGAAACCGAAAGTTCAGTAGCTAAAAGTGGAAGTTGGGTGCGCACATGTGACCTAGGCAGCTCCTCTTCCAAGTTGCGGCTCAGATGCGTGCATTGCATCTGCTCCCTTTTCAGCACTCGGTGCCAAAAAAGTTCGCCATCACTAGACTAGATCTCCGAGAGCCCTTCCAACTCTATTATTCTATGTTCTATCAATTAAGTTATCTGCAATTTCGGGTGAGAACAATAAAATGGAATAAAAAGGAGGAGAGAGGTGAAAGTAGACCTATGTGTTTGAGATGGGGGACAATAAAATTTAGTTCGGCTTTAGTACAAATTGCTAAGTGTCTAAGAAGAGGATAGGCAGAAACAGAAGCAGCTCCTTATAGAAAAGGATCTGTGCTACTTTAGCACACAGTAAAGTCTTGAGCGGAACTCAACAATATGGTAATGTATATTGCATTCATTGCTCCCAAATGGACAGTTGGGAATAAGTGTAGCACAATAAATGTCTCTGGAGATTCTTAGTCATCCAGATCATGGTTGTCCCAAAGGTGCTTTTTCAAGAGGTTAGGGTTAGGAAGCTGAAGAAGTTTCTTGGATAAGAAGCAAAACGTCTTCAAACCCCCCACCCCTGAAAGTCCAGTTGCCTCTTGAAAAATGTAAGGCAATAAGCAAAAACAAGGAAACAACAATAGATACTATACCAAAAAGATCAAAGATAGAGTAAACAATTCCTGAATTGAATCAATGACTCCTCTGTACTCACCTACCCTTAAATAAAATTCAAATTTAGTCTATAGGAATATTTTCATAATTCTTACTTGGAGCTTGACAGTTGTCATGCAAATAAATGTAAAATGCTCTTCCATCGTGATCCCCCCCCCAGTCATAATGAACTATGGATTGATATTTTCATTTTGTGAGTTTCCATACATCCTGTATTTGGCCCGTAAAGATAGTGGCTGAATTATATACACTGCAAATTCATTTTCATGCAAGGATTTGGTTGTTTACCTGGGTGAGTTACAGCACAAGTACTTTACCTATCCTCTAAAGTCTTCTCTTTTTGTAAAACCATAAGAATTATTTTGTGGAATAAAAATCAAAGGATAGATACCAACTACTCTGTTCAAATGAATTAAGAAACCAACCATCTATTGAAATGTGTTTAAATGCCTCATATAGTTGTCTGTTGGTTAAATAGATTCCCATTTCTTCCAAGACTTCATCCAAGCTGTCAATATCAACTTTATTTTCTGCAAAAGAAAAAATACATAAAAGAAAAAGGCAATAAAAGAAAACGTTTTATTAATTTTTTATTCTTTGAGACTTCTGGCCTCTACTTCTGTAAATGAGGATGCTTTTCTTATTAGGGTGCTTTCTGTAAACAAAATGTTTGCGAAGCACTGCATATGATCTACACCTGAACAACTTCCATTAAGGGTAGCAGAGCTCATTGTAATTCCAGTCCAAATTCTGACACCAGGTTAAATTGTAGCTGCTCAGAAAATAGAATCCCTATTCCTTAAAAGAAAAATAAACATAGCATTTCCTAATAATTACAGAAGTGAAAATTCGTGAAATTCTGAAAACTTTGAACACACTTGTTTATGGGAAAGGAAGAATTTTCATGAGAATGTGAAAATTTGGAAATGAAAGTTATTTGCTTGTGTGTGTATGTATTTGTGTGCAGGAACATGTATGCAGTATTATTTTAAAAGTATTATTTACTACAGAAAAAGAAAGTTCAAGTTTGTGTTTTATTTTCAAATTTTGTTGGAATAGTAGGTCACCTCCACAAGACTTTTTTTTTTCAGAATGACAAATTTTTGAGAAAAAGGATGATGTACCTGAGGTTGGGTAATTTGAGTGAGTGACAATCAAGAGCAGCCCCATGTAGTGTACATTATAATAGTCCATTCAGGAGATGATAACTGGGAGCACAGCCTTATTATTTATTCTGTTAGTATTATTTTGATTAAGGAAATGTTACTGTTCTGTGTGCTCCAGTTTTTGATTGAGGTTTACCACAAAGAGTAACAATGGTTTATATGGGTCCAGATATGTGCACGAATGTGAAGACTTAGTGTTATTTCCCTCTCTGAACTTGCCCCTTTTTAATCAGCCTCATTTTTACTACCTGTTATTTGGGAGATTATTGGAACGGTTTTCTCTCCCTTTGGCTCTTCTAAGCCTTCATCCTTTTTTGTTGCTGTAAGAAAGAAAGGAAACGTAAGAACAAGAAGATACAGGGGAGATAGCAAGATAAAGATAGAGGGAGGGAGGGAAGGAATGACTCAATGGAATGGAGATTCAGAACATTTTTTGAAGCATTTAGAATACTAGGCAGGTTTCAGAAGAAAGAAAATCACCTAGAATACATACTACTGTATATTGGAAGATTAGAAAATCACATTTGTTCATACATTTATGCATGGTATAAAACATTTACTTTTTCATAGCAAAAGAGTCTATAGCAAAGAGGGATAAACTCTTTCCCACCTTATCTCTTTGAGTTTTAATCCCAGTTCCAACTAGAAGTTAATGGAGTTAGGTTGAAGAACCCCAGAAATGTACAAGGAAGTATGATACGAAATGAAAGGTCATAGATCTTCCCACTCACATGTCCTGTCAAAATAGTCACAAATCCTATACAACATTGCAAGCACATCTATTATTATTGTCTATTGTATAATAGACATCAATCTATTATTATTGTTTTGGCTCATTTTTTCATATTCATAAAATGGCTCACTTTTTGTCATGCAAGTCCACATTTGGAACCAGTTTGCATATACCTGTAGATTTCTTCCTTACACGAATTGATTTAACTGAAAAACATTGTGTCTGCCTGCAATAAGTGGGGGCAATAAGCTGACTTTGTATAAAAAAGAACACCGCTTAGGGGCCCCCCGAAAGCCCTACTAAGCAGGTATATACAAAAGTATGAAGGCTATTGCTTAACGCATTGTAAGCCGCCCCGAGTCTCCAGAAAAGGGCAGCATATAAATCGAACCAAATAAATAAATAAATAAATAAATAAATAAATAAATAAATAAATAAATAAATAAATAAATAAATAAATAAATTCCTTCTCTACTTAAGCAAGTGTCACTGCAGTCAATGAGCCATAAAATATTCCAGGGAGGACAGCAATATTTGGAATAAAATTTTTACAGGCAGTCCTTTGCTGTTTGGATCAAAGGCAACATAAAAGTGCAAAACGAGCTTAAGAGTGTGTCTAGAAAATAAGCATATAGTATATTTTATGTTGTCTTTCAGCTTACCATCTGGAGGTGGCCCTTGAATCTCATGAATTGCCTTGAAAAAGTTACAGAGGTTCACTGTCCCATCAACTGTAAGGGGAAAAAAAGAAAGAAAAGTTGCAGCAGCAAAATGTTCTCACAATTCTTGCAGTGATTTACAAATGGCCGACAATGAAAAGATGTTAGAAACATTGCCTTCTTTTCCTTTCCACAGCAAGGCAATTTAGAGGATGTTCAGAGTGGCTTCATGTTACATTGGGCATTTTTATTTATTTGTTTACTTATTTTATTTATTTGTCAAGAATGTATTAGGTAATATATGTAAGTATAAGCATGAATTGAATACATAAAATAGATACGAATAGAGGAAACTTTAGGACAGAGATGGTAGGCATGCTGGTGTTCTTATGCACGCCCCTTACAGACCTCTTAGGAATGGGGTGAGGTCAACAGTAGACAGTCTAAGGTTAAAGTTTTTGGGGTTTGGGGAAGAAACCACAGAGTCAGGTAGTGCATTCCAGGCATTGACCACTCTGTTGCTGAAGTCATATTTTCTGCAATCGAGTTTGGAGTGGTTCACTTTAAGTTGGTATCTATTGTGTGCTTGTGTATTGTTGTGATTGAAGCTGAAATAGTCATTGACAGGTAGGACATTGTAGCAGAAAATTTTATGAGCTACGCTTAGGTCATACTGAAGGTGGCATAGTTCTAAGTTTTCTAAGTTCAGAATTTCAAGTCTGGTGGCATAAGGTATTTTGTTGCGAGCAGAGGAGTTGAGGACTCTTCTTGTGAAATATTTGTGGACACGTTCAATTTTATTAATGTCCGGTATGCAGTGTGGGTTCCAGACTGATGAGCTGTATTTGAGAATTGGTCTAGCAAATGTTTTGTATGCTCTGGTTAGTAGTGTGATATTACTGGAGAAGAAGCTACGCAAAATTAGATTTACAACTCTTAATGCCTTTTTGGCGATGTTGTTACAGTGGACTTTCGCACTTAGATCATTAGATATGAGTACTCCAAGGTCGTTGACAGAGTGAGGGTCATCTACATTAGTGAAGCTCTCCTCAAATTAAACAGTTTCCAGGCTACATCTCCAAATGGTTTATGATTTAATGCCTGGAGTCTCCCTTGCCTCCAGAATCAGGCTTGACATAGTCTAATATTAGTTTTCTCCAGATTACTTCTTTTAAAAAAAATTATATTGATGTTTAACAATTTTACCTTTTGAAGTTCACTTCCTTCTTAAGCACATTTTTTCACTTACAAAGGGTGAGTTGTAATTAGAGGCCACACTTTTATTACATTCATATCCACCACAATATGAATGACTTTCAGCAGTTAACATGATATAGAAAAGTAATTTAAAACAGATTTGGTAAATTTAAACATAGTCAACATAAAATCACAATTCAAGTAATAATAAAATGAACAACTCAGAAAACAAAATCACTCATAAATACAACTATTCACAAATTATCCAGTCTAGTTAAAATATCTTCTGAAACAGATTTGTCTGAATGCTAATAGGAGCAGGCCAAACTGATCTCCATATGAGATTGTTTCAGAGTTCCAGCACAATTATTGAAAAGTAACCCTGCCTAGCTTCAACTCCTTTTTCTGCCTGGATCTGATAACAATCTGATAAGGCAGGCTGATTTTTAGATGAAGAAAACGGTCCTGGGTATGTTTGTGTGTATGTGTAGACAGACAAATATTCGTAGCCATTTACTTATATTTTTGTGGCTCCCTGAGCTTCACAAGTGACATGACACTGGTGGTCTGATATAATTGGAATAGAAAATTTCAGCTGTTTCCTTTTTTATTGTTTTGGATTTTTGAAGCATGAAAGCAAAAAAATGGTATTACTGAAAATCAGAAATTTGCTTTCAAATTGCAATAGAGATAGCTTTGGGAGTGCTAGGGTTGCAAAACAGTCAAGAAGGACTGTTTTTATATTTAAAGTACCCTTCCCCATCACTGAGATGATGGGAGCCATAATCCAACACATTTGGGGGATTGTAAGATTGCTTTATAATTTATCTTGCTAGCAATTTGAGTACCTCTGAACCAAAAGTCAGAATATAAATACCAACCATTTACTTTTGCCTTTATCAAGGCCTCTTCCAGTTCTTCGTCCCTCAGAGAAATGCCCTTATTGGCTAAAATGGCACCCAGTTCTTCAACAGCAACCTTTTCTTCCTGGGCAGCAATTTTCTCTTTCTCTTTCTCTTCCTCTTCTTGAGAAGCATTTTTCTCTTCTTTAATACATATCTTCTCTTCCTCTTCCTGGGCAGCAGTTGTATCTTTCTCATTGGAAATCTTCTCTTCCTCTTCCTCAGAGGCAGCAACTTTCTCCTCGCTAACAGGAATCTTCTCTTTCTCTTCCTCAGCGGCAGCAACTTTCTCTTCCTCAACAGGAATCTTCTCTTCCTCAACAGGAACCTCCTCTTCCTCAGCAGCAGCAACTTTCTCTTCCTCAGCAGGAATCTTCTCTTCCTCAATAGGAATCTCCTCTTCCTCAACGGCAGCAACTTTCTCTTCCTCAAAAGGAATCTCCTCTTCCTCAGCGGCAGCAACTTTCTCTTCCTCAACAGGAATCTCCTCTTCCTCAGCAGCAGCAACTTTCTCTTCCTCAACAGGAATCTCCTCTTCCTCAGCGGCAGCAACTTTCTCTTCCTCAACAGGAATCTCCCCTTCCTCAGCGGCAGCAACTTTTTCTTCCTCAATAGGAATCTCCTCTTCCTCAGCGGCAGCAACTTTCTCTTCGTCAACAGGAATTTCCTCTTCCTCAGCAGCAGCAACTTTCTCTTCCTCAACAGGAATCTCCTCTTCCTCTTCTTGAATAACAACCTTCTCTTCTAGAAAAGCAATGGTTTCTTCTTCTAAAGGCCAACAGGAAAAATAGAGATGAAATTAAAAAAAATACAGCATTTTAGTAACTGTGCTTTCATTTAATAAGGGAGACCCAGAACGGAGAGAATACTAGAAAGGGAGGGAGAGCTAACTTTGAAACTGCTAAATTCCTATTTTACTGGTGTAATATCCATAGATACAAAAATTTCTCAATTCTATTTTATTTTTAAAAATCTGTATAACTATATCTACATCTATACCTATCATATACCTGTATATTAAAGCTTGTTGGAGAAGCTCTCCATTTTATTTCCACACAGGAATCAATGAAGGGCCTTCCGCAGCACATTGTTTCATATACAAACCAAGGTCAATTGGCTGTATAATTCAAAGTGGTCACATGTAGCACAATAGCAACAAAAATACACAATTATTTTTGTGTTCTTTTACCTCAGTTCATTATTAATCAGTTTATTAACTTACCAGGCTGAGGATATGGCTGAACTGCCCTCACCGACTTGATAAATTCTCCTAAGTTTACTTTCCCTTCAACTAAGAGGAAACAAAAAACCAAAAGAGGTGTTGCTGAGAGAGTCCATGAGGATTTATAGCAATACACAGTTTGGATCCTATTTTTTTAATGAGATAGTAGACAAAAAATAAATAAAAAATAGATATATAAAAATAAATATCTTATATTTTAATATTTTAATGAACTTTTGAAAGCACAAAGAATACTACTTCTCAAGAGACTTAAGTAGGCTTTAGAAATTAAAAGACACATAATGTTTTTTTCTAGTCATAAGAAATGGGATCCTGATATTTCAAATCAAATAAAATCAAACGTTTATTACAGTCAAAGACCAGAATAGATCTTGATAGTTTGAAGTACCCTAGCCAACATATCCCTGGAATGCTAATTGCTGTCTGTGTGTCATGGGGCTCAAGGGCCGTGTATCCAAAGAAAGTATATCCTGAGGAGGACTGCTATGTTATAGCATACAATACACAGGCACTGGATATATAAATTCCTCAAACTAAACATGCCTTTGCAAAAGAAATGTTATGAACATCTGAAAGTTGTACATAAAATAAACCTGATTGAAGAATTATTTTACCCCACGATTTAGAAAAAGCATTCTGAAATTATAGGCAGTTTTCTGGTTTTCCAATAGCATGCAATACTTATGCAATAACAAATATGAAGACAATTTGCATATTATGCTTATCCTTGCAAAGCCATCACTGGCCTGACAAAAGGCCACAAATAGCAAAAGATAAAAATATTCTTCCGCCAACCAATTTTCCCTTTACTTCCAGTTCCTGTTCATCTGCCTTGAAATGCAGCTATCATCTTCTAACCCAGTTCATGCATAACCATGACCAGTTGCTAACACAGATATAGCCACTGTCATTCAATTCGAATAGTGCATGCAAAAATATGTACAAACTATAGATTTCAGATAAAAGCCTACATGTCTTGAGGTATTGTGGGGAAAGGAACTTATTTAGTTTTCATTCTGTCTGTCTTGTACCCTCCCCTCCTTCCTTAATTCTACAAGGAATACCATTTCTGTTTTTTCCATCCCTGCTTCTCTTCCTATGTCATCATCAACTATAACCATGTGACAAAAGGAAATAGCTTCCTGCTGGTCAGGTGAAATTTGCAGCTTTGCATCAATTTCAAGCAAAGCAATTTCCCATTCTGTCAGTGAACTAACCAATCAGAGCCTTGCCTTTGGATTCATGGTTGTACCCCCAAATGATAGTATCTGATAGGTTGATAGTGTCTGATAGGTTCAATAGGCCTCAAGTGAAACATAGCCACTGACCTATCTCTACTAGTATTAAGGCAGGACTTAGTAACTCCTTTCTGGCTAAGAAATATCCTTAAAATTCAGTGGTATAATATTGATATGCTTGAATCAGATGGAACTATAATTTTTGCATGTTTCTTTTTACATAGAGTATGTGTGTGTTGGCAGATAATTAAAATTACTTTGTTAAGTCAAGCAGGAACGTAAATACCCATTTGCTTCTTTCATTTAAAAAAGCTTGAACTGCTGAATTTTGATATATTTTTTTTGCCATCATATTACAGTAGTATAATGTTATCTGTACTAATGTTTCTGAGCTTGCAAATTGTGGGACATATCACATAGGAGTTGAAAATAGATGTTTTAATCTCAGAGTGTTTTTCTCAGTAGCCTACCTATACCATCTATTTCAACTTTATGGTTCTGTGATTTTGTAAGCATTTCAGAAAAGTATTGGCAAAGTAAATACTTACTATCTATTGGGGTAGTTGCCAAGGCTTCCTGGAATTCTGCTTCTGTGAGTTGAACGCCTGCAGAGGTCAGAATCCTGTTCAGATCTTGAATATCAATCCTGTCTCCTGCATGTGCAGAAAAAGGAGACCAAAGATAGGTTTAGCTCCTACTTATTTCAAGCACAGAAAAAGAGAAATAAACTTATTTTGTTTAAAATACCTGTACTAAAAAGAAAATGAACATAATTTAACTATCATGACCCTGGGCAAAATACTGTTTAGTCTACTTCTATATGCCTAAATGTCTATGGAGATTTTCAGTCATCCAGGTAATGGTTGTACCAAAAGTGCTTTTTCAAGAGGCAACTGGACTTTATGGAGTTCTTTTTGAAGACGTTTTGCTTCACATCCAAGAAGCTTCTTCAGATGAAGAGTGAGAAGTGAATGAGAAGCAAAATGTCTTCAAAGAAAAACCAGAAAGTTTAGTTGCCTCTTGAAAAAGCACCTTTGGGTCTACTTCTATATGTTATTATGTGCTATATTCAATTCTTTATGCATATTCCAAAGGTGCTCTACAAAGGCAACTGTCTTGGTTTTCTTCCCTTGAAAACCTTAACTTCTCATCCAATAAGCTTTTTCAGTTCATTTCAATGGTTTTTTTAAAAAAAATAGTTTAACTACATTTACTTCATCTGTTTATTCTCTTATTCTCAAAAGCAAAACAGAAAAAAAGAGGAAGAAATAGATATTCAGCAAAGTCTGGGCTCTATTTCCATAACATGAACAAAAATCTGTTAAAAAAATTAGATGATGATGTTAGCTGGGGGTTAACCTGTAAAACAACAGCATATCATCCTTGTGGGAGGGAGGTTATCAATTGACCTTCAGTTTCCAGAGAGGGGCTACTATACTACAAAAATGCACAATATCAGGACCAAAGTATTACCCCATTTAGGAAAAAAATTAAATTACTTTTAATATTATTATTCATCAGTATTTGCTTCCTCACCCATCTTTTTATAAATTGATTTTCGTCAATTACAAATTTTCAAGATAAGAATCTAAATTTAAAATTAATAACAGTGTTTTGCATAAAGTATATAAGCAGATGAAGTGTATGATGTTCAGGTTTTCAAAAGTTATGTATTGTCTTTTCAGTTCTAAGTTAAAACAATTTTTTAAGAAAATGGTCTTTTAGTTTTTGAATTTCAAAAGCTTCACATGCTTTATCTCTGCTGAGGATTGTTTCAATGCTTTTAACTTTTGCAATTTTTTTTTACATGAGATTGTTCTATTAAATCAATTATTTCATGAGGCATCCAGACACTGGTTTGATAGTGAGAGTAAATATTTGGGAAGGAGCAAGGGATGGAAGGAATTATTAAGTGATGGAATGCTTCTCCATAGTTTAAAAAGAGAAACTTTATTTTTTAAAAAGGAAATAAGGAAATGTAAAGACAAGATAGATAAAGCATGCATTCCAAACCCCTGATTCAGCTTACTTTCCAGTTTAAAAGGCCGTTTCATGAGCATAATGTTCTGCAATACATTCTTCATATCCACTTTGTCATTACCTGCACACAAAATGTAAATAGTATGAGGAGCATCAAGGAAATTGGAATAGGGGAGAAGGGAAGAAGAAGGAATGAAAAAAACATGGGAATTTTTCTTCTGCCCAGTTTCTTTAAAGGCAGCCAAGCAGTTCTTCAGTTCAGTATTGACTTCAAACTTCTAAGTTATTGGTTTGTTGATAGAAAATACCAGCTAGAAAGATAGGGTGCCACTAGCAGATCCTATCTGATGAGTGGTACATGTGAAATATCAGAGACAAAAGGAATGTTCTCATTAATCTCAGATGTGGAAACTGATAGGAAAGTATTAATCAGTTCCAGATATTCATGAATTATAAATTCCAGTAGCTTGCAACACTAGCCAAGTTGACTGTGGCTGCTAAAAGCTGATGTTAGCAAGCTACAGCTTGCCCATCCTATAGAAAGAGAACAGAGCAGGGAGGCAAGAGAAGATCTCAGCAAAGAAACCATGCCCCAATTTCTGATTTCCAGCTTTGACTGAGGAAGGTGGAGAAAGTTTAGTGTAGGAAGCCAAGACAGAACTGTGTCCTCTCAAGAAAATACTTTGTGTGTGTGTAATTTGGGGACAAATCTCTATCCCAAATGCTGTCTGTATCCAATAATAGAAAGGAATTGCTGAAATCTCTTTATTGCATTGATTATGCCAATAAAGAGATTTCAGCAGCTTCTTTCTATTGTTGGGTTTTTGTATTGGCTCTATAATAGCCTGGAAGCTATTATAGAAATCTGCTACTCACTAATCAAGTAAGGCAGGTTAAGGGAAGCATCTCTCCAGATACAGATCTGTTCAGTCATTTGTCTGTTCAGATGGATTGTTCTCTGAACTAAATAAGGTCACATTCCAGAGCCACTCAGTAATTTTATAGTTTAGCTATGTCTTTTTAAGTCAATCCCAAGAATACAAATCATATACTCATAAATTGCTCTAGGTAGTCTATCTGTTGTAAAACTGTTAGATTGCTTCAGTGGTGGGTTGTTCCTGGTTCAGTCCGGTTCTATAGAACCAGTAGTAAAAACCAGCGGGAGGCTCCGCCCACCCACCACGACATCATCATGGGTCAGCTGAACATGCACGTGCGCTCCCGTTGCAAACCGGTAGTAAAGGTAAATAGAATTCACCCCTGGATTGCTTGTTAGTAAAGTGCCAAATCTTTGCATCTGATTTCTTTCTTCAGATACCAAGAAATACAGTGGGAGTTGGAAACAAATAGCAGATTAGATGTCATGTTAGTAAAATGAGTGTTGGAAGCTGCGTAGTTTCCTGGCTCATTCATTAATTCTGGGCCAGCCATTTTGTTTCTGGCTTTGAAATCCTTGAAGAGTTTGGAATGGATCTACAAAGGGATGAGTTTGAAAGGATTAGATCGTTTTTCTCAATATGGGAATTCCTGTTAATATATTCATTAACTGAGTAACAGAATAATTTTGCTTATAATTTTGTTTTAAAAACTGGGCTGCTGAATTTGCTGAATTAAAAAGTCTTGGGGAGGGGGAATTTCCAGGGTCAGTGTCTGGCAGGTGCATACACCCTTCAAAGTGTTCATCCTTGCTATAACAGCCTTTTCCATTCAACTTACCATCAAGAGTAAGGGGCTTCAGAGCCTCTTGAGTTTCTTCTTCTGTTATATTGAGGCCCATTCTTGTCAGGCTGGAACTCAATTCATCAGTTTCAACCACTTGCCCTGATATCAATTTACAAAAACCATCCAATGTCACAATCCAAGATTTGTATTTCATAAGCATCAGTACATCATTACCGACTGGCCTGGTGGTTTCTGCCACCCTTCAACTCCCCAAACCTACCACCCTGGAATGAGAAAACAAACCATTTCACTAGATGGTTCCCCACTTTTAGCCAAGGATTAAAATTAGTAGAAGTAGGTAGATGGGTGAGTATCCTTCTGCATAGGCTTATTTTCAAGGTTGTGTTGCAGCTCTAATACTGTACCAGACATGATATCCTGACTGTCTAGTTAACTATGTGTCATATATAGAATTGAATAGAATAGAATTTTTTTTTTTGGCCAAGTGTGATTGGATACACAAGGAATTTGTCTTGGTGCATATGAGTGGTGGGTTGCTCCCGGTTTGGACCGGTTCACAAGAACCGGTAGTAAAACCGGCGGGAGGCCCCGCCCACTGCCCCGGATGTTGTCATCGGTGATCTGCACATGTGCAGAAGCAAGGCACACGTGCTAGCACAGCAAGCGCACACGCGCAATCCCGTTGCAAACTGGTAGTAAAGGTAAGTAGAACCCACCCCTGGTACATATGCTCTCAATGTACATAAAAGAAACGATACATTCATCAAGAATCATAAGGTACAAAACTGAATGACAGTTAAGGGTTGTACTTATAGGCAACCCTTTGTCCAAATAAGAAATCAGGAAACAATCAATATCAATATAAATCGTAAGGATACAAGCAACAAAGTTACAATATATTACAATGTCAGTGAGAATAAAATTAAAAAAGCATACTATTAATCTATGCTTATAGGATAATATAGGATCATTAATAAACTCATCATAATCAGAAGTATATAGCTTACTCTTCCTTCCTAAAACTAAGTTTTAGGAGGGAACAGTAAGTTTCTACCTACTGCTGTATTCAAATTAATCTCTAAAGTGTCTTGATTCCTGTCCCTGCTAGTGATTGGAATCAGAAATCTTAAAATTTAGCACCACTTTTTCAAGATCAGAATGATAGACCCTGATTTATTTTTTTCTAATATGCACCTGTTAAGAATTAATTTCTACATTAAAAAGAATCTAGCAGCGATTACGCTTCCGGTGGCACCGCAGGCACTGACAGATGCTCCTTTTGGACCGTCAGCCCTGCGATTTCGTTAAAACTGCCAAGACAGCGCAAATCAGCTGTCTGGCGGCTTGGAAACCTTCCCCTCGGGAGAAGAGAGGAAGGCGAGCAGCCGGACTAAGGTAGAGCTCCCCAAAAGCCCTAGGAGCAATTCTGGGGCTTGGAGGATGAGAGTTCCCTGATAGTTCGACTGAGCTCTGAATCCGAGGCTTTTCTGCTTCAAGCAGAACAAGATGCCGCGATCACCCCTACAATCAACATTCAGATTCAAAATAAGCTCAAAGCAGGCAGAACAAAAACAGGAGTCCTAGCAACTTCAAGTACTGAACTTTAACTCTGTGTCTATACTTCTTTCTTCTAAGACTTTTAAAACGAAAGCAAAAATGGCGCCTGAACTGTAACACGGCGTGAAAGTGAAAGTTATAGTGAAAGTGATAGTTAACATCATTAGCGCTTCTAAGGCTTCTAAGGCTGTTTAAGATTATTGGATTCTACACCAAAGAAAGAAAGATTTAAAGTGGAAAGACTACAGTTTGGACTTTAAATAAACTATAATACTTACAAAAGATTTAAAAACATTTGGACTTATTGATTTGGTTGCTGTAGGAAGTATAAATTGAAAGCTAAAAATGGTTTCTAAGCAAATAAAATCTGGCTTTAAAAGTGCTGGAGGATCGCCAGCACAACCATAAAAATTACAATCTTTGTCTACTTCAAACCCACAAATATTGACTTTGGAAGTTCTACAGGATGCTTTGAAGCAACAAACTTCTTTTTTAGAGGGGAAAATTAAGGGAGTGTCTGAAGAAATGGCTGAAATTAAAGAAGTTATACAAACTCGGAATAAAGAAATAAGAGAAGACATAGTAATGGGATTTCAGGGTCTGGCAAAACACATTGAATTGTTGGATGAAAGAGTAGAAGAAATTAATCAGTCCAATTTGAATTTGGAAAATAAAATGGATGAAGTTCAGACTAAGGTGAATAGGGCAGACAATGAAGTGGTGATGTTACAGTATAGAGCGATGGAATTTGCCCTGAGAGTAAGAGGTCTGAGAGAACACAATCGAGAGAACTTGAGAGAGATCTTTGCAGAGGCTTTTGCAAAGATAACTGGGGAGCAACAAGCAGATCTGTCATTACAAATTGACAAAATATATCATGTTAATTCCTGGTTTGCCAGACAGAATCGATTGCCAAGAAACATTGTGATTTACTTTACAATGAGGAGGACCCGAAATGAAATTTTACAAGCTTCCTATAAAAATAAACTTCAAATTGAAGGACAAGAGGTTTTAGTGCTGAAAGAAATTCCCCCCAAAATGTTGAGAAGCAGAAAGGAGATTGCTTTCTTGGTGGATGAACTTAGAAATTGACAGATTCAGTTTAGATGGGCTGTTCCAGCTGGACTGGTGGTGAATTATATGGGAGAAAGGTTTAACACAATTTGGAAGGGAAGAGATTTTTATACTAATGTATTAAAGGCTGGATGCCCTCCATCTCAGGAAATGAGGAGAAGAAAAGAAGAGCTGGCAATACAGGGACAGAAGGAAAGTAAACAGCCACAAGCTGCAGGACCTCGCTTATCGAAGAAGATTTATTGCAACTTTTTGGTACTGATCAACCTTTGGAAGTAGCAGAAAAAAGAGAAGAACTACAAGAACAAAGGCAGACTCGTGCAGCAGCAAAGCAAAAAGAACAAGATTTAAAGATACAGCAAACTCAAATGAAAGCTCAAGAAGCTACAAAAACAGAAGCAGTGGCGGGGGTGGGAGGGCAAGGCCGAAGAGAAAGGTGCAGGAGGATCTTCAGCTGGCCCTTTTAAAGCTTCAAGGTGCCAAGAATGGCAACTAAATTTTTGACTTGGAATGTCAATGGTTTAAATTCACCACAAAAGAGAAAGAGAATATTTCATTATCTGGAACAGTTTAAAAATGATATAATTTGTCTGCAAGAAACACATATTAGAGTGACAGATCAAAAATACTTGATAAATTCAAGATTGGGAACACACTTTGTTGCATCTGCCCCAGAGAAGAAAAATGGTATAGTTGTATACCTAAAGACAGATTTAACAGCCAAATTAATTGAGGCAGATGCTCAAGGAAGATATATTGCAATTGAACTTTTAACAGAGGGGAAGAAAACACTTTTAATTGGAGTATATGCTCCCAATCAACAGCAAGAAAAATTCTACAAGTTTTTGCATACCAAAATAATACAATGGGATTATAAATCGTGTATATTAATGGGTGATTGGAATGGAGTACTGGACACTCAAAAAGACAAAAAAGGATTACTTCAAAATATCCAAAAACGTGCAAGACTGCCCAAATCTTTCTTTGACATGATGGATGATATGGAGTTGAGAGATATTTGGCGAGAACAAAATCCAGATGAAAAGGATTTTACTTTTTTTCCTGACAATCCTTTTCCAGGATTGATTTCATATTGATTACTAATTATTTCTTTTCTAGGGTAAAGAAGACGAAGATATGTTCAAGAATTTTATCTGATCATAGTCTGGTGTGGATGGAATTAGAGCAGGAAAAGGGACCTAGAAGGTCTTGGAGGTGAAATGAAAATTTGTTTAGATATGAGGAAAATGTGAAAGAATGTAAAAAACTAATGAAAGAATTTTTTGTTATGAATATGAACAAAGGTACACCTATGGAAATGGTCTGGGATGCAAGTAAAGCATATATGAGAGGAACCTTAATACATTTGAATAATAAATATAGACGTAGACAAGAAAAAAAACTTGGAGGGATTTAGAAGAGGAAATAAAAATGAAAGAGCAGGCACTCATACTGAATCCAACAAATAAGAAAATAAAGGAAACAATAAATTTGTTACGAGGGCAGTTTAATATGTTGATGGCAGACCAACTGGCAACTGATTTACAATATGCTAAACATAATATTTTTTGTAATGCAAATAAACCAGGTAGATGGTTAGCCTACTTGTTAAGGAAGAAACAAAAGCTACGTACTATAGAGAAGATAGAATTTAAAGAGGTAAAGAGGTTTGTTTATTTATTTATTTATTTATTTATTTATTTATTTATTTATTTATTTATTATTCAAACTTCTATACCGCCCTTCTCCTTTCAGACTCAGGGCAGTGAACAGCCAAAATAAAAACATTTATACATAACATTACAATTAAAAACAGATTTAAAATAATTAATAAATTTGGCCCATAATTTAAAATTTGTCAATTTAAAATCAGTATCAAAATTTTAAAAAACCAACCCTAAAATCAAGACAGACCGGCTAACTGAAAAAAGGAAGTTTTTAGGGCCCGACGAAAAGTCCTGAGGTCGGAGATCACTCGTATCTCTGGGGGTAGATTGTTCCAAAGGGTAGGTGCCACCACAGAGAAGGCTCTCCTCCTGGGGGTCGCCAGCCGGCATTGTCTGGCCGACGGCACCCTGAGGAGGCCCTCTCTGTGAGAGCGAACCGGCAGGTGGGAGGCTATTGGTGGCAGAAGGCGGTCCCGTAAGTACCCCGGCCCCAAGCCATGGAGCGCTTTAAAGGTGATCACCAACACCTTGAAGCGCACCCAGAAGTCCACTGGAAGCCAATGCAGCTCGCGCAGGAGAGGAGTCACATGGGAGCGCCCCGTATCAAAAACATATGATTAAAAAAGCTTTTTTAGAATTCTATACAAAGTTATATGCTAGTGATACAATTCAAGGTAAAGATATAGACAGATATTTACAGGAGGAGAATATTCCTGTAATTATACCAGAGCAGAGGGAAGGATTGAACTGACCAATAACTTCAAAGGAAATTGCATATAAAGGATTATATAATATACTGATAGAAATAGACTCAGAAACGGAATTAGTTAAGGATTGCATGATAAAATGGGCACAAAACATTCAGGAACCAATAATGATGGAAACTTGGGAAAAAATATGGGTTAGAAATGTAAAATTTACGCAAGCACAAAATTTAAGAGAAAATTTTTATAAAATGTTTTACAGATGGCATTTGGATCCTAAAAAGTTGGCTTGTATGTATCCGAATTTGCAATCTAAGTGTTGGAGATGTGATTGTGATGATGCTACTTATTATCACATATGGTGGACTTGTAAAAAAGTTAAAGCATTTTGGATTAAAATATGGTGGAAATATTCTTAAAAAGAAGATAAAGTTTACTCCACAATTGTTTTTGTTGGTATAATCACAGATTGTACGGTTATAGAGACTAAATTGATTTTAAATTTAATAACTGCAGCTAGACTTTTGGTGGCGCAATGCTGGAAGAAGGGAGAATTGCCTACTATTGAAGAATGGACATTAAAAGTGGCAAATTTGGCAGAAATGGCGAAAATTTCAGCATATTTGAAATCTCATTCACAAGAAAGATATATATCGGTATGGAGAAGATGGATTGATTATATTCAAAACAAATATTGAACTAAAAAGTATCAAATAGCTTATGAATGAATAGAAAAGTTAAGAGTATGTATATTTAGTTAAGTAAAAGGCGAGTTAAAGTGTCGAGGGGGGAATAGGAATCTGTAGTTAGTTAGCTTAGCTTAGCATATGATTGTTAATTTTTTTACCCTGTATTTTGTTCTGGGAAGTCGGGGTGTGTGTGTAGGGGGGTAGAAGGAAGGGAGGGGGGCGGGGAAATATTTGAATTTTTTTTCTTTTTTGTAAAACTTTTCAATAATAAAAAAAAAAGAATCTAGCAGCAATGCTTTGAATAAAATCCAGAAGAAAAGAAAGCAACAAGACATGACACATTACAATGATTGCAAAGAACAACTCAGCAAGATGCCTAAATTGAGCAACAGGTACCCATGGACTTGAACTGCAGGCAGATTATTTTAACAACAGTTGCTCAAACACAAAAGAAGATGATAATTACTGCCACCTGTTTGTCCTTGTGAGCTTCCCAAGGTATATCAGTTATATACCATAGAAGGAAGAAAGTGAGCTGCAGGCTTCACTCAGGTCCTCCAAATAGGCTGGAAAATACTTGAAACTCATTGACTAAGCCATCTGGCAGCCCTCTATAAAAGAGGACACTGCCAGACAAGCAGGTTGTTGGGTTGTACTAGTCTACTATTAAAGAGCTATTGTTACTGAAGAACTGTGTCCGTCTCTTCTATCACCGAATCTAACAATATCTGACTGGACACAATAGAATGCTGGATTTTATGGGCTGCAGCCAGAAATCTCTGAAAGTCACTTTAGTAAAAGCAGAGACGATTTTTATTGTGATTATTTATTTTTTTACTTGTATTTTTTATTATATTATAAATTATTATAATTAGGATGTTTCCATGGAAAATATGCTACATAAGGAGTTTTTTTTTTAAAGTTACCTCTCTAGTAATTTATACTCTACACCTATGCTGCAAGACCAACATTCCCTAGTAGAAGTATGAACCACTGACCATTTCACAGGAGCAGTAGACGACAACATCTACTTTATGCGGGCAGTCCACTGGGAAAAACCCACTTCCTGCCTTTTGGGGCTACTTTGGAGCAGGGTAGCTCGGAGGGGAGAAAAGGGAAGTGTGTGGCTTGCCAAATATAGAGGTCTTCAAACTTGGCAGCTTTAAGATTTGTAGACTTCAACTCCCAGAATTCTCCAGCCAGCTATGCTATGCTGGAGAATTCTGGGAGTTGAAGTCCACAAGTCTTAAAGCTGCCAAGTTTGAAAACTCTGGCCTAATGACTCCAGAGTGGAACTTGAAAAAAGGCAAATGTCCAATTCTTGCAAAAAAACTCATCACCTTAACCACAATTATAATACTTTTATTTCAGTCATAAATCAGAAAATAAAACAAAAGTATAAAATTTACACCAGTTGCTACATCAATCAAAGCTATAACAATATTTTACTCATTGGCTGGCGAACAGCAACTCCAGACTATCCTTCAGTTTATTGTAATTTGAATTATAATTTCAAATTGCCCAGAGACTTACCTCCTGCACTTAATATGAGCTTCATATTCTTCACCCCTTCCATCAAGTCATTCAGATTAACTTTTCCATCCTCTGCAAGACAGAGGAGCAAGTAATTAACCCAGCTGAACAGGAAAGCCTAACTGATGCTGCTGTTACTTACATCTCAAGAAATATGCATAAAAATAACACAAATATTCCTGAGCCTGGAATTCTCCAGATATGTTAGAAATGCACATTTATAGCAAATGTTAGGAATTATAGCCCAAACACATCCTGGAAAAATGGGAATGTGTGTGGTAATGCGCAGAAGACTGAATCAACAAATAACATTTTTATTTTCATTTTCATTTGTATGCTCCTTTCAGTTTATTATTTACTTATTTATTTATATCCTGTCTTTATTATTTTTTTATAAATAACTCACGGCAGTGAACATATCCAATATTTTTCCTCTTACTTTTTCCAGTTCACATATCTCCTTATAATCTATATCTGCTTTTGTTTATCTCCCCAGTTATTGAACTTTCTCAGCTGGAAACTAATTTTCTAAGTTCCATGCCAGTATTCTAATGACTTCTTAAGAATGATTCTAAATTCTAAACCTGCTGCTGACTGATATTCTTTGACCCTCTACTTTTTCCTGAAGTAGGAATGTCCACAGGTAGGTGAGGGCAAAAAAGATGCCAGCTGCACTCCCTTTTTACACGTGTTGCACATAAAACAGGCGCAGCACTCCATTTGCATGGTCATGGCCCTCATCTTGACTTTTTTGATCCTCGTCACAGACATCCCTGCTCCTAAGCTTTCTAACTCTCCATCCTTTTTGAATAATGGCACATGCCTGCAAGTTCTTAGCACTTGCAGAAAACCAAGAAGCAACCAATATAGCTAATCCTCAGGTTACGAGTGTTCTTTTAGCATCTGTTCGAAGTTACAAGATAAGCGCACCCTATTGTTTATGAGCCAGTCCCAAAATTATAAATGTTGCAGCACCACAACAGTTATTTATCCTTATGAACGATTGCAGGTCTGCAATATTTTCCCTATTCCCTCCCCTCCCACTGCCCCATCTCCCCACAACTGCTTCTCCCTCCCATTTTACCATGCTGGACTCACTTATCTTACAAGATCTGTCTCCTGTCTGCCACAGTTACTTTACTTTTGAGGGAGACGAGAATTGATGGAAGCTCTTAGGTGCCATCCTGTTCCTCCCCCACAACTCCTTTCCACCATCACTGGGACACTTTTCCCCAAGATAGAGACTTGACGGGGACAGGAAGCTTCACAAAGGGATTAGCTCCATTTTGAAATGCCCCATAGATGCCTAGGAGGCCTTTGAAAACGGAGGAATTCTCTTCCTTTTCAAACACCACATAGATGCCTAGGAGGCCTTTGAAAACAGAGGAATTCACTCCATATTCAAAGGCCTCATAGGCACCTATGAGGCATTTCAAAACGAAGCAAATCCCTCCATTTTCATAGGCCTCATAGGCATCTATGGGGTGTTTGAAAAGGAAGAGAATTCCGCCGTTTTCAAAGGCCCTATTTGCACACAGATGAAGCTTCCAGTTTCTGTCAGGTCTCTGTCTGAGTGAAAAGTGTCTCCTGGTGGTGGTGGAAAGGAGTTGGGGGAGTGGGGGAAGGAGACAGACACCACAAACACTTTTCCCACCCAGGAGCTTCCATCAACTCTTCTCTCCCGCAAAGCGAAAGAAACTGCGGCAGAGAGGAGACAGTAAGTGTTTACTTTGCAAGGTAAGTGAGTCCAGCGCGGCAGGGAGTGGGAAGCATGAGGTATCTTAGTAGGTTGTATCTTAGTAGATCCTTGCACTTATGTCCATTACAGCATGCCCGCAGTCACGTAAACAAAATTTCGTTGCTTGGCAACCAGCATGCATTTACAATGGTTACAGCATCCCAGAGGATCACATGATCACCATTTGTGATCTTCTTGGCCAGCTTCTGACAAGTAAAGTCAATGGGGAAAGTCAGATTTGCTTAACAACTGAAAGACTCACTTAACAACTGCAGTGATTTCTTTTAACAACTGTGGCAAAAAGGTTGTAAAATTAGGCATGACTCACTTAACAACAATGGAAATTCTGCTCCCACTTGTCAGAAATTGAGGACTACTGCATATAGATTATATGGTTAGTGTCTCTGTGCTCATCAGAGAGTTCCATTGGCCTTCCTTTCCAAGCTCCTATTAGAATCTGAATCCTTCTTTCAGAATGTTTACTCAGCCATTCAGCAAAACGAGCCTGTACTTAGGGCACCAAGGGAAGGTAGGCACCACAATGTTTTCCCCCTAGCTATTAGGCTCGTAACTCTTTCACTACCATACTTGACTTCAGTTATTTCTTTTTAGTTATCTGCCATTTTTAACTTTAGTCTAAATTGTTAAAATAGAAGAGTTTTCTTTGGCATGTTGAGTGACTAAAGTTTAAAAATTTGGTTTATTTATTTATTTATAAAAATTTATATGGCTGCCCCACTCACTTTCAGTGACTCCAACAACAATCTGTCAATCAAATAAACGACTTGTTGGACTCTACGTCACTCTGGGTCCCCCAGGTCCATTGGCAAAACCAGGTCTTCAGAGCCTCGTGAAAGATTGTCAAAGTGGGGGAGCCAATCTTATCTCCATGGGGATAATGTTTCATAGGGAAGGAGCCAAAAATTTGTCTAATTTAACACAATCCAATCATAAATGACTCTTAATAAAACTAATACAGAGTATCTAAAAGACTCACCATCTGGAGTTGTAGAATTCAGAACTTCCTTGATTTCATCATCTGTTAGGTAAATGCCCATATTGATTAGGGCATTATCCAGATTATTGACATGAATCAGATCCACTGAGAAAAAACAATAATAATCAGCAAATATTCCCAGAATTTTGGCATTCCATATATAGATAGCAAAACTCATAAGGTAACTTTGAAGTCTTCCATACCAAAAATCAGACAAGCCATCTCTTAAAAGTAGAAATCTAGATTGTATACAAGTTTTATAAATATGCATACTTTTTCTTCATTTGACATTATTGGTGAATTTTTACTATTTTGCTTAATTTATTCACTCATTGAATGAGCAAACAACATATGTCTCACTCTTTTGCCCTATAGTTTTATGTTCAGTCCCAACCTTGATTTTTAAAAAATCAGCAAAGATTAGCAAATCGCTATTGCCAATATCATCATTGTAACATCTAAATGTAAAAAAACATCTCAAGAAGCTGAATTCTGTTTCCATTACAATATTCTATATTCCCACAAAATCAAAATATCAAAACACAGCCCCTAGTTTCAAGCAGACTGCCTTTTGCTGAGGCCACTAATTCATGTGTTACTGTAGTTTTATCTCCTTATCTTCTAATTGCTGCCTCTTTTTTCAACCTCATCAGGCCCAACTGTTTTTTTTCCCCAAATATTGCCAGCATGCTTGAAGAATTTTAATAAAGCCATGGAAATTCACTTACTCTCTGCTTGGGATTGTCTCTGGGTCTTAACCACACTCTCAATCAGTTCATTCATCTTCACCTTTTCATTTTCTACAGAGGCATTTAAAAGTAAGTTTACCATGTAGGCAGCAAATGCAGGTGGAAGAATTGAGTGCAACATTTTGTAAATCAGCTTAATTGCATTTAAATTATTAAATATATATTAATAATTAAATTTCATTAAAGTGATAGATATTAATATTTTACCAGTCAAAGTAGCTATCAAAAGTAATTGAAACATAATGCACATTTACAATCTCAATTAAAAAAACATAACATTCTGATTTAACTCAATCAGAAGACTAAGGGCTTATTAGCAAGAGTCTGGAGAAAAGACTTTCTCTCCTTATGTCTGAAGATTGTACTACGACTAGATAAAACTGAGTCAGAAAGGAATTACACAAAATAGGAGCAGCAACTAAATATCTACGTTTTGGAAATACTAGCCTGGCTTGAAGAGAGGAAGACTCAGAAGAAAATCTCTACAGCATGTTACAGGCTAAGCAGATTCATGTAAGACAAGATATTTTGTTTTGTTTTATTTTATTATTTTATTTTATTTATCTCTTTTCCTACTCACCATCCACAGTCACATTCTTCAATGCTTCTTGGAGCTGCTCTTTGGTTAACTGCATTCCCATGTTGGACAAAAGAGACTCTATATCTTCCACAGCAACTTTTTCTTCTGTGTCAGCTAAAGATTGAAATAAATTGGCTGAAGGACACATTTTTCAGAAAATTAATCACCCAACATAGATATGTTCCCTCCCTTATCCTTCTTTAGTTCTGGACAGGGTAGCACTTCCCCATGCAGGACCAATGAGCAATTGGGTTATTTGCAGCTTTTGCTTGAAGAGCAATTGGCAGATGGCAGTTATGGCCCAGAGGTTCTTGCACAGATGTGTTGGTTTTGCTTGTTCTAGAATTGGGAGGCTGCTCTAGAGACTACACTGTTTGTCAAATGACCTCAGGTAACACTTCAAGGTGTAGCAAGATGTGATTACCACATATAAAATCCTTTGTAGTGCAAGGCCAGATTGACTGTTTAACACTAATAATTTCTATGTAGGCATGTTCCAGGCCCCATCAATTAAATAATGTCATCTATTAAAATCCAATAAACAGGCCTTTTCTAGTAGAGTACAATTTTTTGGAACAGAGTCTCTCCAGTGATCTTCCTCTCTCCTGATTATGTTTAAAATGCTTTTTGAAAACCTGGCTTTCTTCTTAGGCATGGCGGTAACAGTAAACCTCTTATAGGAATTTACAGGTTACTCTGTTTTATTTTCTGGACTTTTATATAGGTATTTTCCTTGTCTTATTAAGCTTACTTTTTAAAATAGTGTATAGCTCCTTCTAAATTTGGCAATTAAAGAAATAATTCTTATATCTGTGGAGTCAGTAGTGGGTTCCACTTACCTTCACTACCGGTTTGGAATCAGGAGCGCGTGTGTGCACGTGCTCACTTTGCTCACACGTGTCATTTCTGCGCATGCGCAGAGCATCCATGATGACGTCTGGGCGGGTGGCCAGAGCCTCCCATCGCCGCCATTACCAGTTCGCCCGAACTGAGTGAACTGGTAGAAACCCACCACTGTGTGGAGTCCTTGCTACTCTCTGAGCCTGGTGGTTTTCTTGCAGACATTTCATTACCCAGTTAGGTAACATCACCAGTGCTAGTTTTGTATCCAAGCCACCACTCACCCTTAGGTCGAGATAACTCCTGCAAGACTCTAAGATTCCTTGTGAATTCATTCAGGTTTACCATTCCATCTAATTTAAGATTACAGAAATGACAAATGAGAAGAACTGAACACAATAAATGGGAAATACATTTTAATCATTATTCTTACATTAACAAACACTAACATTTTAAAAAGGGACAATTAAGAAAGAGGAAACACCACTTCCAAAGCAAGGCATTATTATTATATGCAACAGTATTGGATGATCAGAGAGGGATGCTTTATTGCACTCTGGTCTTGGGACACAGAAAAAAGACACATGTGGAAAGAGACCCACTATAAGCAACCCTGATTAAAACTAACTAACCTACATCTGATTTAAAAATCATGCAACCAGGTTCCCCCCAATGTGCTTGACCTATAATATCCCAAATTTTTAGTGAGAATTTAGAATGTTGTAATTCTAATACATCTGGAAGTCATCAGATTGGGGAAGATTGTTTTGAGTTCACCTATTTCTTAGTGCTTTAAAGAACATTTGGGAATAACATAAATAGGTTTCCAAGGTTATCCATAAGACAAGGTACTGAATGTGTTTTGAGAAACTATTTTATGCCCTTTAAATTAAACAAATGTTAATAATAAGAAGGCCAGTTTGATGGCCAAGCCTCCAAAAATGTTGTAAACACCAATGGTTCTGATGAATGTGGGAGCATTGTCTTGCCTATGAGGTATTTTGTTCTAAACTCCCAGTTCTTCCTGCTTAATGTTCACGAGTTTCTGGCCTCCCTTGCTACTTTCTACTCTCTTGTCACCTAAATATACATCCTTGCAGTTCTTACCATCAACTGTAACTTGCTCAAATGCTTTCTTCATTTCCTCCTCTGTTAAACTAATCCCCATGGTTTTCAAAATGGAATTCAGGTTTTTAATAGGGACCCTATTTCCTGTAAAAGAAAGAAGAGGAGGAGGAGGAGGAGGAGGAGAAGGAGGAGGAAGAGGAGGAGGAGAACAGCATGAATAAAGAATATTCAGCTATGTTCAAGTATTTATAATCAAATAGGTATATTCATTTATGACACTTCCATACCATCACCGTTTTCAATCCTGAAACACTCAGAAACAGAGAAATTGCTTCTACAGGTAGTCTTTCTTTAGCAACCACAATTGCTAACTCAGATGTTAAACAAAGCAGTCCCTAATTGGAACCATGATTGTGTTTATGAGCTTACTCTGGCATTCATTTGTTTTACAGACCTGGTAGGTCATAAATGTGAGGATTGATTGCAAAGTTTCTTTTTCATCACTGTTGTAATTGTGAATGGTTGCTGTACAAGACAGTCACTAAACAAGGACTCCTATCATCTTTACTTCCTGCTGACCTAAATGGCTGAGAACAAGGAGTGAAAATTATTGGAGTTCTCTCACCCTCATAGTACACAAAGGGGAAGGAAGAATGGTCAGTTTCAGGGTATTTTGCCAGTCTGTTGAAGAAAAAAAAGAAATTAACAGAATGCTTCTCAATTTCTATTCTATTTGTTTAGTCTAGGCTAATAAGGATTTGCTGTAAAGTCATCTATCAAGCATTCTGTTTAAAAGAGCTGAACGTCAGAAGCTGGGAGAAGGAGTGATGCAAGTATTCCCTCTAATAGGGAAAGAGGACCTTCAATATCTAGCTTTGTAGTTGGGTCATTTACATTGCAGTTGAGCTGGAAATCTGGTTTCCCTACAGTAGAAGAAAGCCACATCAAACTTCTCTATCCCTACAGCAGAAGAACTGTAGGGATACAGAAATTTGGTATGGCTTTCAGACTGGAGCTGCAATATCCTCATGCAGAAGTGTCCTTAACACTTCTATAATTTGCTTCATTAAGTATAAAAGAAAGAGTAACATCAAATTATTATTTAAGTGTGTAGAATTGACAATGTTCTTTAGTGCTTTGAAATGAAAGGTCAAGATCTTATGAAACTTAATAGAACTACATTAAAAAATAGGGTTTTTCTACTTAAAGAGTATATCCTCTCAGTTGTGGCTACAGAGAAAGGATTTTCAGTATATAATCTACTTTGAGAATTTTCCCTAGATCTCAATTCTTTATCAATCTCTCCACAACCCTAATTCTATTGATCCATGATCTAATTCCTTGTTTTTATCCTCAAATACTCCCATTTTTATAGCTCAAGAATGTTTAGTATTTAGTATTTAGTATTAAAGCCACAACAGCTTTCAAGTATGAAAGTAAATTGTCTCATGCAGGGCCATTTGCTTGTGTGGAGGTGATTTTAGCAGAAGCTACCATCAATCAGAAAAGGTGCCACCATCATTGTGCCCTTCTGGAATCAGTTTTACTCCCAGAATGGGAGGGGTTACTCTGTCTTCCTCAGTGTAATTTCCCCATGTTTAGCTTGAAACCACCATCGAAGATCACACCAGCCAGAGCATAGAACCAATTCAAAGAAGTAAGGCAAGACTGGAAGATGTGGAGAGACCTGCCCATAGAATTGTCAAGAGCCAGACACGATTGATTGGATAACATTGTCATCCTCACCATAATCAGCTTGGAACCTGCCTCCATTCATAATTGAAAATGTTACTAATTTTAAATCACAATTTGCAAATATAGGAAGGATTTATTTGAAACGCAAAAGGAACATCGAGAAAAATGTTTGTAATCTTTTTCAATCAATAATTAATGAGAGCTAAAATTGTAACCAGACCCACAGCTTGTTTGACACTTACTATCAGCTTCAGAAAATCTTCGATTGTTGGTCAGTGCAAACATAAAATCTTTCATACTCAATGTCCCATCAGCTGCAAGGAAGTAAACAAATTAATGAAAATTATTGAAAGTAGGCAACACAGTAATATTGTATATCAATTAATAGTTTAATCGTTTAAGTATGTTGCAAAATAGATCATCAATTCACTGTCAGAAAAAAGTTCATCTGAACAGTTTTTCTTCCCCTTTATTTATAATGTCACAGAAAGTGGTACCACTTGGCCAATATGCTGAGTAAAAAAGCTAAGCAAGATTGAACCTGAATGGAGATGACCAGGGCATTTTAATGCTCAAAGTTAAACAAAGACTGGGAAAAAGTAACCTTTCCATGTTGTTGCAAAGAAAACTACATGGACATTTTGAGTAACCATTAGAAGTTCAATTTCATTCAAGAGAATCTTTATGTTCTTCTAGTGCTTTGAAAGTAAAATAGATTAAAACAGACACAAGAATGTTAGCTATTATTTAATATGACACAGGTTTAGTTCTTGAATCTGTTACTAAATTAAAGGTGTGAGTGTGTGTGTGTGTGTGTGTGTGTGTGTGTGTGTGTGTGTGTGTATGTGTGTATAATACCAACTATTCTAGAAAAGTCTTACCATTTGTGGTAACATAGTTCAGTGCTTTCTGGATTTCATCTTGAGATAACTGAAGGCCAAGAGCTTGCATGATGGAATCCAGCTCTTCATATTCTATTTTATCTTGTCTGATGTCCTTCAATGTTTTCACTGCTTTTTCCATGTCTAAAAAAGAAGTACCCCACTGATGCATCCAAAGGCAACAATCTACAATGAAACATGTAAGATTGATGAAAAGGGATGTTCTTACCTGCAGCTGAAGAGTATTGCTGTGTGAGAGATAACTTCTTCATAAATTCTTTCAAATTTACCATCCCATCACCTGCAAGGGAAAGCAAATCTTATCAGAGAAAAGAGAAATGAAAAGTAATACATAGACATTTATACATGCACCCAATTTTATATCAGTCACTAACCAACAAAAACATTAACAATTTCCAGCTGCCAAGATTGAGAAACATGAATCTAGATAAAGTTCAGATAGGGATAGGACAAATGAGTTAATAGTATAGTTACTTAACTGACACCTAATTACCACTGGAGCAAGATTTTATTTTAAATGCTTGCTTCCCACCATAAATATCCAACCCATGATTCACTGCACAGCTTTGTGTCCTATTTGTTTCAGGTGTAGGAAAGGTACAGGTGACCTAGAAAACTAAATTTTCAGTTGCCCTGACATTTCATAGTTACTCAGAGAAGAATGGTGTTTGGTTTATATTTTGAACACATAATTACTCATAGAAAACACAGCTTGATTTGTATTATGTTTGAGCACTAGAAATGTTCAGTACTCTAAACAGCTGACACAAAAGTACACACATAGAAAAATTTATCAGGAACTGAAAATGTGCAAATAACATAATTTGGTTCCTAAGAACTTAGTTTAAATAATGCCAAAAAGTATTAAACATTGTTCCACGTTTTGTGGAGTGTCGTGTTTAGGATGCTTGAGAATATGTTGGGAGAAAACTATCCAAAACTTTATTATTTTAAAATCTGTGGTCATAGAAATTCAAAAAGAATGGTTCTAATACTTTATCAGAAAAAATCAAATATGTAGACCACAAACATGTGACTAGAGTAAGTCCTTACTATCTACTGTCATGTTCTTCAGGGCCTCCATCATTTGCTCCTTGGTTAAGGTGATGCCAATAGCAGCCAGCACATCTTTTATCTGAGAAATCTCAACTTTATCTTTATGCATTCTGCAGAGAATACTATAGGTGCCATGGACTGTTGGAAATAGAAAAGTTGCTTAATTAATTTCAAAAATAGGTAAAAACTTTGTTTGCTTCTCACATGATTCGTGCATCTATGCATTGCTGCTAGTAGATACTTTGCACTCTGATTGCATCACACTTGGTTTGAAAGCACTGAGGCGCTTCCAGGTTGAAAGGATTAGACAGTGACATCACCATTGCCTGGGAGAATGCCTGGTTGGGGCTTCTTTCATGTCCTTGTTAGTGTGCCTATCAAAGTGGTATCTATCTCTTGTGATTGCACACTTTCGAACTGTTAGGTCAGGAGCTGGAGTGAATGACAGGAGCTCATCCCATCATTCAGCAGCTCTCGGGTCTCAAACCCAGGCTTGTAAATTATCAACCCAGCTTTCTAACTACATGAGCCACCATGCGCCTTATTTTGTGAATAGTCCTGCTTTCTCTGCCTGCAGCACCATCTATAAAATGGCTAGCCTGGAATGATACACTACAGATTGTCAATGAGATCTGAAAAGCCAATAAGAGTTTTACTGTATATTGAAGGTCATCAATGTTACTATATTTAACTGTTCAACAACAAGATTACACACAGGATGATTGCATATTTGTTGAGAGTGTATTTCTTCTTATTACCAACAATCTACTGAATTTAACTTAGTAAATGGTTTAAATTATTTCCAGCTTTGTAAACATAAAGCTTGCCCATGTAAGAATCTTCTGTATTTCACAAACAAGGAATCTATTTTCTCATACAAAGTGGAAACCACTTTAATTTTAGCAGCAGAATTTAGGTTTTTAGAAAATGGGAAAATAAAATTATTTGGTTTTTTTCTTCCTAACAAGCTTTGAAACATTGCTAGTGTAATCTAATATCACTCCTTAACTCACATGAGCAATTCTATGATGGGAGACTTTCACTACATCTAAACAAGTGAATTGGTATACCTGATTCAAAAGCAAGCCATTTCTATCCCTTCCAACTTATTTGTCTTCCTGATCTTCAACCAACATGGCAAGACCTCAAGCTCGGAGCCAAACCAAAGCCCGGGATGTGGCATCACAGCCATCTGCTCAGGACATTACGGCAAAAAACTCAGGATATCACAACACTAGAACTCAGGATGTTAACACACAGCCCATTACCCAGGTCGTTAAAACACAAAAGACTAATGGGCACATATCAAGGACGTCACCCACACAGGATGTTACGAAACAGCTGACTAATCTGCAAACATCAACTCATCAAAAGGTAACAACACAGGCAACCGACCCGCTCACAGCAACTAAGCCAGCACCCCACACCTCCCCACCAGTATTTATAGAGAGACGGCAGCTCCGATCATGCTTTCCTCGCACAAGCACGAAGCCAAAGACACCAGCCTGGTGGGACCTCGTCAAAATGTTGCCAAGATACTCTCAATTTTACACGGGAAAAGACCCGAATACACCAAAACTTGCACGCACGCACGCACACACACACACACACACACACACACACACACATCTATTCTCTGGATTTTTGATTTCCACCCTTCATACCAACATAGTTGATTTTTTTGCTTTGATAGAGGAATAGTTGCTGTATAATATACTTCTATATGTTGGAGTCAACTACCTACTGCATACATAAAGAACTATGTGATCTTTTGACAGTTCATTTTATTGTTTGCTTGCCTGCTTTTGACTATGTGTGTGCATTTGACTCTTCTCACTAATTACTTGCAGAGCCCATAATGGCTTCCACTTACGTGAGTTTTCAGAAAAGCGTTCATTCGCTGTCACATTGACTAAGAAGTCCTTGAAACCGAACTTTCCAGTTCCTGAAAAAGCAAGTTTTTCTATGCTTGAAAGAGACCAACAATGCTAATGCAGAGCTAACTTCACAGCTAACCTTTTGTTGCACCCTATAATATAATCCCTGGATAATTTCTCAAACTTTTAAAAAATTGTTAATCATAATCCAGAACATGGGAGAGGCCACATATATCTTGAGATTAACAAGCAAGAGATTGAAACACAGGATCCAAGAGGCTGGGTTTACATGCCAACTATAAACAAGAACTAGCCAATAACATTTTAGGCTAACATGGTGTGCAAACATAGCTCAAGTGATACATTTATGAGTCAGTGTTTATGTGATCCTAAAAAATTGAGTTAAATGGATAAACTATGGTGGGAATGTTTGGAAACTCTAAATAGGTTTGTTTCGAAACATAAGCTACTGAAAATGACCCCTTTAAACTACTGGCTGATTTATCAGAGTAATACTTGGCCACCGTCTCCCAAAATAGATGTTCTCCAAAAATTCTGTATGTGGACTTAAATTCCCCAAATTCTCAGCAATGGGCAATGATGGCTGGAATTTTCTGGAGTTGATTCTGAAATCTGAAGGGTGCCCAGAGATTTATTTTTGGACATTTGAAATGGAACAGTCACAACAATTGAAATTAAATAAGGATGTCTTCTAACATTTAGAAGATTTGGTTATGTAAGGTTTTCTAGGAACTTTATTCTGGGAAATGTAATATTTGCTACATTTTGTGCCATGTGGTTTAACCTTAACTGCTGGGATCTTGTTATTGCCTACCTTCTTCTATATTTTTGCTATAGGGAGGCTTTAATCAGCATTTCACAGCTTTGCTTAAACTGAATTAGAGATGGGTTTCAGCAGGTTCTGACCAGTTCTGGAGAACCAGTAGCGGAAATTCTGAGTAGTTTGGAAAACCGGTAGTAAAAATTCTGACTGGCCCTGCCCCCATCTATTCTCTGCTTCCCAAGTTCCAGCTGATTGGGAGGAAATGGGGGTTTTGCAGTAACCTTCCCCTGGAGTAGGATGGGAATGGAGATTTTACAGTATCCTTCCCCTGCCACGCCCACCAAGCCATGCCACACCCACCAAGCAACATCTACAGAACCGGTAGTAAAATTTTTTGAAACCCACCACTGAACTGAATGCTACAAAATTTTAACGTGAATTTATTTCTTTGCCCATTTGGGATAGTTGGAGGATATAGAATGAATGAGTAAGAAGTGCAGACTCACCAGGTATGGAAGTACCCTTCAATGCATTTTGGAACTCTGCAATGTCCAACTTAACTCCCAGAAAGTCTAAAATGGACTCCAATTCTCCAGGATCAACAGTCCCATCCTTTATCTTGCTGAAGGCCACAACAGCAGACTGAAATGCTATCATAAGAAAGATCAAGTACAAACTGAAGAAAACCAAAGTACTTTGAATGATGTCTGAAATGGAAATTGCACAAGGTCACAAAGACCTCTGATTCAAACATATTTACAAATGGCAACATTCCAGTTCTACCATTCAAACTCATTACAAAGTTTGCATTTCTAAACAAACAAAACATAACAAGCCCCTGTGTGTCATAACTGCCCACTTAATTACAAGGTGTACTGAATTTTAGGACAAAGAGTGATAAAACAAAAAGAAGAAAGAGAAGAAAATAATAAAACCCCTTTTCAGCTGAACTATTTTTTATATGAAATGTTCTTCCTGGTACTTGGTCATATCTCTCCTTGCCTTTGCAAGGAGATAAAAATTATTGTTATTATGCTAAATACCTGAATTTCCTCCCTGCTGATATTCCATTACTCTTAGCTGTGATTTCCACATTTTTAATTTCTGAAGAAATGACATTGCTTTGGAACTTAGAAATAAATTCAGTAAAATATGGTTAGGGTGTAAAAATGTGAAGCAGTGAAAATGGAGAAAAAAACTATATTTTTTAAAAGTGAGAAGATTCATAAGAAGAATTTATTTCAGATAATTTGAGATATGCAGATAATCTGCATTTCAGATAATCTGAAATTATACTTTGGAAACTGTTAAAATATATAGTTCAATTTTAATGTTTTTATAATTCTGTCTTGCAAAAATAGATCATGCCACTGTTGTCTAGAAATAATTTTCCCAAAAGGTAATCTTAAAATAAAATTTCCCTATGTGAACTGGTGACTTTGAGGTGAATTTGCTAAATATAAAAGGAAATTTTCTGCTACAGCTATGGCTTAGAATGGACAATGAAGACACTAAAGTGGTAGTAAGTTTTTGCCTTTTAAGATCAAGTATCAACAGTATAGGAATCAGAAGTCAAGAAATACAGCATACTACAGTCTAACATAAGGTAGGGTAGCAATGAAGGCTTGGAAAAGGCGTTTGGATCCTGTGATGTATCTATACTTTTAAAAATCAGAATCATGCTGTTAATGTTTTTCCTCTGTAATATTCTATGGAAAAGAATGTTAAAAAGCAGGATATAACAATATTGACACTTTTAGTTGTGAGAGAATACTATGGACAGATAGGAAAACAAATCTATCATAGAAACAAACCAATCTAGATTTCTAACTTCAGGTGCAAATCACTAGGCTCTAATTATTACATTGTGGATGCATTATGGAAAGACCCAGCTCCCTTGGGAAGTCCATAATGATGGGAAAAAAAGGACAAAACTGAATGACAAGTAGCAAGGTAGTTGGACTCACTCAATTAGAATAGTCATGCACCCATTTTGGGGGTGATCCACAGGGCCAGACTGAAAACAAACCATCCTGGGGAAGGTCTGTTTATGTGGTCACTAAGGATTGACTGTGATTTAATTACACTTAGGCTATGTTTGTATGAATTAAATGGATGAAAGAAATCATCAGAAGATTAAAAACTGACAATTAAATCACATGCCAAGTACTATATATGTATGTGTGGAGAGCTAGATATGCAATTGACAAATGTTTATCATTTTTGCCTGAAATCTCATAAGACATTAAAGGGCAACACTTGATCAATGAATTGAAGCTACTTAAATAAACCACCATTTACTTATAGACATCACATTGCAAATTTCTGGCTGAAAATTGTCCAGGTACAATAGGTACTTTATTACAAATCTTTTACCAATGTAAGGTTTCCAGATGTAAATTTATTCTGTCCTTTTTTTAAAAAAAAATGTAACTACCTTGTTTTCTACCTACTCTTCTGAGATGCTTATTATTTTTCTGTTGAATTTTCCATAGCCCAATGCTATTTTTTTTAGTAGATTCTGTTCAATGGTGCAAAAGATTCTGTTTGAAGATACCCACTTTCAAAGACCTTGACAGTAGGTTTTTTTTTTTTACATTCTGAGAGACAAATGTTCATCTCCTACCAAAAGTAATGGCTGTTTTTAGGAACCTCACCTAAAGAGTCCCTGAAGTAATGCATCTTAGGAAGAGTCATCAGAAAGTCTTTTAGATTTACAGTTCCATCAGCTGGTAGGAAAAGAGGATACATGAAGAAACCATTAAATCACAAAAATGTCTGGTCATAAAAAAATATTCCTAGATAAGAGAAGGTTAGATTGTTAAAGAACAATTGTTATGAGGCCTTGGGCAAATTTACCTGCCCAGTTCTTCAAACTCATAAAGGACTGTCTATGTAATTATTTAAACATTGTTATTAAAAATAATGTTTTTATCACATTTGTGGCTATGCAGTTTTTTCTATGAGGATTTTTAAAAAAAATAAATAATATTCATGGTCAAAAGTTAACATCCTCAAGTTCTAGAAGAATATCTACGAATATAAATCTTTACTGATTTTGTGGAAAGGAATTTCAAAATACATAGCATGATATTCTTAACCACCACCACAGCTTGCTATAATATTTTTCCTAATGAACCCTGATGAATTTACCAAACCAAAATATGGGCTTAGTTCCACCTTATTAAAAATAAAACAACTTACCATCCACATCAATAACATACAAAATTTCTTGGATTTTTTCCTCTGTCAAATGAAGACCCAACTTATCTATAGTGTCCTGCAGTTCATTTGTATATAGCTGGTCACCATGCATTTTACCAACAATGGTAATGACACGCTGTAAAGCTAGAGAAAGATGAGGAAAAGAACAATGTTTCAAGGAAATATACCATAAAGAAGTCCCCAAAGTGCTTTTTCAAGAGGCAACTGGATGTTTTAATTTTTCTTTGAAGATATTTAGCTTCTTGGATGAGAAGCAAAATGTCTTCAAAGAAAAACCAGAAAGTCTCTTGAAAAAGCAGCTTTGGGACAACTGTGACCTGGATGACCGAGAATCTCCACAGATACCATAAAGAAGAAGCCAAATACCCTAAAGGAATTTCACCCACATTATATCTACTCTCTTATCCCAAGAGGAAAGTAGAGAAATGATTAATTCTAGAGGAATGTAGTAAAATGAACATAAAATCTGATGCCATCTTAGATCCACAGTATTTTATAGGCCTAAGTCTACTTGGTCAGGGACGTGAAGAAATGGCAATAACCAGACCCTAACTCCCTTTGTTGGACTTCCATAAAGGGAGGAAAAGAGTGATTCCAGGGTCATAGGGTCAGATCCCTAAAGTCATGGAACCTGAATACTAATGAGCCCAGAGTGAGGAACCAGAGTAAGGCCTAACTCAAAAGAATGCAAAGAACTAATGGAATTTTAGGGAGAAATAAGGGTATACAAATAAGGGCATGTTGTGGAGTTAGTAACTTAGGGACTCTACATATAAACCCTAATACTTTAACTGGGTTCTGACATGAAGAAAAAGCCCGCTAAAACAAGTAGTGTTTATTGCACATACCTGCTAACTAAAAAACTCAGATTTATTTGAACTTACCTTCCATTTCAGTAAAATCTTCTGTTTCACCCAGTGCTAGCAAAAACTCTTTGAAATCTACTTCATCATTTTCTGAAAAACATTTTGGGTTTTTGGGTTTTTTAATTTAATGCACAGGACACTTCTGGGACAGAGGAAAACACGCACAAGAAAGCACTCCTTATTGTTTGGTGGGAATTACACATACTTTAATGGCTATAAAAATGAAAGAAAACTTTAAGCTGGTGCTAATATTTTTATATTCCCTTTTCTCCTAGAAAAGTATTTGTCATATATATTTATCTGTGGATTAGAAAATAATCTTACTTAGTTAAGGATGTGATTTACAAAGCAAAAAAAAAGTGTTACATTTATCTATTGTCGGCTATTAAGCTAAAGCTATTCACTGAATTCCTTCCTTCCTCCCTCCCTCCTTCCCTCCCTCATAATTAATTAATGATGAATTATTAATTAATTAATTGATTATTAATTATTAATTCATTCTGCAACTCAAGTTCAATTCTATGCAGATTTTGACTTTTTAAATTTAGCATAGCCCAGAAATAGAGAGATAAAGAGTAAGGTTTTGTCTCACCATCAGTTCTGACAGTTTGAATTATCTGATTGAATGTTGAACTAGGTAAGTCTACTCCCATATTTTCTAGAGTATCTTCCAGCTGTTTGATAGTCATTTTCTCTTCTTTGAGGTTTCCAACAACCTTTGTGGCATTCTGCAATGCTGGAGAACATGAATTGTTAGAAGAAAGAGGAGGCTGCTGCAATTCTCAGGTCACCCAGTGCTTTGCAGAGAGAAGAAAAGGTTGCGAAGCAGTGGGTCTGCCAAACCAGGACATGACTGTTGAGTAGCCAACAAGGGGAAGAGAGAAAAGAAAAATTGGCCCTGGGAACTGACTCTCCTCTTTTTTTACCTATTTCCATTTCATTTGGTATTTGGAGAACTTCTGCCCTCTGCGTTCCATGCACAATTTGAGTTTTCTTCATTCACACTTCAATTACTTACCTCTGATGTCAGAAATGCTGGACAAAACCTTTAGGAATTCCATCCCATGCACTTTCCCTGATTCTTCAATGGTTTGAAGCAAAAAAGGAGAAATGAACAAACAGGAGATCAGCAACTGGACAAAAGCTGTCTTGGACAGCAAAAGCTGTTGAGCTACGGTGTCTTGAGGAGAGGGTACACCACCGCCTTCCTAAGAGCTAGCGGAATCACTCCCTATCTCAAAGGGGAATTAACCACTGACCAAAACCAATAATGTATCCCTTCCCTTGCTGCTTTAGCTAGCCAGGAGGGACATGGATCTAAAACTCAAGTGGCTAAACTAAAACCTGCAAGAGTTCTGTCCACTTCCTTAGGTTCAAAGGCTTAAACTTATGCTGTATGTACATACAAGACTTAGCCCCCACAACTCCACAGATTTTGCCTGAAAACCAGAATCCAATGTTGAATTTCGGTATTACTCCCTCTGAGGAAGGACAAGCCACCTGGAATAGGGCTGTTGGGTGACTATCCATAAATGTAATAAGGGCAGAGAAATAATTATGTTTCACTGCCCTTATCCGTCATAAAGTAAGCTCTAATAGTTTAGCTCATGTTAAGTCATCTTTTTTTCTCATCTTTTGCCAGCTAAGCTCTAGGTGTCTCTTAGCTCTTTTACGTTTTCTCAATTCTATTGTACAGCACAGAGAATATCTGGAACTATGTGCACAGAAGGACCACTCAGGCATCGGCTAATCCAAAACTGCAGCTGTTCTACTATTCCAAGTGGCCACCAAGGCTTTGGTCAGGCCAACTATTAGGCTTTCTGGAACAGTCTCAAGATTCCTCTGGAACCCAGTTGGGTCTATTAGTCCCAATCTCTCTGTGGAAGGAAGTGGTGCCAGAGAATTGGAGGCTCACACTGGAGTGATTCGACCATGACAAAAGGGAAACCACTGTCTTCTCCAAATCCAGAACACTGTTCTACTGTTCTGACAGAAAAAAATTAGCTCAGGTGTATTATCACTTTTATGTATAGGGCCTGGTGACTTGGGATAGGCCCATAGCTCAAACTCTTGAGCTATCTCTGAACCCAGACCCAGAGAAGGCAAATTAAAGTTCTGCAAGATCATAAGCCCAGGGAACTCTACCATCATCCCAGCCAAAAAGCTTAGGCATAGAAGTTGCTGTACACCTCTTGGTATCCAACTTAATAAACAGTGTCTTACACCCAAGAATTTGAAGAGCAGGGCCTCTGGATGCCACCTAAGGGGTCTCAGATTATCATTTTTCTATTCTGGATTCATATTTTTAGTCACATTAAAATCTAAGCCTCCGAGACAAGGATGAGATAGAATATTGATATATTAGAGAATGGCATAGCCAGAGAAACTGGGGTGTTTGTGGGTAAGGGAGTAAATAAACCCCTCAAGAATGCAGCTGTGATCAAGTGATGAAAGCCCTCCCCTCTTTTAGGCACATAAAAAGGAAGGCTTCAATTTCATGGATATGGCTGTCATCTTGCATGTAGGTGTCCTTGCAAACAACAACAACAACAACAACAACAACAACAACACCTTTGTCAGTTTTAACTTCTAAAATATTTAATGGAGGCTGTTAACAGCCTTTGAACAGAAAGGAAAACAATTTTCCTTTCTGTTCAAAGTTTTTCCCCAATAACTCACCAATTTATTAAATACTTACCATCAATAGAAGCAAATGCCAGAACCTCTTGCAGATCATCAGGTGTCAGGTGGCTGCCTAAGTTTTCTAGGGCATCCAGCAAGTCTTCCTTTTTAATGTCCTCTTTTACAATCTTGTGGATATTACGGAAAGCATTCTGTAAAGCTTTAGGAGACAAATTTCAAAATGAGTTCAGCCTTGCTTATTCTGAGCCTATTCTTTGACATTCCCAAATAAGATTTGAAGCAAAGCAAACTTGTGAAACCATATTTAATGTTGATAGAATGGACCCTTTCAATGAAAACATGGAAACTTATTTCCAATTGGACAAATCAAAGATGGTAATTACTGGAGTTTATCAAATGAGGTGAAGTAATTTTGAAATGTAGGGAAGTTTTGCCTGATGGGGCAGTTGATAGTAGTAGCATTTCAAAGAGATATTTCCCATAAATAATTTAGAATGTGAGAACCAATTCCAGCCTTTCAACATATGTCAAATCATAATGTATGTCCTGATTTCTCAGAAGTTGTGGCCAACTCACTACTTTTGCACATTAACTCTTGAGCTAACTGTGCACTTTTCAGGGTGAATTAAGATTGTAGTTAACAGAATTCCTAGATTAAAAATTGCATACATATATGAATGCTCTCTTAGGAGGAGCCTGGAGCCCCCACAGAGCACATCGTTGGGTGGCAGATTGGGGGCTCCTACCTAGTATGGCTTTTATGCTGTAATGGTGGGTTGGAGGGATTCGACTGAAGGCGGGGACCATATTGGTCGAAATGGCTTCAGAATAACAGCACATGGTGTGGTGGCAGCGACTTGAACAGTGTGTGCATAGCAGTGTAGAAAGCAAAGGGAAGACTAGTACACTATATATTTTCCAGGAAAATCATGTTAATGGTGGCAAAACCTAACAATGGCCCTTATGGGTGCCCCTTAAATGGGGCAGGGGTACTAAGAATCCCCCAGTCCACTAGAAACATGATAAATCCAAAACTATGAGTTGGAACATGGAATCTGAGAATGCTATATGAATCTGGGAAAACACACAAGACTATCCAAGAAATGTCAAAATACAATATCTCCATATTGGGAATGAGTGAAATGTGCTGGCCTGAAAATGGAATGTGTAGAATAGGAGATTATACTATCTACTACCCTGGTGAAAATAGTAAACATCATCGAAATGGAGGAGCTATAATTGTAAACAATCTTGTAAATAAATCCATCAAGTCCTTTATTCCTGTATCCGATAAAGTGATGATGATCCAAATAAATAGTACTCCAGTAAATATGAATGTTATACAAGTTTACGCTCCCATGGCTAACAGTGATGAGGAAGATTTAGAGAAGTTCTATGAAGATATAAGCAGTTACTGAAAACCCTAAAAAGTAATGATATCACAATACTCATGGGGGACTTCAATGCAAAAATGGGAGAAGGAAGTGATACTCCTGTAGTTGGAAACTTTGGCTTAGGAACTAGAAATGGTAGAGGTGACAGATTTGTAGACTTCTGCAAAGAACATAGGCAGTATGTGATGAATATTTTTTCAAGTTACCAAAAAGACACCTCTACACTTGGAGATCACCGGCAGATACATGAAATAATATAGTAAGGAACCAAATTGACTATTTTACAATAAACAAAAGATTTAGAAAATTAATAAAATCAGTAAAGACATACCCAGGCACAAATGTATTATCCGATCATAATCTACTACTTGCCAAAGTCCAGCTGAAACTAAAAAGGATGAAAAACCCAAATCCTCCTAAACCAAGAATTGATTCATCATTAAACATGGAGTTAAAATAAAAGAACTAGAAATTCATTTAAGAGAAACTAACAACCTGAATAATGAAAATGTAGAAGTGAACTGGAATAAATTTAAAAATGCAATAATAGAGTAACAAACTCAAAACAAAGAGAGAGGTACCACAAGAAACAACAATGGTTGATGGATGAAATTCCTCATCTCATGAATGAAAGAAGTGCTTATATAAATAAAACAAAGAAAAATACAACGAATTGCAGAAAACAATAAGAAGAAAAATTCGACTGGCAAAAGAAAAGTGGTTTGCAAAGAAATAGAAGTGACAGAACTTATGCATGATAATTTCAACTTACATGAAAAAGTGAAAGAAGCAGCAGGCCTCTACAAAAAGAAAACCAACAACTTAGTTGACAAGGAGGGGGAAATTATCTTGGATGAGGATGAAAAACTAAAAAGATGGAAGGAATATATTGAAGAACTTTTTGAGGATACTAGGGATGATATTGTTATGGGAAGTACTATATAACAATTGGACCAAACATCACTATGTGGGAGGTTGAACATGCAATAAAAATAGTGAAAACAAGAAAAGCCACAGGACCTGATGATATCCCAGTAGAAATTTTAAAATTGCTGGAAGACAATGGGAAGAAATTTTTACTGCCACTCTTCAATCGAATATATGAAACAGGAAAGATACCAAATGATTGGCTAAAATCAACCTTTGTGACAATCTCCCAAAAAATAAATGCAAAGAAGTGTACAGAATACAGAACAATAAGCTTCAGGAGTCGTGTCCTGAAAATATTCCTGAGAATAATTCACACAAGAATATACAACAAAATTGAGGAGTGTCTAGGTAACACACAATTTGGTTTCAGAAACAATCTTGGTACACAAGATGCCCTATTCAGCATTCAAGTTCTTGTACAGCATTATAGAGATGTCAATCACAGTGTTTACATGTGCTTCATCGATTCTGAAAAAGCATTTGATAAAATAAGACACAGCAAACTATTACAGCAAATCCTGAAACTAGTGGGACTAGATGACAAAGACATCCGAATCATAAAGAATCTATATTGGCATCAGGTAGCAAATGTGAGACTAGGCCAAAAATACTCAGATGATACAGAAATATGAAGAGGGGTCAGACAGGGCTGTATTCTGTCTCTGCTGTTGTTTAATTTCTACTCCGAGTCAATCTTCAATGAAGCATTGGAAAACATCGATGCTGGCATCAAAGTAAATGGTGTTCAGATCAACAATTTAAGATATGCAGATGATACAGTTCTGCAGGCCAGTAAGCATGAAGACCTTCAGCTCCCCATCAACAGAGTCACAGAAATATCTGAAAATACTGCTTGAAGCTTAACACCCCAAAAACCAAGATCATGGTCGTCAGCAAACAACCCATTGATTTTACCACTGATAACTTTGGAAGGAATACCACTAGAAAAAGTTGAAAGGATCACGTACCTCAGTTCTAATTACATGAAAGCTGGGACATGACCACTGAAGTAAAGACAAGAATAGAGAAAGCTTGAACAGCATTCTTCAAAATAAAAAAGGTGGTTCTGCAGTCGCAACATAAGCCTAAGACTGGAAATGAGACTTGTCAGATGTTACATCTTTTCTATCCTGCTCTATGGAGTAGAGAGTTGGTCTATACAGAAAGCCATTTGAAAAGAGTAGAAGCATTTGAAATGTGGATTTACAGGTTGCTGTTACGTATAAAATGAGTTGACAAAATCAGAAACAAGGTGATAAGCCACCTGGGAAAACCAAGGCAAATAATCAAAACCATTACAAAGCGAAAGTTAGAATATTTTGGACATGTGATGCAACACCTAGAAAAATACGGCATATTTCATTTAATCCTCCAGGGAAATATTGAAGGCAAACAAGGTGCAGGCAGAAGAAGAACATCATGGCTTCAAAATGTAAGGGACTGGTTTGGACAAAACTCAGCAGCACTTTTTCGTGAGGCTGATGATAAAAATAGGATCCCCAACATGATCACCAACATCCAACGATGGATATGGAAGAAGAAGAAGAAGAAGAAGAAGAAGAAGAAGAAGAAGAAGAAGAAGAAGAAGAAGAAGAAGAAGAAGAAGAAGAAGAAGAAGAAGACGACCAATTTGGTATAACAGATTAACAGAGTTGGAAGAGACCTTGCAGGTCATCTAGTCCAACCCCCTGCCCAAGCAGGAGACCCTACATCTGTCTCTACTTAGGATCAAACTCACCTCCTGATTGTGAGGCAAGAGCTCCACCTCTAGGCCATAGCAGCTGGGTTTTATAAGGATTTTATAAGGGGGCATTCAAGTTTGAACTAATTTTCCCTGCTCCCAGAAAGGAAGAAAATAGTATAAACAGAAGTGAGGGCTTTCCTCAAGAGAAAACTGATCTTACATAGGCCACAAAATAATTGTAGAAATGATGTTAATGATTACTTACAGTGTCTACATCCTGATGTCTAACACAGCTGACATATGGTAAATTATAGCATTCATCCTATCGTGTGACCTTCTGCTCAAATTAACCTTATTAGAGTTGACCTTGGTGATAGGGAAGGAATGATTGAGCAGATAAGGGAAGAAGTAATGAATAACTATTAAGGAAGGAGTTGTAGAAAAGCTCACATGGTGCTGAGAAAGAAATTTAAAATACAATCTCACTGCCCTCATGATATAAAATGGGACAGACTGACTTTTTCTGTTCAATTTGTGTCCAATTCTTGGAGCAGCCTGGACACATTCCTGCAATTTTCTTGGCCAAGTTTTTCAGAAATTATTTGCCTCCTTCTCAAAGTTGAGAAAAAAAATGACTGGCCCAAGGTGACCAAACTGACTTTGTGACTAAGCCGGACTAGAGCTTATGGTCTCCTGGTTCCTAGTATTTTGTTATTCTACATCAGGGGTGTCAAACTCACATTGTCACAGCGGTATCACGTGACATATTGTGGCTTTCCTCCCCCTTTGCTAAACCGAGCATGGGTGTGGCCAGTGTGTGATGCATTCGGGCTGTGGGCCGTGAGTTTGACAGCCCTGCTCTATGTTATTACAATAAAGAACATTATTGAAACTCATGATATGCTTCTTTTTTAACCCAACTGACCTCAAAAGGGTAACATTGGACCCTAATGGCAGAACTGTTCTTTTTTTCATTCTGTTCAGTAGCTAAGCTTAGTACAGACTATGCTGGAGCACATCTACAGCCAGTATGAAGCCATGTAACAATTTCGTGGATAAGTACTACAAAAACATGTTCAATTTCTATTTTATGGCAAACATATCTAATGCTGTACTTTTGACCAATAAATAAATAAATAAATGGAAATTTGGTTTTATTTTGAAATACTTTTTTAAATTTTGCAATTCAATTACCCAACCAACTGATTAAACAAGTTTAGTACATTAAGATAAAGTTGTGCATAATAAAGATACAGAAGAGGAAATAATTTTAAAATATATAGTACGTTGGAGGAAATTGACTTCAAAAGTTATATATGAATCTTAAGAAATATTCCTCCCAATGTATATTAATTTTCACGTGTGATTAAACAGACTGAAATTTAAATTGGAAAATATGAAAAGTGTAAAGTTTACCAATTTATTAGTATCTATGCAAATGCTATCATATTTTCTGGTCTTACCATGAAATTCTTCAAAGGACTCTGTACCGATTATTTCTTTCATAATATCATTAAAATCCACTGACCCATCTTCTATAAGGAACAGAATAGCAAATTGGTTGAATGGGAGAAATAATAATATATGCATGACAAATCTAGGTTCTAAAATATTTCTAGAATATTATTTTGTTCTCCAAGATGTTCTTTGATATTACAAAAATTAGTGGTTAGCGATCTGATAAAAAATATATATTTCGGCTTTATACAATGTTTAAGATAATCTTAAACAAATTTACCAAGGCTCACCAATGAGTACTCTAAATAAACATGCCAACATTTATATTTTTAATACAATTAATGTATATATACAAGATAAATAAATATAGATTATTTACTCAACCACCAGAAGAGCTTACAATTAAGAAAATACTCGAGTGCGCAGAGATGACTAAATTAACTTATGAATTAAATGATGAGAACTCAGTTTACTATATGGTGTGGGAAAGGTGGTACAAGTGGTTGCATGACAAAATGAAAGAAAGATCTAAAGGTGTGTTAAATATTGGTTAAAAGTGAGTTGAAATGTCACCAAGTACTATTTATGTAAATAGTTAAAACACTGCACATCCGATACTAATTGAAAATGTTATTATACTTATGTGTTTTATGTTTCTGTTTGAATGTTTGTTTTTCCTTTTTCTCTTTTTTTTATTTCTTTTTTTTTTGTAAAAAACCTCAATAAAGTTTCTATTAAAAAAAATAAAAAAAATAAATATAGATTAGGTAGTAAGAAAACTTGGCAAAATCATCCTTAAGAATTGTGACTGAACTGAGAATTCAAAGCCTTTTAGTAAACTTTGAGGCTACTTAAACGCCAGCTTTCTCTAATTTGATGTTTTCTAGTTGCGTTGCAGTTCCAGAATTTGCAGCCTGGTGTAAGTGGTATTGTCATACTGGTAAAGAGACTAATAGCCATTTTGTCAACAGTATCAAAGTGCAGATTAGCCCTTATTCTAAGAAAAAATGGGCTCTTCCCTGTCTCCCATTGAAGACATGGGAAAGATAAAATAAGGAAATGTTTTGTGTTTTCTTTGTGTAGTTCCAATTGTTAGAATTCTTGTGTTGTCTCCTTAATCTTTTATTTTAATAAATCTTGCTAATTAGAAGCTAGGGAGGTAAAGAAATATGTTCCCAAACATGATGAAAACATAATGATGAAATGTGTATCATAATGACACAACATGAGCTTTGCACTTGCATTGCAACATTGCGCACAAATAGGTGAGGTGCAGAGTTTATGACATGATGTTGCAATACATGTTTTGTTAATTTACCCAATCCACCTACCCTATCTTGATTGCTGCTACAGGGTTTTGACGCCTACAGGCCCAACAACCCTATTTTGAATTGTATTTCTAACATATCTGGGGGATCTTGAATTAGTGAAGCTGATATATGAGGGTTGATATATGGCCTCCTTATGTACAGCATATATGATGTTACCATGAGCATGTTTCCTCATAATCATCTTTCACAACAGTCTCCCGAAACAAAAAAAAAGAAAGAGGGGAAACTGTTAAATATTTTTTCATCTCTTTGCTGCCATCTAGTGACCATCTGCATTTGTGCAGTCCATATCACTAACACTATCAAGACTAGAATTTTATTATGTTTTTTCTCTCAGTAATAGCAATATAAAGGAATGTGTTTTATTATTTAAGTAATGATAAAATATATGCATGCTGGAATACTGAAATTGAAATAAGTACTAATCTCACCAGTGACTGTAACTGAGTTGCATAGTGATTGCATTTCATCCGGAGTCAGTTTGATACCCATTGTGGTCAAGGTTTTTGCCAGGTCATTGACATTAACCTCATGGTCTATGATATTATGCATTGCATCAAGAGTATCCATCAGCACTGCCAAATAAATATTTGTATTAACATGATATTCAGTTGCACATTTATTTCATCAGTTGAAATAGCACTATTCCTCTTAAAACAGCATTCCAAGTGCTATATTGAACAAACTCAAATCAGGACAGGGTTAAGTTGACCTTATTCCATCTTTACTTATCCTCAGCTTCAGCTACAGTTGCTTTGCATTTACAGTAAACAAAATAAAAAATCAAGAGAAAGTCTTATCTGGAAGCTTGTTTGCAACTCCTTAAACAGCCATGTCTTTTCTCAGGATTGTGCCCGGAAAAGAACCAGTTACTTTAAATAATTAAAAAGGATGTTATATATCTAACCCTACACACAACAAAATACTTTTTTAATATATAAGTTTTTTTATTTTTGGATATACATAGGTATTAAACACATGAACAGTGGGGCATCTGGGTATCATTAGTTTGATATTATTTTGATACAAAATAATAATATTAACAATATTACATTGATCATACTCACAAAATTATAATAATATTATAAGTATTAAAATTAAAATTATTAACATGTTTGTGTTTGCTCCACCCTTTATATATTCCTTCATCATTTAGTTTTTCAATATGTTAATACACATACTAATAGCAATAATAATATTGTTTAGGCATACATAATAAAATCATCTTTCAACTTCTAATCTTTACCTCTACATATTAGTCTTAAAACGTTATATAGAAATATGCATAATACTATTTCCTCCCTTTCTAGTTTCTACCTCAATTCTAATTCTTTTTTTTTTATTGCAAAAGTTTTACAATTACATTTTCATCCTCAATTCTAATTCTTAATATAACAAATCTTATTTGAAAATATTCTATTTCTATCCATCATCTTTTGCCAGTTTTAATATTTCAGTTCTTGTTGATTTTTTGGCATGTCTCCCATACTCCTCCCTTGGAATTTTGTATCCTCCTGTATCATTCATATTTGATCTAATTATTTCCTCTATTTTTATATTTACCTCTATATTAACCTGCAATACATCTATCTTCATTTCAGGAATGTCTTTCTGTTTATTCAATTCTATTTTTTTATCTCTTTTTATGTGATCTGCCTGATCTTTTTCATAAGTATTTATTATCTCTTTCTTCTCTTTATCTTCTTGTTGTATTTGTTGTTTTATCTGCTGTATCCTTTTCTCTGTTCTTTCTATTTTCTCCTCTACTTCATGGTTTTTTTATTCATTTTTCCTTGTCATTTACTGAGTGTTTTCTGGTCTCACAACTATCTCATCCTTTATCTCCCTGTGATTCCTTGGTATAGTTTCATCAATATTTTGAAACATCAATAATATTTCTCTTTGAACTACATTTATTGTTCCTGTTGCAACATTTTGTCTTATTTTAATGGATCCAAAAATTACTCAATAATCTATCACAATCCCAGAATCTCAGTTGTCTATAACACCAAAGAGTCAATATTAAAACAGTTTTCTCAATCCTAAAATTATTCCTCAGGAGGCACAATATTTATAGTTCTTTTTAGTCCTCAACCAATCAGTTTACGCCTTCTAAATTCCCCAGAAAGTCTTTTTCTTTTCTTTTTTTTTAATTTTTCTTTTATTTTTCTTCTTTCACCTCTTAAACAGTTATCTGATAACAGTTATGGTCCTAGATGATCCATCCAATTTCCCCATGTCTTTTTAGGCCACATAGTTCACTCTAAAAATTTCAATAATAATTTCTAGTATTTGTAATCCACTCTACTTAAAGATCTTCCAGAGCTTCACAATTTGTTCCCCATCAGCCATGAAGCAAATAAGTATAAAACAATATGCAGTAAGGCAGTCTTCCAGGTGTTGTTTGTCCCTGCCTTATCTATCCTCAAATTCCCAAGGTTATTCTCAGCTTTGTAGAAACATGTATATTCTTTCACCAGTAGATGGCACCTCTGGCTTAAATTTCAACATTACAAAAAATGTAACAGCTACTGCTGTTGCAATTTTCTTTAAACAAGTTTTCTTCAAACAGTTTTCCCAATATTCAACCAAATATTTCCAGCATTTTAGAATGCCTCTTCAAGGTATTACCAATAAGATATTCAAGCCCAGTCTTTCTATATTTTAAAAACTTTATATTCTCCCCTTAGGTTTCACTTTTTTCAGGTCTGTAGTTTTTCTTTATGTGATTGTTTGCCACTTTCACACTACTTTAGAGAGTCTTTCTTTTGGAATTTTCTTTCTTTGGGGTTAATCTCAAATCAAGAAGTTGAAAATCACCTCACCCAGTTCCAATCCACTGTCCACAAACCGCTCCAGCACATTTCTTCCTTCTGTTGTCCCAGCTTCATGGCAGCCACAATGGCCACCTCTCCTCTTCGTTGTTGGATGGGAGGGAGCCTCGGATCAAGCAGAAGAGCTGCTGCTGTCTGCAACCTGCAAGGCACCCCTCCTTTCTTTGTCATCCCTTCAGGGTGACTTTAGCCCCTTAGGGCCCTCCAAGGAGGAGGATTCAGCCTAGGTTTGTGGAGCCCTGCTACCTACAACTGTCCTGCAGCAATGCCAAACTGGAAGGCCATGAAGTACTTTTTTAAAAGAATAATATCTGAACAACATCATTCTTGAGACTTGAGGTTCGAGACTGCAAGTAAGTTTTAGGACTCAATATTGAATATGTATGCTCTAAGATATGGATGGTGTCTTTAAGGCCAGGTTTCCCTTTAAGAGTTGAACTTATAACACAAGGCAGGAGGCTGGAGAAGTAGATTCCAGGAAGACTGTAAAGAAACAGCTATAGAACATAAAATAAAATATTAATTGGCCTTACCGGTTGCTTCTGGAATCTCTGGTATTACAGTTAAAACCCTTATGAGTTCTTCTAAATTAACCTTGCCATAGCCTGCAAGGCAAAAAGATGGATTATGCTGAAATACAGAAAATAATCACTAAACAGTAATTTCAGGAATGCCACCTCATACTAAGAATGCTTACTGTCAACTTTGGCTACTTTCATCACTTCCTTCAATAATTCACTGGCCCTGAAAAGTTCCATAGTGTCTAGGCTGGTTTGAAGAGTCTGGAGATCGAAGTGGTCATCTTTGAATTTGCTCAAGGCCAAGCAGATGAGCTGCAGTTCTATAAAAACATCATTCCAAGGTCAACAAAACACAACATCATCATTATCTGCATGTCTAGGATATTTAAACCATGCTTTTGTTGGCTAGGGATGATGAAAGATGTAACTTCAACATATCTGGAACTAACTAAATTAGGAAAGGTTGGCTTATACTAAGAAATATATTATGAAAGAAACCATAAGGGAAAACATTATTCAAACAATTTCCCATTTTCAGTTCACCAAGCTGTTTCCAAATCTTCCTTCTGGGATGCTCAAATTCATGAAACTGAAATCTGTTAATGGCTATTATTAGTAGTATAATACTAATTTATACTATAATTAGTACTATAATACTAATAATAATATTATCTGTCTCTATGTATTGAAGTCAATATATATATATATTGAAGTCAATATATGGGGCAGATAAATGTAAGAATATTCAAATGTGAAAATTTCTAGATCTAGACAAAAGTTAATGGAAATCTAGAGCAGCGAATAATGTAACTTTAAACCAAAATTATGTTCTTCTTTGCTTGGTCCTCTGATGTTCTCTTTTTTTCCTACTGTCACAAAGCTTCTTTTCCCACTCAAGAATTTCTCATTACCTGTTTATCAAGCTGTCTCTTATACTTAATAATTAGTTGCAAAAAAATAGGATAGTTTGTACAGCTAACATTTAAAGAGTTTCAAATAGGTCTTCACTCACCTGGCCTAGTAACGAAAGTATCAGTATAGATCACATTCCTGATGAACTCTTTTAGATTTAATGTATTGTTATCTGAAAATGGAAGGGGAATGAAAAGAAGGCACAGAAAAATAAAAATAGCAGAATAATCTTTGTATGAATATAATAGAATATATTATAGAATATATAGAATAGAATATAACAGTACAGTATATAATATATCTGTACAGTACAGCACAGTACAGTATATAGTATATAGTACATCATACATAGTATATAGAATGTAATTTATGTATATAATATATAGAGTAGTACTATATATTTCTTGGCTGAGAAGTGAAACTCTTCAAGGAAAACCAAAGTTCAGTTGCCTTGGGGACAACCATGATATGAGTGACTGAGAATTTCCATCGACATATATCCCTAAAAGCCACAAGAAAAGTGATACACACCATCAACATTGCAAAAGGCCAGTGCCTCTGACATATCCTCTGTTGGCAAGATGATATTGAAGCTCTGCATAAGCATCTGCAACTCTGTGAATCCAATCCTTTCATTTTTCATTTTGGCCAGAATATTGAAACCATCTTCCAAAGCTAGAGGGGATGGTGGCATAAAAGGGAAAGTGATTGGACTGCAAATCAAACATAACGATGCTGGATATTCAGATTAGTTCATGTGATTGATTTACAACACATCTGAGAATTGGGGTGGTGGAATATGATTTGAAGTGGATAAGACTAGCTGCTTACATAGGGGCAGAGGGATTTACAATAAATCAGCAGTGTTATTCAAACTGATTAGGACTTCTTACATTCAGAATTTTTGAATGGCACAGGAACAACAGAAAAAAAATTCTAGGTACCCATTCTCTGTATTCTTTCTACTTCTGCCTCTCTCCCTCTCAGTCACACTTGAGCTTAGAAAATGGGAAGAAAAGTGATAGTTGTTAATCCATATAAATACCAACCAATTGGGCCAAACAGGAAGTGATGGCCTCCTAGACTCCTTTGCAGTACCTACAAGAATGTGAAAGAAAGACCACTCCACCATTCCATGGGGCCATTGGAAGTCATGTGATGCTAGCCCAGGAGGTTAGATTTAGAGCAGATCTGCACTTTATCCTGGACTCAGCATCAGAATAGGCCAGTCACCACTTCCTGAGTGCAAGGATGGATAATGTTGCCTTCCATCCAGAGCATTGCAAATGCACACTATGTGTTCGTTTTCCAGGTTAATAATGACTGTTTTGCAACCTGAGGATTCTTAAACCCTTCAGAACATAAGGCCTCCAATGCTTCAGTTTTTTCTAGATCCAACTTTCTATTCCATGAAAGTAACATTCACTTTTCTACCTATGGGAGAGTTTTCATGTGTATTTGTGTGTGTGTGTGTGTGTGTGTGTGTGTGTGTGTGTGTGTGTGCGCGCGCGCGCGCTTGCAGGTGCATGTGTGTATGTATACACATCCGTGTATGTATACACACATGCACAGATAAATATACCTGTGTACAAAAGAACATTTAATTGATATATACAAAGTTAGAGAAGGCACACATACATACATACATACATATGTAGGAACAAGAACCAGTTTTAAAATAAAACAAAAATTCTATTCTTGCTAGCTACTTTGCACTATAATTACTTCTACACTTTCATTATTAGTAAAATAACATACTACATAAGAGTTGTGCCTATTATGTGAAAGGAAAGCCTTTTCTCTCCAGATATTGTAAAAACAATGAAATGATGGGACTATGTACTTCTTCCTGTGTACTTTGTATTGTGTACACTGCACCAACATACCATGCAGTGTATATTGCACTGCACTTTGTATTGTACTAGTTTTTGAAAACCCCTAAGCTAGGAAGACCTAACTACCTAGCCAAAGGAAATAAATCAATAATTAAAACAGTCATGTACTTTTCTGCTAGGTTTTGAAGCAGAGAGCTCTTGCACAAGAGGCAACATACTTAGTCACTGTACTGTTTTTAATACTAATGATAAATAGGGACTCAGAACAGGCAATTCTGTCTTAATTGCATGGTGTTATTTCCTCTAGAAATAGCAACGAACTGTTAGGGTAAACCTTTGAGGAAATAAAGTGCACCAACAAAAATGAAGGGCAACCCTTCAGGAAAAGGATGTTTTCAAACCACAAAGATAAAATCTGCTGGTGTTTAGATTTCCAGTCAGAAAGAAGTTAAGTAACACTGTCAGTAGCACTTTCTGACCTCAAAAAAAAAAAAAAAAAAAAAAAAAAAGCTATTACTTTCTTTAAAAAAAAAAAAAAAAAAAAAAAAAAAGGGTCACTATGACATTCTAGCAACAGAGCAACTAGTCAGGGTCTATCCTCCGATCCTGTTTCTGGGGCTTCTATATGCTAGTGTTGCTCTTGCTATTAAATGCTCTGACCCTCCATCCCAGGTCAGTCAAATACCAGTGCTCATTGTTTGTGGAGATCATCTGGCAATCTAGAATAAAATAAAGCTGAAATGCCACTGTTTTTATTGAAGATTTGATGGATGACTAATAGCTTGACTAATAGAAATATATTTGCCTTCAGTTTGTAATGGTAGCACACTTGTGAAAATAGACATTATTACATGGAACTCATAAATTCCAAGGGATCTCTTTCTCAAAGCAATATCCTTCCTATCACTCATGGAAATGGAGGATTTATAACAGTAAAAATGTAAACTTTATAAAATAAACAATTAGTTCTGTGCTGTTTCTCAGAGCACCTGTAAGGGACCTCCTGATCATACCTGCAGAAGTTTTAAGTTGTGGGTTCTTTGTCAGTATCCTCAAGAAGTTATTGAATTTTGCCTGTCCAGCTTCTGCAAGTTGCATTGGGAAAGAGGGATAAGCAATTATTACAAATTGTGAAATTCTTCCCTCCAATGCTTTGTAATTTGTTACCAAAAATAAGAACATAAATTGAAATCAGATTGATCAAGGTCAAAACAAAATCCAACCTGAACAACTTTCAAAGATGCTCAAAAGAGAGTTTGTTATTTAATATCCCCCTTTCCATGAATAGCTCTTCCTTTATTCTACTGATTTCTCTTAAATCTTTTCTCTTGAAATGCCATGCCAAAATATGCCTTCCAATTTTCTAAAAAGTGTGGTTTCTCTGCCTAATACCATTCTGGCATTCCCATAATATGCTAATTCTCTTTCCCATTAACCCAATTAAGCATATTGTTAGAAGAAGGCTGGCATATTTATAACCTATTCTCAAACCATTAGGGATGAATTGAGATTTTCAGACAGTGTACTTTGACCAGAAAAAAAATCCAAAGTTTTGGAACAAAATTGTTGCTAACAATTTCTACAAGACTTTGAATGGTCAAAGCAAATTGGTGGTAGATAATAGAAATTCAAGGTGGGCTGGACTTAGATCTCTTGTGGACACAAAAGGACTTAAGACTGATGATGCACTTGACCCCTCCCTTGGGCTCAGTCTGTTAAATTAAAATGTTAGGACAGCTACATCTCTTCTTGCGGCTTGGCCACCTACCTGGTATGTTTGCTGACCTTAGTGCTTGGCCAATCACCTGGTTAGCCGTGGGCAGGTCTATAGTTCTGAGGGTTCCCATTTCATGTTTCAGTCGTTCTACTTGGTGTTCCTTAATCAACTTGAGAGCTAGGATGCAGTCAAGCACAGCTAGAAAGGCAAGGATCAGCAATGTTATTTATATATATGCAGAAGAACAAGATTCTCATTTCGAATGAGCATTGCAGCCCACAGGTTTTGATAAACCTATAGGAAGTTATGGATAATTCTGTTGGTTGAGTGGAAGGGATTGCTACTTCTCAAAGACTGAAGTAACTTCAGGGGACTATTCCAGGGCTGCTTTCTGGCAGTGGGCTGCTTTCTGGCACTCCCCCCACTTCTCCCCCCCTCTCCCGGCCTAGCAACTGGTGCTATTAAGTCCCTTCCTAATGATGCCTGGAAGCTGTGAGAGTCTGGATGGAGGAAGAAGAGTCTTGGTTCAATCTTGGCAAGACCATATGTTTTAAAGACTCTGGTTCTAGAGATTTTCCAACTAACTCTGTAGGGGTATGCTCCCCCAATCAGAGTTGGTGAACAGTTTGGGTGTCTTTCTGCATGAAGGGTCCCCATGTCCAGGGGAGCTTTTGCAGATGTTTTGTGTGGCAGTTGTGCACAATAGGGAGGTCTTATTCAGAGTCACTCAAACCTTAAGAACTTCTCTTATGGATTACTATAATGCACTCTATATGAAGACGCCCTTGAAGAACATTCAAAAACTGTGGCTGGTCCTGAATGCAGCTATTTTGGCATTTCCCATTATACCCATGTAAAATCACCACTCTGCAAGCTGCGTTGGCTCCCAGTAAGCTTCCACATGGTTATCACCTAGTTATCACCTTGTCAGGTTAGTTGAGTGTTGCGATTCATGATATACCAGGCTACTTGTAGGACAGGAGCACCTTTTCCCCATTGTTTCTGCTTGCCCCACTACATCTAGCAAAGGCATACTTCAGGTTCTTTCTATCAATGTTTCTTGATAGACCCTAGAGTCTTGTCTTCTTGGTGGCCACACCTATCCTATGGAATATCATCCCCCTAGAGACTTGGATGGTCCGAAGCCTTTTACATTTTTCTAAGGCATTGAAAAACTAGTTGTTTTCATAGGCATTTGGATCAGGTTAGTTGAGTGTTGCAATTGTTGATGTTTTTTTTTTCCTCCCTGTGAGTGGGATTATTGTATTATGTCATTGGATGTCTGGGGTTATATAGTGTAAGAGTTTGTTTTTTAAATCCATGTATGCAGCGATGGGATTCAAATAATTTAACAACTGGTTCTCTGCCCTAATGACCGGTTGAGTGGGTGTGGCCATGGTGGGCATGGCCAGGGGGTATGAGAGGCAACTCTTGGCTTCCTGCACCCCCCTGGGAGCAAAAAATGAGTCGTGGGGGGGCACCACCCTCCTGCACCCCATTTTGGGACTAGTAGGCCTCCCTGCAGACTCCTGGGAGCAAAAATGGGCCACGGGGTGACTTCTGGAAGGGACGGGAACGGGATGGGTGGGGCCAGCCAGCAATTTAACAACCAGTTCTGCCAAAGTAGTGCAAACCGGTTGAATCCCACCACTGCTTGTATGCCACCTAGAATCCCTTGTGCAAGATGTATGACTATATAAATAAAAAAGGACTGATTGAAGTACATATTATCAGCTGATGTGGAAAAGTTGCATATAAATCCCACAGAAAAGAGCTCATACAACATAACACATAACATAACACATTCCTAAAATTTTACCAGTATAATTTTTTAACCGTCTAGTTTCCTTCATAGCTGATATCAGTTCTTTAACATCCACGGTCTCACCAGCCACTAAAAGAAAAGAAAGGAAACCATTAAATGTTATCAGACCAACCAAATGCTCTATTAATATTGTTGCAGCATAATGAATCATAGATAATAACATCACACATAAAATGGCAGATTGTCTGCCATATGTGTTACAGTCAGGAAATCAGCTCAGAAATACAAGAAAGACAGAAGTTTAAAAATATACAATATGTGTTTTATTTTCACCAGAAATAGTTTAATAAAAGGTTAGATGATAACCCATATTCTTTGGCCAGGAATTTCTAAGAAAGTGTAACTGATCAAAGGTGAAACTAGGAAGTTACAATCTGCCCCCTCCCCGCCCAAAACAGGGCGAGCCCTACAGTGCAGGTGTGATGACAATGGAAAACCTCAAACTTACTTGCTTACTTCCATTTCTATGCCATCAGTTCTTCAATATTCAAGTTTCAACAGCACCAAATGGTCACATGAACGGCAGAACTGTCTTTGTCTCTGTCTCGCTGTCTCTCTGTGTATGTGTATGTGTATGTGTATGTGTATGTGTATGTGTATGTGTATGTGTAACGAGTCTGGCAGATCAAGAAAATATTTGTAAGCCATTAGTTCCTTAATGAGGCGACTTGGAATTCCAGTATTAAAGAAAGGCCCAAATATACATGAAATCCACCATGCCTATGCAAAATTGATCAAATCAGTTGATCCATAATTATTTTTCCATGTATTTCAACAGCAACTTTTGAAAGGACTATTTCAACTCCAGTTTCCCTAGTAGATTCCTGCCACACTCGTTCTTCTGAATAAGATGTCCACCAGATATTCCCAAAAACAGAGCAGGAGCAAAATTCTCACCAGAATCTGAAGAAGTCTCAGTGGCCTGCATTAATTCTGACTTGGTTAAATGAATTCCAATATTATTGAAGGAGTTCTCCACTTCAGAAACATTCAGCTCTGTTTCCTTGAACTGGTTAATAATCTCAATGGTATAATTCAGAACTATGAAGAGGGCAGAGGGAGAAATAAGATTAGATTTAAAAATATTTGCTTTTCTATCACTGGCTTACTATGTTTTTCCTATGACATTGTCTCCTATCACTGTATGTATTTTACACCCACTAAAATTTAAACCCAACAATTCATATTTCACACTATGAAAAGCTGAATTTATAACTGTAGTGAGACAAAGAGATAATCTTGGAAGAACTATACAGCAACAGGTTTTTAGCTTGGGAAATAGGAAAAATATTAAAAAGACTCTTAGACAGGCTCCTCCTTAATTCCTCTAGTTGTAAGAGGGAGGTAAGAAAAAAAAATATTTAGGCTTCCAAAATTCTGTTACAATGATCTATATCAATAAAATAGAGTTTCAGTGATTTTTGAAGAGGCTGTTTTCTGACCTGGCCTATCTCAAAGGGCTGACAATCATAATTGGGATTTATGCAGCCACCAAACATGTTACATGTACATGACTTAAGATATTATTTGATTGAAAATTATTTTCATAATCTGTTTTAGTTTACTTGTGCCTAACACATCTCATTAAATCTTTCCTGGTTTATTTATGCTTATAACAATTAATTAAGATTCAACAGTCAAGAATCCCACTTCCAATTTTGGTATTAATCTTGCCCTCTCTTGGACATATTTCAAAGAAATCTATGCTTTAGATTCAAAAGCAAAATCTATTTTCAGACTCCATGCTGATAATAATCATGGAGTGCAAGTTCTGCAAAAGCTTCACCCAGATCAGTGACCGTCCGGCCTTAGTCATCTTAAATTTTCAAGACGATAGAGGCACAGTTTGGAAGAAGATATGACATTTTCAGCAACTTCCAGAGAAGCAGTGGTCTTCATATTCACTCAAACTTTCAGAAAAAAGATCATGCAAGATGACTTTGTCAATAAACTCAGATGCTAAGACTGACCACTAAAATGTGACAGCATCCCACCACATCACTTGACTTGTGTTCCTCATTAGTGTGACTCAAAAGTCTGCAGAGTAGTTTGTATTGTCAGAAATATATTTTGTGCCATCATGTCAATGTAACTGACAATGTAACATGTTGCTATATCTTTTCCAGGAAGATCTGTCCCAGCTTGGTCCTTTTTGTTCTGCACAGATGCTCCTTATCACCGCTGTAGTAGATTTCATCCATCTTACTAGTGGTCATTCTCTTCTTTTTCCTTCCACCTTTCCCAGTATTATAGTCTTCTTAAGAGAATTGGTAAAATAAGAAACGATTGTCCTTTAGGAAAACCGTGAAAATCTTTCTTTTCCCCAGATGTTGATGAAGCTGGCATAGAGTGATTGGTAGGAATAATAATAATAATAATAATAATAATAATAATAATAATAATAACCACCTCAACAAAATTCATTGTTTTAAGTGGTCTCTTTAGTATATTGTGTTTCTATTTTTTCACTATTCAATGTTCCCCTTCTGGGAAACTATATATGTAATAAATAAAAAAGGTGGATTAGAGTAGTGGTATGGCCACTCAATACCATTTTTTCCTTTGCTATTTCTACTGTTTCAACTCACTCACCTTCAATGTCTGAAAAGCGTTGTAGTTTGAAAATCTTCTCTATGACTTGCCCAGTGTCAACTTTTCCTTCTCCTGCAAAATGAATACAGTTAATCAGCAGCTGCATAAAAAAAAAATTATAAAATAAAAAATGATGGGAGAATAATGAAATTCCCACAGTAGTGGAGTGGATTGTAAAAATGTCAGAACTGGCAGAACTGGCAAAACTGGCAAAACTGACCAACAAAAACTGTTTGGAAAGACTGAAAACTTTATACTGACCTTTTCCTGAAAGAAGAAAGAATGAATTGATATTTATGGATTTGAAAACTAAAAGATATGTGGATTAAACAAGACTAAAGGGATTTCTAAAATATTTAAGAGGGGAGAGGACAATAAGAATGTAATTATCAATTTGAAAGAAGGTTGGAAGTCATATATTTCTTATTTCTTGCACTTTTCTGTTTTTCCTTTTTCTCCCTTTTTGGTTTGTCTTTTATGTCTGTTATGGAAATTCATACAATTATAAATAAACAGGTATTTTCCTTTATATAGCTGGTTCATAGAAGAATATCTTGTCTGTTTGAGATCAATATCCAGTGGCATCCACAAGTGAGAGTCAAGGTGGGTTAATGTCAGGCACAAAACACTAGGTCCACATATGGAAATTCAATTAAAATAATTTTTTTGCTGAAAGCCTATGCAAATGAATCTTCTCAACTAATGATTGGTAATTGCTTAGAGTTAGATAAGGGCCAAGGACTCTCAAGATGAATTGGACTTAGTTCTCTTGTGACTACATAGGAACTCTAGGTTCATTTTCCCGCTTTCACGGTCCCCAAGTTCTGCCATTCCTTTTCCTACAGTTAAGTAACATGGCATTGTAATGTGAGCCTTGCCTCTTTTCTATACAGATTACAATGCCACATGCCCCCCAAGGAAATGCTTTTTTGCTACATTATTTTTAAATTTTATTTTTCACATTTCTATCCCTCCACAATCCAAAGACTCTTACCAGCATAGAGGAAGTATATAGCAAAAGCAGCAGATACCTTTGGACCACAGATTCTAGCCTACAGCCTTCAGATTTTCTGGTGATCTGCCATTCTGGTATTAACTAAGTCCAAACATCTAAAACCTTTCTATAATGAGTCAGAAAGAGTCAACAATGCTGGAATGTTAAAAAAAAATCCAGAAGACAATGGCGAACACTTTCTGTATGTTTACAGAAAACTATATGTATGTATCCATAAAATCACCAAGAGATACTCGGGTTACAAAAATCTTTACCTTTAGAGAGATGCTTTCTGAAGAGATCGCTTTCTTTTTCCTGGCAGCACTAAGAATATGAGAAGAGTGCTTCCAGCAGTACTTACTGTCAGCTGGAATCATCTGAATTAGATCCTCGTATTCCTGTGGGTATAAATGAATGCCCATCTTCTGAAGGGTGGTTTTGAGGTCCTTCAGAGAAACTTTGTTCTCTTTAATATTGTTGACTGCTTGAATGGTATCTTTCATCACTGAGGGGTAAAACAAAATTACATTTTATTTTAGGGAGTTATCAGTAAGTATCTCTACAGTATTCTTTTGGATGAAACACTACAAACTGAATTCTGGACTTAATCATGATTCAGGACCCTCCATATAATGAGTTAGAATACTTATATAATTCACCACATCCTGATTTGCATGCAGAGCAAATTGGTTTAGAATAAGGGAACCAATAGTACTGCATTTATTAGAACGGAAGTGGACTCTTTTCACTTAAGGCTTAAATGATCAAGTTCAAATTATCCCACTTTGGACACAGTATGTGAAGACCTAGCTCTCTGGAGGACTCTAATGCTGGGAAAGATGGAAGGAAAGAGAACAAGAGGACAACCAGCAGCAGATGGATTGAGTCAGTTATAGTAATGATAAATGTTCCTTTGGAAGAACAGATTAGGATTCATCATGGGGAAAATCAATCTATATGGTCACTAAGATTCAAGATTCAAGATAAGACAGGTTATCAGGAAAAAAATTAGGGCTTATCTTCAGATATTAACCAAGACCAGTGTGGTGATTTTTCAAGGGCAGGAAAGTCTGGTGTTAGACTTTTACTTGTTTCATTCTCCCCATCATCTCCTATTTTCCTTCTTCACATTGAAAATAGTGTTTTTCAATTTGTGTTGAACAGGTGGGGTTGTCTGATTTGCCTACTGCACTTCATTTCATCATAGACAAACACATCTACTCTAGCTACTGGTAGCTATGATGCACTATATGCCAACAACATTAATTCCTACTGATCATTGTCATCCATTCTGTCCTGAGCTGCCAAACTAACTGTTTGGTTCTGAAGGAACCTTGATTGCTTTTTTGCTATTTCTGAATTCCATTTTAATGGAATTCAGCAGATTTTTTAAAAAAAACACATTTTTTTTAAATTGAGCTTTTGGTTTTTTTCCCTTTTCACAAGTTCAATGATGGAAGCAGAAGTGGTACTTTAAAAAAAAAAAAACCCTATGTGAAATTGACCAGAATTTTGCCAATTTCATTTTCCATCCAAAATAATAGGAAGAATGATAACAATTGGGATTTTCTTTCCTTTTTTAAGATTCCAGACCATTGACAGATGTACTACTACTACAAGTTCAGTCTGGGTTTTCTATATTTTTAAGCTTCATAGTCTTCCAATAAAAATTTGTTTCACTTTTGGCTCAATCTTTTTCCATGTGTTAATTCTTGGCTTTCTTAGCATTTTGGAGAGTCTTTTGTTGTTTGGGTTTTTTTAGAAAAATTCTTTTGTTTGGGTTTAGATCTCTAGTATAGAAGTTGAAAGTTGTTTCACCCAGTTTCAATCCTCTATCCATGAACCTCTCCAGCTCATAATCTTCTTGTGCCAGTTGTCACAGCTTCGGTCTTGCCAAAATGGCCATCGTCTCTGCTGCCAATCAAGAGCGTTTCTTTGGAAATTGCTTTTCCTCACAATCTAGGAAGCATCCATCCTTTCTTCACCACCCCTCCAGGGTGGCTTTGATCCCGTAGGGTCTCCTGGTGGTGTACTATGGAGCACTGCTAACCCATATCTGTCCTGCTCTGATGCCAACCGGTGAATTCCAGTTAATGAATCTTTCCATGCACTGACACACTCCTTTCCCCCCAAAAAATTCTCCTCTTTTCAAGATAATTTGCATTCCTAACACATAAATCTTACAATTGCATCTTGTCTATTACTCTCCATGCATATGTATTAGAATAACTGATAATTAAGATCCCTCAAAAGAAAAACTGGGAGATATTGCAGGAAGGCAATATCAATATCCACTCTTTTTGGCTTCTAACTTCTTAATCACTGATTCTCATCCCTGCCTCACTAGGAACTTCTTGCATTTTGTAGTTTAATTAATGGCCTGCCTGCCATTCATTAAAAAGGAAAAAAAAAGAAAGATATATTTCTGACAACTCCCTTATCTTAGGTCAATCATTGGTCAGTTTGTACATCATTATATTTTTCCAGTGGAAAAACTTTTTCCCTGAGATGTCCAGCTGCAACAGAAAATTATATGTATATATATATGTATATGTAAAAAGTAGATATTAAAAAATTTGAGAAGGCTAAAATATATTATGTCCTCCATGAGAGAGTAGCAATAACCCTTTTAACCCAGCAAATCCATAACTTCAGGAAGATTGGAGGTAGTTGTTGGTCTGACAAGAGTTGGCTTCAGAAGACTTTTTATTTGAGAAGTCAACATTGCTAGTAAAATGTCTTAGGCCAATGAATCGAGAGAATTGTAAGATTGATGACTTTCTGGCTGTCATTAATTACACTTGTGTACTTTTCAACAAACTTAGATGCAAAGGACATCAACAACTAGATATGGAATTGGCACACAGACATCCAATGAGAAAGCAAACAATACTGTATAACTAAAGAAATCTCTTTATATAGTTTATTTATATTATGTATTACTGAGATATATCTTTCACATATCTAAATATTAAAGGATTCAGTACAAATACAGAAGTGATATTCCTTAAATGAATGAGTAATATTTTCAGCTACTGTATTGGCATCAACTCCAGTTTGGAGCAGTTAATAGAATATCCTGCTATTTTGCTAAATAACATTTATATCAATACTGGAATAGTACTGTGAGGTTTAGAAATAAATAGAAGAATATCAAAAACTATTACCTGCAAATAGAACCAGTTAATGTTTAACTAAATTATATACTACTCTTTAAATCTCTCCATGTTGTCTAATAATACAAGCCAGGGGTTAAAAGCAAGACTGAAGTAGACATCCTTGTTCAATTCTGCTAAATAATGAGGAAATAACAGAAAATATGCCACTCACCATTAGTTTAGATGTGAGAAACTCATAACATTTTGATCTGTTTTATGAATTTCAAACAAAATCCAAACATATTTAATACAGCAAACATTTACTGCCTATATTTTTTTTCAAAGGGTTTTTCAGTGTCTAACAACAAGGTTACAAATTGGTCTTCATTTTTATACAAGGGTATTACATCTACAACTAACTTATTTTCTGTTGCTTGCCTAGTTTTTACAAACCCTGCTTGATCATTTTAAATAACAGTAGCACTTGCTGTACACATTTTCTAGCAGTTTTCCTAAGAGCTTTGTATCAACATTAATCAGTCAAATTGGATCATAATTAGCACATTGGATATGATCTTTATCTGATTTTGGTATAACTGTATCATAAGCTTGATTAAATGCCTGTGGGTATATTCCCTGATTACGGTAAGTATCATCATACAATTATAGGGCGTATATACAATGTAAGCTCCATACAGTGCAAGAAATTTATTAAAATGATTGTGTAGGAAGGCTGAAGGTCTCAGCTACATCTCCATCCCTCTCTTTCTCAAAGAACAGTCTAACTTACCTGTCAGTTCTTTAAATTGGGGACTGCGGGTAAGAATTTCAATGAAGTCTTTCACAATTATTTTTCCATTACCTGCAAGCCAAAAGTAAGATAGATGATAGACTGATAGGCAGGTAGACAGATGATAGCTCCATAAATAGATAGGGCATACTTTTGAAAATAAAGGGCAAGGAGAAGGGAAGCCAATGGAAGAAATATAGCTTTTATAGCTGAGGTTTCTGATATTTAATTTAGGAGAAAAGACTTTTCTTAGACCCTAATGGAACAGGGTACTTTGCCAATGTAGTAGATTGTCAATGCAGTAATAAACCAGACAAATAAAAAAAGCCAATGAATGTTTCTTTGTGGCATTTTTCAATGTCCACAGATTTTAGAAGGGCACTTAATCTTAAGTATTCTTAGCTAGGCTTTGTTGTCTTTTATTATATATGAAACAGTGGAGTAGGAGTAGGAGTAGGAGTGAAGAGGAGAACAGGAACTGATTTAGTATTTTTACCATGGCAGTTGATTCTTGGAAATAGAAGTAGAAGAAGTAGAAATAGAAATAGAAAAACTGATATTGAGCACACAAAGTTGTGAAAAAGTTGGTAGTGCAAGGAAACCATAAATTCACTGGGTTTGGTTTCACCTATAAAAAGGACTACCCTTCAGGAAGGAAGAGGTTCTCAACACATGTGAATTTTTGAAGTATTTATCCCCAAAATTAATAATAGTATGGGAAAAATACCAGGCCCTCCCTCTAAATTTTTAACAACGTAATAGAAAAGCCTTAATCATTAATATTAGAATGGATTGAGGGCTACTTGCTGGGATGCCAACATTTGGGATTATTGAAGCACTATGCCATTGTCATCTCAGAAGCTTGTGTAGAACAATTCAATAGTTCTTTGTTACAGATAGACTTTTTTAATGACTGTTCTGTTTAGTGTCTGTTCAAAGTTTACAATAGTACTGAAAAGGTAACTTTATGACCAGTCCTTGCACTGACAACTGTCACAGCGTCCCCGTAGTCATATAATTAAAATTTGAACATTTTGCAACCATGGGATATTTAAGACCATTGCAGTGTCCCACAGTCATGTGATTGCCATTTGTGCACTTCATAGCTGGTTTCCAACAAGCAAAAACAATGGAGAAGCCAGCAATAAAATCACACATGCGGTCTCACCTAATGAGCATGGCAGAAGTGAGCCCATTGCAATCATATGATGTCATACTTAATGTTCTTAGTGATGAAGCTGCCAGCCCCCAACTATGGTAGTTAAGAGAGGACTATCCATACAACCTCTGCTAGGTATTCTAGCGATATGGATGAAAAATAATTTATTTGGTACTGACCGTCAATAGCAACCTGTTTTAGGGTTTCTTCTAATTCATTTTCATGTAGCTGGATACCCATATTCCTAATAAAGGAAGGAAGATCATGCAGAACCATCTTGTCTTCTTCTATCTTGTCGATGGCTTGAATGGTGTGTTTCAAAACTGCAAAATTTCAAACATGTCCACCTCTTGTCACTAAATGCTATCTATGCTGCCACCAAAGATGCAGAATGAAAATTGAAGATGACATAAACAATTGATAAAAATCTTTCAGTTTTGCTGGCTAAGAATCAGAGGAGCAATTTTTTTTGGTGAAGTGAGCCATTCTGCAGTTTATGTTGTCCCAGATCCATCAAATTGTACAATTCAGTTGCCACATTTTGTCTTAGCTGAAATGTGAGTTTCCAGCCCTTTCTCATCCTGAGAAAATATTTTTTTCCCTTCCCTCAAGGAGGCGCCTTTGTAGAAATTTCACTCTGATAGTGGCACCCTACAGTGGAGGTGGATGATAGGTTAAGAGAAAAGACCCCACGACTGTGTTGTCTGTTCCCGAGGTTTTTAGTCTTTATTTAATTCTTACTAATTTAACTGATTTATATTTATCTGTTTTCATTTTGTAAACTACCCAGACGTGTTTTAACTGTGAGGTGGGTGACATATAAATTTAATAAATAAATACATTTCTACAATTCCTTTTTTCTTGTTTTTGGCAGCTGCTACTATCTCCTACCCTCATGCCTGCTTTGGAATGAGGGTACAAAGAAATAACTTTAAAAATTAATCTTATAAAAAAATCAGCATGAGAGAGGAAGAGAGGGAGTGGCTGTTACTAATGACAATCGCCATTGGGAAATTGTTGGAAAATCTCCCAGCAGAAATGTGGGTTAAAAACATTGTGTCTAACAATTTGTGGAATTTTAAGAGGCACGAAGCTCTAGTGCTTTTGATAAGTGAGACATTTTGTATTATCTTGATCTAAAAATATTTTTTTGCCTGGAAATTCTTTTCTTTTCTCATGTTAGAATTCTAACGTGATGGGGAGTTCGAACTCTTGGAACTGAAACATATAACTCTTCTAATTTTTTAGATCAAGAGCATTTAAATTATCTGATGACACATCAGTGTGGTTGATTGAAAAGATTAAGAGGTTGCAACTGCTAACTCACTGCCCCTTATTTTTACGGGTGTCACATGGAGCAGGGGTCACCAACCTTTCGGACCTCAGAGACCACTAAATTCATAATTTTAAATTCTGTGGGCCACTAATATGATCTGCCTAATGACCCGCTGGGTGGGCGTGGCTAGATGGTCATGTGACTGGGTGGGTATGGCCAACTCAATGTCACTAATGTCAAGGGGCATCTTGCCAGCCTCTACTCGCCCCTCCCCTCCCACCCACTCCTCATGTGTGTACCCGGGCTCCTTAGGACCCCAACAGGAAGCAGTTGTTGGAGCTAAGCAGACACCATTAGAAAGAGTTGGCAAAACAGCTGGCTCAGTTCAAATTGGATCTGACCAAGAAGGAGGCTCAGCAGAAGCACCTCATTGAAGCAAGCAGAGGGAAGACCTGTGGGAGTGCAAGGCCAGGTACTGGCACCTGGAGGCTCAGTGGGCTGAGATGGTCAGCCAGTTCCAGGCATGATGTAGTCCCACTGGAACAAGGCCCTCCAGCTCTTTGCCAGCAGTGGTACTTCCCTCCAGCCTTTGCCCAAAGGCCCGCACCAGGAGGCTGAAGCAGACCCCAAACTGGAATTTCTCCTCCTCTCCATCCTGCACAAAAAGACCCTGAAGGGGGAGACTCTCTGCAGCAAAACAAACGTTCATTGCACGTATTCGGCCCAAGGGCCGTAGTTTGAGGACCCCTGATTTAGTGCAATATAAAAAAATGCAAATAATTTTTCTGTAGACCACCAAAATTTTCTCGTGGTCCACTAGTGGTCCATGAACCACCAGTTGGTGACCGCTAACACGGAGTACTTAAAAAGAGGCAAGGTTTCAATCACATGGTTATAGCCACTATTCTGATTTTGTGACCCTGCCTTGTGGATGCACCAGAGCGGGATAAAACTCTACCTGGCCTGGTTTTAGGTTAAAGCTAGTGCAAAAATTGAGACTGAGGTGAAAATCTACCATATCCCTTCCCAGACTTGAAAACAGTGTTTTGTTTACTCACTTGCAAATTCACTCAAGAAATACATTTTCTCCATTATGGATATGAAGCTGTTGAAATTCACTGTCCCGTCTTCTGCAATGGCAATTTGCAACATGTTACTGGGATTTATACATAATACAATTGATGCTTAGAGGAGGTTGAAACAAATGTGGGTCTTCAAGTGATTACTAGATTCTAAATTGTATCAATCTAAGCCAATATGAAAACAAGTCATAAACTTTGGAAACTGCAGTCCAATGTTATTTGGAGACATACAATTTCCTAACTCTATATTGGTCAAGGGCATTTATAGCCACATGCAAAAGTTTAGCCCCACCCTTTATTTAGAAATACAGCCTTTTTTTTTTTTTTTTACAAATTCACACAAAATCCATGATTATATAAGGCTTCTGCTGGTACTCTTGGGCTAGATCAGAATAAAAGATAGATTGAAGCGCAATCATAAACCTGGTCCATTACCCACTAGCTAAGATGTAACCCCAAAAGAACCGAAGAGACTCACTTGCCACATCTACATTCTGTAGCATTTTCTGGAATTCTGCGTCACTTATGGTGATTCCCAGTTTGTTCAGGGCGGAGTACAGATCATGACTTTTGATGCTATCTTCCATAAGCATTTGGATGTCATCAAAGATATTCTGTAGGGCTGAAAAAACATGCCAGTTTGGGGCAAAATACATGTTACATAGAGATGTGTGTTGAAACAATCTGAAATTTCTGATGTATCATATTAACTCTCTTATACTGGTACTTTCTGTATCTGTAATTGGAAGTTGAACCTTAGAGAGAAATAAAGGAACAGAGGGTGCATGATTTGGGTGGATGATGCAGGCAACTAACCAACAAGACAATGCTGATGTCAGCTACTTTAGTAAAACAGATGGAAAAAACTTAAAAGACATGGATTATTCTTACACTCATTTCAGCAGAAAGCACTCAGAAACAGATTTAACTGCAATTGCCCAGGCTGACTAGGATGTATGGAACCTCATTGTTGCTAACTATTCTTATTCTTGCTTCTTATATAACAACAAAAGCCTAGTGCATAGAAAAGAAGCAGATTAAACATTCCTCTTCAATTGATTTCATCTAATACAGGGGTGTCAAATGTGCAGCCTGCAGGCCGGATGTGCCACACGCTAGCCATGCCCACCCCCATTTTAGCGAAGGGGGGGAAAGTCGCGGTATGTCACCTGATGACAATGTGATGACGCGAGTTTGACACCCCTGATCTACTAGGTTTTGCTCTTAAATTATTATTTAAAAACAAGAGAACAAGTGAAAAAAGTGGGAATCCACAGCTGGTAGCCTGCAAATTACACACATACCAACTTCTTTCAGGCTGCCGCAATCAATATTTCATGAGCCATTAGGATGACAAGGTAAAAATTCATCTGGTCTCATTTTTTTCAGTAGCAGCTGACTTTTATGTAACCTACTAAATTTAGGTCAGCAAAGGAACATAAGCAGCAGGGATTCATTGGAAACAATGACCATCATGCATTAAATTAAAAAAAATCAGACATTGGTGGCTGTAGAGCTTACATTTGAATATGTTTTACTCCGCTGATTCTGAATATGGCCAACTTTTTTTTCTCTGATGGAAAAAAATCCTTCAATATATATAAAGGATGGCATTTTCCAGCCTTGGCAATCTTAAAATATGCAGACTTCATGCTAGCTGGGGAATTCTGGGAATTGAAATCCATACATCTTAAGGTTGCCAAGGGTGAAAAACACTGTTTTTTTTTTTTTAAAAAAATAACCAACTAAGCAAGATGCTATAAACAAGCTAGATTTGTTGTTTGGCATGATAGCTGAGCCAGTATCAAATCCGGATGTTAGACATCTTTTTGTTCTCTGGCTCATGGTTTGAAAGTAGAAAGTTACAACTTAGAAAGGCCTCCTTCCTTCTGCTTTGACAAACTTTCCAATATGTGAGCAAACAAAACGTATCTGACATGAAAGAAAAACCCTCATTCCTAAATGCATGTTTGGCTTCTGGTTCATCCCACTAGGGAGCTGGTTTCACTGTTGCTTTCTTAGTTTTTCTCTTAAGCGTCATAAAAGCTGGTCATTTATCCCAAGCCTATCAAGAGTGCCAATCCTGTTGGGATATGAAGAACCTAGCAAAGTACTGTGGACAAGTTTGCACTTTCTATGTGAGATAAGCAGCATTCCACACAACAGATGCCCACTTTGCTGTCATCATAGTGACTGCTTACCATCAGAATGCTTGGTCATGTCCTACTCACTGTCTTTAAAAGGCAGTGAGGCTGATGATAAAGGATCGTGTGGCTCCAGTTCAATCCCTTCACAGGAAAGAAATCAAACAAAAAGTCTGCAGAATTGCTATCTGAAGAGCTTTCCCATCTGGGCTTTCTTAAATGACTCACTAGAAATCTGAGAAAGTACAAATAATCCTCAATTTACAACCATTAGTTTAGTGACCATTTGAAGTTACAACAGCACTGAAAAAAGTGACTCATGATCATTTTTCACACTTACGACCATTGCAGCATTCCCACGGTCACTTGATCAAAATTTGGAAGCTTCATATTTATGACAGTTGCAGTGTCCCAGGGTCATGCAATCACCTTTTGCGAACTTCTGACAAGCAAAGTCAATGGGGAAGCCAGATTCACTTAACCATCATATTATTAACTTAAGAACTGCAGTGATTCACTTAATAACTGTGGCAAGAAAGATTGTAAAGTGGGGAAAAACTCACTCAACAACTGACTCATTTAGCAACAGAAATCTTGGGCTCAACTGTGGTTGTAAATTGAGGACTACCTGTATCAGAGGCCAATTAACAAGACAAGAATATAGCATAGTATGAAATCAGTTAGCTAGGAGGCGGCAGATAAATTTTGTTAAAAATTGTTTGGAACTTTAAAAGGGTTTTGCTCATGCTTTCATGGGTGGTTGTAAGGAAACTTTTGCCAATGTGATACTCTCAGATTTGTTTTGGGTTACATGACTGGAAATGTTGGATGCTGCAGTCCCAAAATATCTAAAAGGTGCAAGTTGAGGAAGATTGCTTTAGAGGCATCTACTTTATTGGTCTTCATGATGGATAGATCATGTAGAATGTAGCCATGATAGATAATCAAAAACATACACTAGTTTGCACATTCTGACTGAGTTGGCTCAGCCTTCCATTCTTCTGAGGTGGGTAAAATGAGGACCCAGATTGTTGGGGGCAATATGCTGACTCTAAACCATTTATAGAGGGCAAAATCCTGGTAGATAATTCTAGCCCTACAATCTTAAATAGGTCTCCATAAAAGCCTCTAACTTCAGCTGGTCCTGATGTTATCTAAAATGCATTAGACTCACCTTTCCTCTCCCTGCGAAATCCCTAGTAATCAAGCAGAGGAGACACTACATCAGATATTAGCTGTTCTTGGAGGTGGTTCTGTGGCATTCATTAGAAGACAAATATCTGACTTATATCTGACTTATTCATTTCAACGATCCAAAACATGGAAGCTCAAGTGTATATTACATTAAATGCACAACATTTCAAAACCCACCTTCCTGAAATGATAGATCTTCTGAAAGTTCTGTATCTTCACTTTCAGCTTTCATAGCATCGGTTTCCTGTTTGTCTTCATCAAGATCATGCCTAGTTGGGAGGTCCTCTTGGAAGGAAAGCTTCTTCTTTTTCTTCTTCTTTTTCTGCTTCATGCTTTCACTGCTAAGGCTTGCATGAGGAACTAAAGAAAGGTCAGGTAGTATTGGGGGCTTTTTCAATGGCAATCTTAACTTTGTCTGTGAGGTAATCATTTTACTTTCTCCAAGTGGGAGAGTGGAACTTAATGGAAACAGTGTATCATGACTTGTATAGCCATATTTTGATCTAACTTTTGGCCATTCTGTGCTTTGCTCTTTTTTGTCCTTTTCGTCCACAGAAACTGCATCTGTTGCTTTGCCGGTTTGCTTTAGCCCAACAGGTTTCTGAAATTTATTTGCTTTCTTCTCCAGGCTGTCAATAGTGAGCTCTTCACCTGGTTCATATAATCCAATCAAATGAGCATAACCAAGTGGTATCCCCTTATCAAGCAAAATATTTCTTCTCCGTTCAACTTCAGAATCATCCATAGTAGGAAAGTCTTGACAAGATCCTCTCTCCAAAATACCATACTCATCTATAAGTAATATGCGGAAAAAAATAATGAGATTATTAACCATTGTGCATCTGAAGCCGAAATAAGGAACCTCTATAAAAGTGCTCTCTGCACTCTTACCGCCAGATAACAATATTTTACACAATGATTCCCAGAGATATTGTTACCAGTATAATAAAAAGAAAATTACAATTTTATTGGCAATCCAAAGTATCCATCATTCTTCATGCAGGAACAACTTAAGTGACTTATCTCCAAGAAGTACTATAAATCTCCTGATTTTATCTAAGAATCTTTGCTTTTAGCCAATTATCTCCTTCCCTATGATTCATAAATAAAACACAGAAGGATGAGCTTCTCTAAAGATAGGACATTCTAAGAACCATCAAATAAACTAAAAACAAAAAAGAGAGAAGTAAAGTGTGCCTTCTATTTTAGTTCAGGAAATAAGTATACCATAACTTTTTGAATTTTAGAAATAATACGAATAGAATTTTTTTCATAGAACATCTATCTTTTTCATACCAGTTTAACATAGCATCCACTGTAAATACTTACAACAACCCAAAAGTAACTTGCAGGGACCAGACAGAACAGGCTAGACCAGAGGTTCCCAAGCCCAGGCCATGAACTAGTGCCAATCTGTGGCCTGTTAGGAACTGTGCTGTGCAAGAGGCGGGCAAGCAAGCAAAGCTTCATCTGCACACGCGCAGTATCTAGGTCAGTGATGGCTAACCTTTTTGCCATCATGTGCCAAAAGCGTGGGGAGCGTGGGGGGTCACGGGTGCGTGTGCCCACATCCATAATTCAATGTGCCCCGCCCCCCCACACATGTGCACGTGACCCCCCCACACTTCCTCCTGCTTTTGGCACGTGATGGCCCGGTGGGCCCAGTAGGCCCGTTTTCCCCCTCCCCAGGCTGCAGAGGCTTTCTAGGAGCCTGGGGAGGGCAAAAACAGCCTTCCCCATTCTCCCTGGAGGCCTGAAACAGCCAGTTTCCTGACTTCCGGTGGGATCGGAAGGCCTGAAAGTCAGTTGGCCGGTGCGCACATGCACGCTGGAGCTGAGCTAGGGAAACACTCGCGTGCCCACCAATATGGCTCCACGTGCCACCTCTGGCACCCGTGCCATAGGTTCGCCATCATGGATCTAGGTTGCCATTCTCCCCCCTCCCCCATTCTCATCCGTGGAAGACAATTTTTCTTCCAAAACTGGTCCCTGGTGTCAGAAAGGTTGGAGGCTACTGGGCTAGGACAACATCCTACCATAAACCTAATTCATGGGCTGTAAACACTTACTCAAATGTTGACTTAATAATCCTTTCACAGCTGACAGAAATTCTGAGATGTTCAATTTCCCATCTTCTGTCAAAAGAAAAAGGGGGATTTCAGGCATGTACTGTATAAAGGAACCTCTTTCACCACATTTATTGAACAGCTGTATGCTTATAGTTTCCTATTAGACAACTCATGCTTAATTATTGATAAACTGCATCTTAGCTATCCTGAAGAATGAGTACCATAACGGAGTTCACCGAAGTCCAGCTTTCTTGGTTTATTGAATCAAAAGTGTGTAGTCTTGGTACAAATTGGGTTAATTGGGTTTTCATTAGTTGATATGTATTTGGACTTTGTAGGAATGGATATTCATTTCAGTCAAACACATATATATCTGTTGTTACTGTGACAGAAAATATGATGTCATTCTGAATAACTGATATAAAACATTAGCTGAAAATCTCAAAACTTTTCTCCCTACTCTTTGCCACAGCTAATTTTCATCTCAATTTATAGTAAAAGCTTCTATCTTCAAGATAAATGTAATAAAATGATAAAGCTAGGAAACTGGCAATGTCTCTAGTGCAGTGTTTCTCAATCTTGGCAATTTTAAACTGGAAAGACTGCAATCTCAGAATCCTCCAGAGAGCAGCATGCTGGCTGGAGAATCTGAGAACAGAGCCCTGGTGAAGCAGTGGACTAAAGCGCTGTTAAATAGCACTTAGCTGCCAGTTACCTGCAATTACTGCAAGTTCAAATCTCACCAGGCTCAAGGTTGACTCAGCCTTCCATCCTTCCGAGGTAGGTAAAATGAGGATCCAGATTGTGGGGGCAATAAGATGACTTTGTATATATATATATATATAAAAGAACACCGCTTTGGGTGGGGGACGAAAGCCCTACTAAGCAGGTATATACAAAAGTATGAAGGCTATTGCTTAACGCATTGTAAGCTGCCATGAGTGTCCGGAAAAGGGTGGCATATAAATCAAACCAATAAATAAATAAATAAATAAATAAATAAATAAATAAATAAATAAATAAAGTCCACATAAATTAAGGTTGCAAAGTTGAGAAACATTGCTCTAGTGTTTAATTTTGATGCATACTGAAAAAGAACTTGGAACTATAGACTTCATAATTTCCTTTGAGATGAACTTGGATGAGCTCAGATTTTCTTTTCTATCTCTAATAATAATCTGGTTCTTCTGTTGAAATAAAAAACCAAAGAAACTTGACAACAACCTTGAGTTTAATATCACATTTTATGGTACCATCTCTTCCAACCCAGCATGCACTGAAATAGGCAAGTACTTACTGGTAATTGTAGTGTGTTCTAGTGTCTGTTCTATAATTAGGGGATTGAGGCTGACCCCCAAGCATGTTAAAGTTGGCTCCAGTTCTTCAATGGCTATCATATCCTTTTTAATGGTTCGGAAAATGCCCTGAACATTTTCGAAAGCTGCAGAACATACAAGAGAATGAAAATAGGACAATTAAAAAGCACAAACTGATAATCACCTCAGTAATTTCTGTATATGTCAATAGAGAACCACCTTTACCTTAATTTTCTGTAAAGCTGGTGGACAGAGTGATGAGTGGAAAACAGTGCACAGTCTGTAGATTATATTGTAGCTGTCTGTTTACATTATGGGTGTAATGTACATGACCACTCACTCAACAATTGTTCAAAATTACAATGGTGCTGAACCATTGTAATTTTGTTATGGCCAGTCACTGTACTTACAGTCCTTCAGCATTCCTATGGTCATGTGATTGTAATCTGCAACCTTTCCTGACAGTTTCTAAGAAGAAAGTCAGCGAGGAAGCCAGCAGGAAATCTTAAATCACAGTCATGTGAGTTCCTTGCTCAACAGCCATGCAGTTCTCACTTAATGATGGCAGCTGGGACTGTCAGAATTGCTGCTGTTAAGTTGTATGGAAGTTTTAAGTTAAGGACAAAGTTTCTGGTCCCAGTTAGTGATCCTATCTGTATTATGGTCACAAGCTTTGGCCAAACTAATACGGTATCACAGAATGTCCATGAAAATTTCAGTAGCATGGGAATAAAACCAAGAAGAAATACTATATCAGTAAAGCATTTTTGGCCCAAACTTTTCACTGAACTCACAGGGGTTCTGGTAGTGACTTGACACCAGTGATTAGGTTTCAGAACTATCCTGTAGATAAAGTTGACATAAAATTATCTTAGTATTGGCCTCAAAGAATTGTCAAGTTTTTGTAAATTCACATAAAATAGTCACTTTTAATTTTTGAAGTCCTCCAATTCTGCATCTGGCAATCTTAAAAGGCCAGTGACTTGATAGGTATTGATCAGGTTTAGAAAAGGCCTCAAACATTATGGTTATCTGAGGCAGAATAGTGTCTTCCTTCTTGCTCAAGTTGTCTGTTGAATTTTATTTCAGCATAAGTGACATCTGAGAGCAGCAAGGAAACTTAAAATGGCATGAACAAATGTAGATTTGACTCAGAGAAGGAGGAAGGACATGAGCCATTACAAAAAAGATACATAAACCTTGAGAACATAGAAAGTGTGAAAAAGAAATTCAAAATAACTTTATATTAACTGTAACTCAATGAGGAATGTTCCTTAGTAAGTACAAATGACATCAGTTTCCTCTACATACCCTCAAGATCAATGTAGAGCAAGGTGTTACGTGCAACATCCAAAAAGTCATAAAAATCCAGATTGCCATATGCTATATGAAAAAGAAAGACAAGACAAGATGGTAAGCAATGTCAGGCAACTACAGTGTGAGTTTATTATAAATGAACCAAATGTAATATATTCTATGTATTTCATGCACGCACATATGCACACACACACACACACTTACAAGCATGCACACAAAGATTACTTGATTACTTGTTTCAAATTTATATAAAATATTAGTTTATGAAATTCTTAGGTTCAAGAAGGAGAAATAGCACACACCGTCAATAGGGATAAACTGGAGAACTTGAAACATCTGAGCTTTGGTCATTAGGATCCCCAACGTGTGTAAGGTAAGGAGGAGATAGTTGATGTGAACTCTTCCTCTTCTGATGGCACTAAAAATGGTGCAAGCCCTGGAGAGTCCTGGAAAAGTAAACATAATATTCTGAATCTGATAAAAGGCCCTAAAAGCAAATTATATTATTGATTTATTTCACCCAAAGAAATTAGATATCCTCGGTCTGGAATCTATTTCAGATATTTTCATTAGACTATTCCACAAAAGCTTATAGGAGTCTAGCAATTTGAACAACTTGGTTGATAAAAACAAAAACATACTTCTTTCATCTGGAAGCTACATAGAGTCACTTGGTAGAGAGTTCGGCAGCATACCAAATTAATAAATAAACAAAGCTGGTAATAATTTCAATAGCAAAGAAAATGCAATCATATTCTTGCTTACCTTTTGCTCCATGGAGAAGACATGGGTCAAAGTACTTTCCCTCATCGCAGAATGTTGTGTAGAGATTGTACATAGCTTTACTTTGCCTGCCAAGACACACACACTAACAGCTGACAAATACAATCACTTTAATTTATCTCTTTCTTGCATTCAAAACTCAACTTCTTCCAGTCTAGTGGCAGTGCCTCAATGAATGGCCACAGGCCTCCATTCCTATTCCTTTAGAAACTTATACTACAAAATCATGAATTGATAGAGAAACCAGCTTATTCTTTAGAGAAGGAACAAAAAGCAGATACAGACATTCATTCCAAAAGTTGCAATATGGTAAATCAGCAAAGCATTAAAGAAGATTGAGTTTCCAAACAGAGAGAATTTTTTTCTGGGCCTAAGGTCATAGATACAGTGGTTCTTTTTTCCCCTTGTACTGATGAAGGTGTGGAGGTAAAATCTGATTTTCTCACAAGTTTGAATCTCTGAAAAGTGAGCTTTATTTTAGGGAGTAATAATGTACAGCAAATATTAGGATTTCTGCCAGATATAGATCTTACAAAAGACAGATTTTATATGGAACCATAGACAGTACAATGTACTAATACCTATTCAGTGGTGAGTTTCAAATTTTTTTACTACCGGTTCTGTGGGTGTGGCTTGATGGGCGTGACATGGCATGGCTTGGTGGACGTGGCTTGGTGGGTGTGGCAGGGGAAGGATACTGTAAAATCTCCATTCCCACCCCACTCCAGGGGAAGGATATTGCAAAATCCCCATTTCCTCCCAATCAGGGGGGAACCTAGTCCCTGGGACTAGGGAGGCAAAGAATAGATGGGGGTGGGGCCAGTCAGAACTTTTACTACCGGTTCTCAAACTACTCAAAATTTCCGCTACCGGTTCTGCAGAACTGGTCAGAACTTGCTGAAACCCACCTCTGTACCTATTCAATTAGTGTAAGCTTGCAACAGTTGATTTCAATCCAAATCCCGAAGCTTAACACTTCATTACCTGTTACAGATGCAGCAGTTTAAAATCACATGTAGCTAATTGCATTTTTTAAAATTTAATGATAGCAATCAGGATAAATTTATGTTATAAAAGGAGATACTGGGATAAAACATAGAGTTTTTCCTGCTTTTCAAGATGGTTGAGAATTATGATGCTAAAAATGGATTGGCACTATCTGGAAATGTAGCTAGTTGATGTACAGCTGTGAATAGAGAATAATATGAATAGAACAAAATAAAATAGAATTTTTTATTGGCCAAGTGTGATTGGACACACAAGGAATTTGTCTTGGTGCATACGCTCTCAGTGTACATAAAAGAAAAGATACACTCATCAAGAATCATAAGGTACCAATCTTATGGTTGGTGAGGAAGACCTAATACTCAGGATTGTACTTTGACGCCCTGTGATTTTTTTTCTCTCCTTACACAAGATGTGTAGCATTTTTTAAAAAAATTATACGCTGTTCCTCTTGCCACAGTAACTCTGAGCAGCAAACCAAGTTTAAACAGAAATTACAGTATAAAATCTTAAAGCATGCAATGCTAAATATGCAATTCAGAACAAAAATGGCAGCTAAAAAAAAAACAATGTCAGCTAATATCAGTTCACCAAGCCTCACTAATTCCACAAACCACCATGTTTTCAATAACTTACAGGTTAACAGTGTAATGTGATTAGTACATTGTGGTTATATCATGGCATGATAATGTATTTTCCCTCCTTTAAAGCCACTGAAAGGTTTGGAGGCCGAATGGCCACCGGTGTTTCTCATAGTGCACTTCTCCCAGTGTCCTATGTTCATTTGGTGTGTCTGTGTGTCGGTGTGTGTGAAGTCAATGGCCCCATAAACATGATTGTGAATATACTTAAATGTATGAATTCCATCTGATAACTCTGAATTATTTTGAATACCTTCAGGCTAGCTGGCAATATCATATCAAGTGTAGAAAATTTGTACAGATAGTCCTTGATTTATGAACTTTTGAGCCCAAAATTTCTGTTCCTAAGTGAGATATTTGTTAAGTGAGTTTTGTCCCATTTTATGACCTTTATTGCTATGGCTGTTAAGTGAGTCACTGCATTTGTTAAATTAGCAAAATGGTTTAGGGAATCTGGCTTCCCCATTCGCATTGCTTGTCAGAAGGTTACAAAAGTTTGTCACATGATCGCAGGACACTGCAACTGTCATAAATGTGAGTCAGTTGCCAACCATCTGAATTTTGATCATATCACCATGGGGATGCTGCAATGGTTGTAAGTCTGAAAGACGGTCATAAGTAACTTTTTTCAGTGATGTTGTAACTTCGTATGATCACTAAATAAACTTTTGTCACTTGAGGATTTTAGTAGTGTCTTCTGGAAGCATGAGATTTTTGCAATTTACATTAGAGCAGAAGTACTCCAAAGTAGCCTTCAAACATATTTTTAGTCATCTGGGAAGTAGTGTCATTTTCTAAAATTAATCTCTCTTATCTCTCTCTTCTAATTTACTTTTTAAAAATATATTCATTCCTATAGGATAATGGGAATTTTTAAAAACTTGTAACTCCTATCCCTGTTGCCCTTAATAGACAGCTCTACTCTTTTCAGTTCTGCTCCACAAAAGATAGTTTTAACATTAAGCTGCGGATCTCAAATAGATATTTAATACCTACAAATGGAAGAAAATATTTGCTTTCTAATATAGAAAGGATTTGTCTTGTCCATTATTCATTGTTGATGTTCCCCTTATTAAATCAGGTATTCTAAGTTGCCCAAATACCTGTTGCTTCCTTTGGAGGAGAGCATCCTAAGCATCTGAGGTTTGGCAAATGCCCTGTGGTCTTTCTTCCTTTTCACAGCCTTGAAAAGCCCTTTCTCTGGAGTACAGATCTAATGGGGAGGATGAAATGACAAGATGCACTCAACTACACTTTTCATCATTTTCGGGCAGGCAGAAATATACAGCAACATCTTACTCCTGTACAGTTATGAGTTATTAATAGGGGGGGCATGGGAGGGAAGGAATCCATTCCTGTCTCCAAACTTACTTTGGACCAGATAAAGTTAAAGGGGTGTTTGAAGTAAAGGTTAGTGCAACTTAACAGATTTCCTGGCATAAACCTTTATTCCAGTCTAATTATTCCAGCAATAATTAAAGATGAGCAATGAACAAGGAAGAAGCTCAAATGTGATGATAAAAAGTGAAAGGAAAACCTGTGCCAAACTTGAAGCTCCCTCAGTCCTAATGTTGACATACTGTAATGCTATGCTAACATGTAAGGCAAGGTGACATCATCATCATCATCATCATCATCATCATCATCATCATCATTATCATCATCATTTGAACAAATAGCCACCTAGTAATTTGAACTCAGAGCAAAAGAATCCTTCTTCTCAATTACTTCAACAGGATAGTTGGGATTCCTGTACATAATTGTAGGTATCTACGTTATAAATTTATAAGTAAATAGATAAGAATTTATTCAAGATAAAAGTCTCCAAAATGCTTATGTTGCTAATTAAAGTTTTTCGTTCTCCTTCTGCTCTTTTTGTTTTTGTTTTTGTTATACTGCCTTTGTTTAGTGTTTTTTACATTATAATATTTATGTAGCTACACAATGCACTGAAGATTGTGTAGACTGTAAAGGCAGACGTAGAAAACAAGCCATTTATCTAATGATTACCCAGTGTCTATACTTCAACAAAATATGATTTTTGTATCCATCTTGATTATCAGGAGATTCCAATAAAGGAGAATATTTGTAGCTCAGAGTTGAAATGAAGGGTCCTTGGGACCCTCTGAGACATTTCACTACCCAAACTAAGCAACATTATCAGTGCTAGGATGCATAGATGATGTTACTTAGTTTGGGTAATAAAACGTCTTCAATAAAACTATCAGGCTTAGAGTACACCAAGCACCACTCATATCAGGAGATTGTTCCATTGTGGTTTACAAGAGCCTCTAAATCATAGAATTATAAAGCTGTAAGAGTTTGTATAGTCCAACCGATACCTAAGAAAATAATGGTCTCAAAGTGTGATACCTTTCTGTAATTCTTTAGGGGCCTAGCTGATTAGCTCCTCTGCCACTTTCAATGGCATTAAAGTCACACAAACATCTCATGTTGGGATCAATTCCAGAAGATATCAAAAAAAGATGTGGCTATAGCCCTGCTCTTATAATCGTTGCAACATCCCACCTCAATTAGTTGATTGAATAAAATGTAGTTATAATAAAGATGGAATGGGAAAATAGCTTGGAAAAAGGCTACGAGAAGCCACTTCGATACTGCTGAAGAAACGCTGCATGATTCCATAATTCAAATAATACCTTTCCTTCATTTCACAAGGGGCACTCCTGCCAATAGATGCCAACCCTGTTTCTTTTCAATTTGGGACAATAAAGAGTACAATTCTGGCTTTTCCTACAAATGTTACACAGTTCTACAGTTCTGCCTCTTTGCTCAAAAGGTTCCGTGTGATCTCCAGTTGTGGAAAGGTTGGCTTAAGGATGTCTTTAATTAGAAGCCAATTCAGAAATTCAGGGTTTTTCAATCTCAGCAACTTTAAGACATGGGGACTTCAATTCCAATAATTCTTAAGCCAGCCATGCTGACTGGGGAATTCTGAGAGTTGAAATCCACACATTTTAAAGTTGCCAAGGTTGAGAAACACTGCTCTAAATTTATATGGGGGCTTGTAACAGAAATATGCAGTTCATTCAGGGATGCTTTTATCTCCCATTTCTGTGGCTTTGTTTGAGTTGAGAGTATGAGGAAGGATGCTTAATGCTTCCTGGTGTCAGCAGAAGTTCAGTGATGATGATAATGGAAAAACTGTCTTTCAGAGTACACTACTACTTCTCATTTCCATGGATAATTTTCCTGGGAAACTCCAATATTTTAAGACTAGAATCTTAATACAGTCCCGAACTCTTGTTCTCACCTCATGTCCTCTGAATAGTGGTCTTTGATGTTTCCACATAATGTTTTTGTGAAATGGTGCTTTGGAAAGATGCAATGGGCTGTGCTTGATCAATCGTCTATGAGATAGATAAAAGGAAAGATTAGCATATTGAGAAAGTGACTGAAATATATTTCTGAATTTCTGAAACTGACAGCACAGAATATAATCCAAGATTTTAATCAGATTAGATAAAGGATCAGTGATAAAAGCCAATATGCCTTGTTCAATCTGAAAATAACTACAGATCATCAAAAAAATTTGTGATTTGATTAGAAACATTGGAAGACTTTGAATATGAAACAATAATCGGAATGTTTTTAAAGACATCACAAATTTTCAAGTTGCTTGTAATATCTGATGTGCAAACTGCATCTGCATAGCCAACCTATCTCCCACCTATCCCAATTTAAATTCTACATTAGCCTAGCTACTTTATGCATCTGATGAAGTGAGCTGCACTTTACAAGTGCCTCATAATAAAACTGGTTAGTTAGAAAAGGTGCTATCGAATTACTTCTGACTGTTTTAAAATTAATGGCTTCATACAATTGTATAGCAGGATAATCCAACCATTCATTGCCCATGGAAATTTTGGCCCTTCAAAGATTTAAGGCAGCTACAAGCATTCAGGCAAATACTTCAGTGACCAAAAATTTTCCCATCTGGTAATTTATTTATTTACATAAATTCCAGCCTGCTGCTTTCTTGAGCCTTCTATCTCAAGATCACCTGAAATGTACCCTAACACAGTACAAAACAGTCATAGGAGGGAACAATGAGAAGAATGTAATATGCAGAATGCCCGAAGCCCATCATCACTTGATGTCCTAACTTACTCGGTTGTACTGCAGCCACAGCGGTTATGGAAGGAAGGCTTGCGTGCTGGGATGGAAAAACGGCGTTCTTCTTCCTTCCATGCCGTAGGCTGCTTCTTCCATATGCATACAGGAACAGTCTCAGACTGCAATTCTGGATTCACTAATTGGGATTCAACCCAAGTTGCCGTCTTTAGATCGTCAGTATCGGTACTAGGAAGAGAAAAATAAACTCAAGACCAGGAACAGATGACAACTCTCTCTACTATTGGGTTCACACGACACACCTTTGGCTTCTATGTTAACCCTTTTTTGGTGATTGCAAAACACATTGAGTTATTAATTAGAAAAATGATTGAGTTTGCTAAACACATATAGGCTCTGACCAAAATTCCAGACTTTAAATCAGAGTTAAAACTGATCAATCTTAACATGTTGTGCAAAGGCAATATAGTGACTTTGCACATCACGAATATGATCACTCAAATTGCTAGATGACAACATGAAAAAACTGTGTATTGTATCCTAATTTTGTAGAAAGTTAGCATGTGAAACTTAAGATTCATGAGATAAGTACTATATAGTACAGGATTTCCCTTTCATGTAATAGTTTAAGCAATTGAAAGCTGTTACAAAGACAGTGAAAATGTTGGATTAAGCCGAACTGAGTATAACTGAGAGTTATAACTAACCCTTTGGAAAGTATTTGCTAAATTGCAGGATCAAAAAATCCTGATAATCTTATCTTCTGCTACTCAGACTTACTGTTCTGAAATGAGGGAGGAAAAATTAGTTGTGCTTTGCTCAGGAGTAAGAAAGGTAGACAGAACATCCTTCCAATCTGATGTTTCTCTTCCCCATGAACTAGAGGAATGTAACGTTGAAGTTTCTGTATCTTCCTGCAGTTCTGATGTTTTTAAGAATTGTTTGGTGTCATCCTCATTCTGTTCTTTTAGGTCTTTAGATTTGTCCTCTTCAACCTGCTTACTGGGAGATTTGCTGTCATCTTTATCCTTCTCATTTGGGTGATTGGATTTGTTCTCCTCAGCTTCTGCGTTTGAGTCCTGGGGTTGACCATCCATTTTGGTGTTCTCAGTTAGGTCTTGGGATTTGCTGTGAAGGAAGAAAAACAAAACATTCATTTACCAAGATGGTTCTGGCTTTGGTTCTCTCTAGTTACTCTCCACCAAAGTTCTAGCACTTTGCAACATTTTGGTGATATAGAAGCATAGTAAATTCAGCGATACCTGTAGCACGCCATATGTTATATTTCCATAGGTTACTCCAGGGGAAGATACCAAGCACAGATAGTCATTTAGCGACTGTTTTGGATAGCAACTATTTACAATTATGACAGGGATGAAAAAATAACTTTGGGACCAATGTGCACATTTACAACCTTTGCAATGTCTCTCTTAGACACATATTCCCCATTATAGTCAGTCAGTACCCTTTCTGTGACAGATCCGTTTTTTTCTTTCTTGTCCCAAAAGCAGAGAGATTGCCTAAACAAACTATTTTTTCCTGAGTTGTTTTTTTTTCTGCAACACAGTATGTCCCTAAAAAGTGCAAGTTAATAAGCTCAACTCTATAACCTTAATAAGGTTATTAGAATGCACTTACAGAATAGCAACAGCACTTAGGTTTATATCTCACTTCAAAGTGCTTTCAAATGAAAAAAAGAAAATGTTAAAAAGTTATATTTATGTAGTTACTTACCAACTACATTAAATTATATTAAAGTATCCAAAATATATTTACAATCCCCAAGGCATGTCACAAATTTTGAGTACCCCTTAATGTTTGGAAATGGAAAGTTGAAAATTTTGATACGCCCTAGATTGCTTTACAGCAGTGGCTTACAGAGTCAGCATATTGCTCCCAACAATCTGGGTCCTCATTTAACCGACCTCGGAAGGATGGAAGACTGAGTCAACCTTGAGCCGATCAGGATCAAACTCCTGATAGTGGGCAGTCAGTCTGCAGTTCAGCATTCTAGCCATTGTGCCACCACAACTGGTGCATCAAACTGGCAAGCCTTCGTTAGTTTCATGCTGAAGGCTTTTGTTTGCTTCCTAGGGAAAGCTGAAACCATAAGCACAGAGTCATGTGATTGTCATTTGGTGACATTTTGCTTAATGACCAACTTGACAGAACCAATTGTGGTTGCTAAATGAGGAGTACCTGCATGTCTTTCATTAGCCTTTAAGGCAGAAGTCAACAACTTTTCAGGCTCAGGGAACTATTGTGCAACTTTGTAGCTGCACGTAAATTAAATATAACAGTCTCGTGAGATGATATTTTGGCAATCTCCCTTGGAGATGTTATTAAGACTTTGTGTGTCATCATTAACATCTGGCAAGAACGTCTGATATTTCTTCAGCCTTAGAAGATGTATGATTTCAGAGGTTCCACAAAATTTTGCCCTATTAATATAACTGGCGATGCATCACAGAAAATAATTTCAGAAGTGATGTATGCTAGTTTTTTAATAATCTATTTATTTATTAGATTTTTATCCTATCTTTATTATTGTATAAGTAACTCAAGCAGCAAACATACTTAATTCTCCTTCCTCATTCAATTCCCCCCCCCCCAACAACAACTCCTTTATGAGATGGGTTGATTGAGACAGAATGACTGGTCCAAAGTCACCCAGGTGGCTTTCATACATAAGGCAGGACTAGAACTCAAAGTCTCCTGGTTTCTAGATTAGCTTCTTAACCACTATACCAAACTGACTGTCTTTTCTTTTGCTACTTATTTTCTTATATAAGTTTTCTTATATAAGTTATTTTCTTATATTGCATATGTATCATTGCTCAGTTTGTACCTGGGCCAAGGGTTTTACGTTCGGGGTGGATATATGCAATACATTGCAGTGAGACATGTGCAGATCTGTACATTGGAGAAACAAAACCATCACTTCACAAACACATCACACAACATAGGAGAACAAACCCAGCAGGACAAGATTCAGCAGTCCATAATTTGAAAAACAAAGATCACTCTTTTGAAGACAGCAAAGTCTACATTCTGGAAGAGAGGATCACTGGTTTGAAAGGCCATTTACATTAAGGTTGAACAACTGTCTCTCAACAGAGAGGGAAGGAATACATCACCACCTATCTCTTGTTTAAACACAGTCCTTTCAGCAGTTTCAAGAAGATTCCTCACCCATTTGCACTATGCAGGTAATTCTGAGAGCCCAGACAAACCTGTAAGTGGCCTCAACAACTCCTAACCGTTCCATTCTTCACTCTTCAGTCAGAACTGAAGAAGCCTCTTGGATAAGAAGCAAAACATCTTCCAGGAAAACAAAGAAAATCCAGTTGCCTTTTGAAAAATCACCTTTGGGACAACCATGACTTGATGACTGAGAATCTCCATAGACAAAAACTATCCATGTTAGAAAGATAAGAACTTAAACAGCTTCTTTTCTAGTGGTTTATCAAGATGGGTAGCTTTTCAGGGAAGGAAACAAAAAACCAAGATAGTATATTTGACTTTCTTAAACCTCCAACCTGCTTAATATCAAGCCAGATGAATCGGTGAAAGTGGCTCTCACAGGTTTTAGCCTGAAATACCTGCAACCAAACCAGGTCAGAATTAAACCTGGTACCTTCTGCATCAAAATAGAAACTCTTCTACCAAGCCTAAAATTACTCATCTTCAGGGAAGATATATTGTCAAATCTAAATTCTTAAAATGGATAGTGGCCTCCCATCTGAAGATGGGAGGTATTTTCAGATATCTTTGGTAAGGATAAATCTTTTGAATGTAAGAATGAAAGTAAGGCTTCATTCTCTGCAGTTTGGACACACTGCTCAAGGTAAATCAACATTTTACTTTTTTCAATAAATGCCCTCAGACTCAAAATATTAAATAAAAATTGAAAAAAATGCAGTGGAAGATTCTTGTTTCAGGAATGCAACTTCTATTTATGTTCCAGAGAACATATTTTATTCATGAGAAAAGTTTCCAAGTATGAACCTTTATGAATCCTGAGAAAATGAAACACCTGTTTATTTTTATTTATTATATAAATAGATATAAATATATAGATATATATTAACTCTAATTTGTAGGTTGTCTAACTCCATGGTCACTCTGGGCAGCTTACAAATAAAAGAAAAGCAATATATATATCAGCTATGTTCTATATATATATATATGTATATATATATATATATATATATATATATATATATATATATATATATATATATATAGAACATAGCTGATTGAAAAATAAACACTGAAGTTTAAATCATACAAAACTAAATAAAGGGCTTCACAACCACCCAATCCCGAGAAAACTTGTAGTTCCCAAAATATCATAAAGATGAGTGCCACATTATTTTCTTGGGGCAGGAGGAATATCAGAGCAAAGGTACTGCCACAGAATAGGCATAATTCTTGGATCTCATAAAATAATGGGACTTAAAGTGTACATTAATTAAAACCAAGGCTCTATTTCCACTAATGCTGTCCCACCCACTCCTTCAGATCCAGTCTATTTCAATGCTGGGCAGTGAATATACTAGAATAAAACCTGAGATCTCTGACTACTTGTAGCTCATTGAAAAGTCTCCTAAACACATTCCTATTAACACAATCCCAGTTGTAGTAAAAGAAAGGGTAATTTTTTTAATGCAGGAGCAGAATCAATATACCAATTCAAATAATACATTTAAGAAATAAAAAGGTGCCATATATGTAGCATATGTGTATGCAATTTTAAAACTTAAGACAATTATACTTGTTAAAGTATAATTTTGTTTTGCATAATAAAGCAGCTGAATTTTTTTTACAGATACAAAATTATTAACCTTCCATCTTTCTTGAGTGGGGTGTCCATTCTTCTGAAAAAAGTTTTGTTACTTCCTCATCAGTAGTGATGTCCAATAAATTCTTCAAAAACAAAGTCCCAATGAAAACATGAAGAATGCTACATCTTAGCTGGAGTGTAACAGAAACTACTATCCATTTCTGACAGCAAACTTTCAGCCAGAAATGGCAAGTGCAAACAGAAATACTTACAGCAAAATACTGTAATAGTTGCCACAGTTCTCTTGCCAAAAAGTTTCTGGGATTAGCAAGTTTGCTGGCAATATCCAAAAGGTTAGAAATTGAAATATGATAGTGTCGAACAGCTAGGACAATCAACAGGAGTGTAGAAAGTTTTAAGATTTCTGATCTTTCCCTGGCAACATAAAAGAGGTCTTATGTTTCGTGCCAAACAGTTAATGGGAGGGTCCAAGAGAGTTTGATGGAATTGGCTCTCTGGAGATGGATATGCAGCCCTCCATCACACTAGGTTCTCCCCCACTGTCTTGATTTCAATAGTTGCGTGGAGAAGTTCCAATCTAATGATGTCATAGAATAGGGCATGACCTATGTGATATAAATATCTCTCCAGTTGGTGGAGAAGAAAAAAATCTCTCTTAATCATTCATTAACATTAAAGGTCCTAAGCTGCGGAATAATGAATTGATTCAGAAGGATGGATTAGATTTATTTCAACCCTAGTAACAACCAAGACACCAACAAATTCCTATTTTAAATTCTGTTTGAGAGCCTCCAGGAAGTAAATCCTCATAATTATTTGTAAAGAAAGTGACTTGTCTCATTATTCAAGTATTGTTCATATCATATTTTTGATATTTAGAAACACAATCACATTTTTATCTCTGAATGTTGCTTCCCCCCCCAACCCCCCCCCCATGTAGCTCATAGATGGACATGGATATGAAACCATATGTATGAATCTACTTGTCCTAAAGCAATTAGAAATTATAATTCTGTAATGGCAAATTATGTAAGTACAAAACATACTTTTGTTTTTTTAAAAAAATCTTACATTTTTCTTTTAGTAGGAACTTGTTATATATAGGCCTTACTTTTTGGTACCTGAATGAGGGTACAATAATAACTGAGGAATCAGGGTTTGGTAGAAATCCTGACAAACAAGAGGAATAGTAAATTGGCAAAAAAATATACACAGGCATAATATTTATTTATAGAATTTATCTACCACTTCATTCCAACCAGCTCCAAGTGATGTGTATTGACAACAAAACTTAAATAGCAAAACCTGGACCACAATGTTGCAATACAGTAATGGTCCCATTGGAACAGGGCAAAACCTAACATTCTGCAGCCCTGTATTCTATAGGGCTGCAGAATCTCTATAGAAACTCATCTCTATAGAAACTCATCAGGGAAGTGGCAGTCCAGTTGAATGAGAACAAATTGTCCCCTGGGCAGCAAAGAGAAGGCCCATCGAGAAGGCCTGATTGTGGAGTCAAGATGAAATTTTGGGGTGGGATAGCTTGTCCCGCTGATATTACTGGATGAGTAGATTGGATGAGTTCTGGAGCAGGCTTTTTTAAAGTTACCCAGGCCTTGAGCCGTAAAAGAACTTCCAAAGTAGTAATCAAAATTTAAAATCACACTGATTCAAGTTAACTGGCAGCCAATGCAGTTTTAAGTATCCACTACCACTGCTGGAACTATGAAGGGATACTATGAAGCTGTGATAAAAGCAGAGACAACATTCTCAAGCCCTCACTCAGGCAAACTACTCTTGGAGATCCTGCACCATATATTAGCAAGTTAGATTAAGGCTCTTTTGATATATTCACAGCTGGTTGGGCAGCAATACTGGCCAAAGCTTTCAGCACCATGTAAAGGTCTCAATCTTCTCCAGGCCAGATGTGTAGCGTGGCCATTGTTAAGAATCTGAGAACTAAAATCTGATGTCCAGATTTGAGAATGTTGCTCTAACAATCCCTTTACCCTTGGTAAATATGATTATCTTGCCCGAAGAATGTGAAATCTTAAAGGGTTAATCCTGCGGTTTAAAGGCTACTTCTTTTCTTCTGCCTGGCACCTGTTGTTTTATTATGTCCCCATATACAAGTAGTGTGAGACTAGGCTAAAGTTGCTATAACTAAAAATGAAGGAGGCATGTAAGCAGTGAGGACAATAAGCAAGGAATCTTGTCTAAAAGATTCCTTCAGGGAGACAGACAAGGAGGAAACAAATTCTTAAAGAACAAAAGAATAAAAAGATCCCTGAACTAGATAAAATAAATTGGGCCTAAGCACTGTTACACCATCATTCCCAATCCCAGCTAATCAACAAAGCAAGAACTTTTGGGGAATCATCTTTGAACTAGATCTCACAGTTTCCATCCCTCTTGCTAGTGCCTGGCAGTTAGTTGAGAAGGATATGGCTAAGTGTGGCTCAGTATTTATAAGTATGTGAGAAAGAGCAAAAATACATTATAATCAACTAGGTTTTGCCATTACTTTAAATTCACTGGCTTTCCATGTATTCCAAAGAACCTGATGTGCCTCAGTGTTCAGTTGAAAATGGATATCCCTAATTATTTCCAAACTGCTGAACAGGGCTGTGGGTCTTTCTGCTTTAGTCACATTTGAACATCCAGGCAACAACCAAAGAGTGCTTGACAAGATCTGCATGCCTCAACAGGCTGTGAATGTGTGACGAGAGTAGGAACACATGCAACAGCAGTATGAAAGATAATTGCTTCCTCAGCAATTACCTTAGGGGAAAGCACCCTGGCATCCACTTTCCTGATTTCCACACCAGCACTTTAATCACTACATGTTGCGTAATTTTGAGGATCAGACTCAATAAATAATTCAGGAACGAAGTATTCAAACAAAGCACTATTTATTTACAGTAGGCATTCTATATTCTCTGCTGATTGTAGATAGAAGCAAGGAAGAAGGTGCATTCATCCCCTTTTATACCAATAGGGAGGAGTAAGAGATGGGAATGGTTACATATGAATACATTAAGGAAGGAAGAATAAATTAACCCCTGATATCCCATATATATACATTTTCCCCATTTGAGAATAAGGCATTTACTTATGACAAATCCCCCTCTAAATGCCGATTCGATATACAACAATAATTACATTCAGATTCAGAGCAGTATAAGACTTGTAGTTTTGAAGTTAAGTATTTATGTTGTTTAGATTGCAAAGGCTTAGTTAATATATCAGCTATCTGTTCTGAAGTTTCACAATGGATAGCTTTAATGAATCCGTCTTGAGATAATTGCCTTACATGTTTGAATTTGATATCTATGTGTCTGGATCTTTGGCCAATGGCATCAGATCTAGATATCTCAATAGCAGCTTTATTATCTTCATGTATTATAAATGGTAATGAAGGTTTTTTCCAAACATCTGTTAATAAGTCATTAAACCATACTAGATTATTAGAGGCTTTGGACAAACAAACATATTCTGCCTCAGTCGTTGAGGTGGTTACTAAATCTTGTTTTCCAGTATACCAGTAGACTGGACAATCATTAAGATAGAATATATATCCCGAGGTACTCTTTCTGCATTTTGTATCACCTGCCCAATCCGCATCAGCGTAACAAGTGAGAATGGGCTCTTTAATATTATTGGGTTCCAGTAGTAGACAGAAGTCTAAGGTGTGTTTTAAATACCTTAGTATTCGTTTAATGGCTTCCCAGTGATACATCAGGGGTTTACCAACATATCTGGATAACAAATTAAGGGGTAAAGCAATATCGGGCCTAGTCCAATTGGATATGTACAAAAGGGAACCAATAACTGATCTGTAAAGAGTATTGTCTTTAAATTCAGGGGATGATTCATCCATGTTTCTTAAGAAATCAACCTGCATTGGAGTATCACTAGTTTTGGCATCATTCAAATTACATTTGTTCAAGAGTTCTATAATTTTATCCTTTTGAGAAAGTTTAAATCCTTTTTTGGTTTTACTGATTTGAACTCCAAGATATTTGTTTACCTTCCCCAATGTTTTTAAAGAAAAATGTTCATTTAGTTTTGTTACAAATGTATCTCTTTTCTCTTTATGTTTACCTATATATAAAATGTCATCCACATAAATTAACACAAGTTCTAATGAATCACCATCCTTTTTAACAAAGAAACAATTGTCAGCAGTTGTGGCATTGAAATTCATAGTTTTGAGTACGTTGACTAAACATTCATACCAACGCTTGCCAGACTGTTTTAGTCCGTACAAACTTTTATTCAATAACCAAGTTTCATTTTTGTTAGTGTATTGGCTGTGAGGTGCTCTTACATATATTTCTTTATCGAGTTTTGCGTGTAAGTACGCTGTCTGTATGTCATATTGAAAGACATCAAGATTAAGTGCAGATGCTATGACTAAAGCTGTCTTAACACTCTCAGTCCTTACTGTGGGGGAGTATGTGTCTGTGTAATCCTCAGGATACTTTTGAGCATAACCTTGTGCGACTAATCTAGCCTTATATAATGTGTTGCCTTCTTCTAAATTTTTAATTTTGAATATCCACCTGGTGCCTATGATAGTTTTGTCTTTTGGGGCAGAAATAGGTGTAAATACCTTTAATTCTCACAAACTGTCCATCTCTTTGGCCATAGCTAATTCCCATCTTTTTCTTTCTTCAATGGGAAGCTTTAACACTTCCTCATAAGTGTTAGGTGTTGATGTTTCATTATTCAAGTGCATTATGTAATCCTTATATTTGTTTGGCATTTGGTTTCTGTTACTTCTGATTGTTATTTTTGGTTCACTATCGTTATCGTGTAGATATCTTGCTTCCTTTTTTGTTAATGAATCTGTTCTTATTCTGTAGTGACTATTTGTCCATGTTTTACTTTTGTTTTTGTGTGTATTGTGATTGAGTTCTTCTCTGTTTGTTTCGTTTTGATGTTCAGTGTCTGTCTTTGTAGTTGGGAATATCTCATTAAGATGTATTTTGGACCAATTGGCCTGTTCATGAAATACAGCTGTTCTAGAAATTATAAATCTGTTGTTATTATCAATAAATCTATATCCTTTTGTGCCTGTTTCGTATCCCATGAATCTAAGTCTTCTTGATACGTTTTCTCCTTTACGTCTTAATTGTTTTGGTATGTGTACATCCGCTGTGACTCCAAATATGTGCATGTGTGTTATTTTGGGTTTTCTATTGTACATTAGTTCATATGGTGTTTTGTTGTCTATGCTGGACCAAGTTCTGTTTTGAGTATAATTGGAATATACTAATGCTTCTGACCAGAATTGTTTTCCTAAGCCAGCATCTTCTAATGTACATCTAATCATGGTTTGTAGTGTCGAGTTCTTTCTCTCTGCTACTCCATTTTGAAATGCAGAGAAAGGGCTAGATGTGAAGTGTAGCATTCCTCTGTTTTTTAACCATTGGGAGAATTCTTTTGACATGAATTCAGATCCCCTGTCTGTCATGATTTGTTTTATTTTGATATTATGCTGTGTTTCTACACGCTTGTAAAACTCTT